TGTGAGAAGCTGATGAACCTGCAGCAACCGCAGAAGAACCACCAGGAGGCTTTGTCCCCTAAAAGGTTAAGCAGAGGAAGCAGATCAAGCATTTGCTGGAAATGGATACTTCAGAAAATATACCTCATGAAAAAGCTTGGACCAAATCTGACTTTAATAAAAACCTCTGACATTCTAAGGACTAGAAAGGTATGATTTCTAACAATTAAAAGTAGAAGCGTATTTGGCTGCCTTATAACCATTACTATAGACTGCAGAAAACTCTCAGCCAGAGCATACAGCAGAACGCATAGCAGAGGGACAGTGTAAATAAGTACCTGAGATTTGGATGGAAAAGTAGTTCCATCAGGAAGAACAAGCCATCCAGCTTCCCTGGCCAAAGCCGCGATAACATCGTTAATGTCAGCTCTAACTCTGAGGTTATAATTCCCATGCCTGCGTAACCCGCCTAGTATCCTTGCAGTTATAGCTCTTCGATGGCGTTCTCTCAGTTTAGTGCGCTCCTTCTCTTCAAGCGGTCTACTTCTGCGACTTCCTCCTCCCCCAGGAGTGCCCACTTGATCTTGCATAGACTGCTGAAACATAAAATCGTCATTACTACTGCCTGAAGCTGCGCGCGTTCCCCTATTTCGATGGTCATCATCTTCTTCTTTGACGTCCATATCCATTTCTTCATCATCATCCTCTTCACTAGTTACAAGCAGTTTCTGCATATCCGTTGCCATTACTTCTCTTATAACCCAACCACACAAACCTCTGTTAGTTTAAGAACGACGTGTAATGAATTGTTCCATATTTGCTTCTCTGGTTTCAACACTCCACGTGTAAACCTTCTGGACAATGCAGCCAAATATTCTATGATATTTACTTCCTTCTTGCTTATATAGTTGGCCAGAAAAGTGGGGACAATTTTAGTATCGACGAAACTGATCTTCAGTCTCTCAATGTGCATAAGCTCTCTCAGTCTAACTTTCAAAATTCATCAAAGATCCTACAAGCCAATAAACAGCATTTTCAAACTACAAACCATAGATACAGCCGACAATAAAATGAAAACACTTTTGTGACCAAACCAAAACAAACAGAGTTAGTGTGTCTTCAAAGCACAATTGCAGATGAAGTACCTAATCATACACCATCGACCTCTGTCAGTAAGTTTCTGGCGCAATTCTCTCAAAATTGGTCAGAATTCTCGGCCGTCTAGGTGAATCGTCGAGAAATACTAAAAATAAAAACCTAGCAATGGAGGCTTTCTGATCAAAATTCTTCGCCTGTCGCCGTCGGCAAAACCAAGAGAGAGAGAGAGAAAGAGAGGGGAGGAGAAGACGGTGGATCTCCGGCGGGTGAAAAGGGCGGATCTGGCCGTGAGATGGAGAAGGCGCGTGAAGGAGCGTGCAGCGTGAATTGGAAGACGAGCTTTCACGCGTGTGTAGCGCTCGAGCGTGTCTGGGAAAAAGAGGAGTGTGTGAACCTAAGGCTTGGCACGAACTAGGCGTGTGTGATTTGTGTTTGTGCGTAAACGAAGGAAGAGAAGAGACGGGCTCATTAAACGTGTGAAGAGGGAAGCACGTGCCACCTCCATCATCACGAGATTTTGATGCCCTCTGCGCGGCACACAAGGCTGGGGGTAGTCACGTGACATGCCTGACCAGTCACAGACTCACAGTTCGCATGATGTGATGTCTTTCTCAATATTACAAAACACAGTTAACAAACTGCGTGCGGTTTTACTCTCTTAGGCGGGGACTGCATCCCGCTTTAGACTTTTGTTGAGTTTGTCGTTGACCGTTGCTTGAAGCCTCTCTCTTGTCTCGAGGGTTTGTGTGTTGAACTTTAACTAGAAGTTGACCCAAAAAAATTAGTTACAAAATATGAAAATACAAATGGCACTAGAAAATGTAGTATATCTGGTTTCATTTTATTGAAAAAAATGATAAAAACTTTTTCAAAAATCGCCAGAAAATGTATTTTTTTTCGATTAAGAAAAATGACATTTATAACATATTATCGAAAGTCTTAGAAAAAATGAAGGTTATATTATTATAATGATCTTCAAAGACTATCTTTATATCTTTATATTAAAAAGTAAATGACATCTACACCATAATGTCTCAATTCTACATTAACATTTTTAAAACATTGAAAAAAAATATTGTGTCAACAAAAAAAAATTAACAATTCCAATAACATTATTAGCAACCTTCATTATGAGATTGATTTAGTATTTAATTAGAAAAGAATGGGACAACCTTGAGTTTACACACCTAACGCATATATAGCAACTTTCATTATGAGATTGATTAGCTAAATGTGGAAGGCACGTCTCTTCCCACAATTAGATCAAACGGCCATAATTCGTCGGAGACAATCAATTCTTTATTAATTTTATTTTTATTCATTAAAAAATAACAAATAAGCTAATTCAAGCTGGACGTGGGATGGGAGCTCCATGTATTAACCTTGGTCACGTTCATCAGACGAGCCAACAACGAAAGAGAAGAATTTCGAACTCACCAAAGCATTGATACACACACTCGTGATCGTTATGGATAGTTCATCTATTTCCGACCAAAACGAGGTATCTGTCTCGGGAACTCCGACGAGCTATGTTTCTTCGCCGTACCGGAGAACGTACTCAGATATCTCCGGGTTATCTCACCGGTTTGACGTTCAGAGCTTTTATAACCGGCCGTCAAACACTAACGCCGTTGTCTTGAGTGGCCATGAAGAAGATATCTCCGAAGACGCCGTGGAACCAAAAGATGACGTCGACGCAGACGGAGACGAAGGAGATAGCGACATTGATTCTGCAGAAGATGCAGGTAAAAAAATTTTAAGACTCTAACTTTAGTCTTTTGTCATTTCGATTAAACCGTGGTTGTTAGTGCAGAACTAGAGATGATGAGAGAACGATTTGCGAAGCTATTGCTTGGTGAAGATATGTCGGGAAGCGGGAAAGGAGTTTGCACAGCTGTTACTGTCTCAAACTCCATAACCAATCTTTATGGTTCGTCTTCTTCTTCTCCTCTCAGATATGCTCTGTTTTTTAAACAGAGTATTTATAGTGTAGCCTGTGTCTGTTGTGTTATTGCAGCGACTGTGTTTGGACAAAGTTTAAGGCTACAGCCATTGAGTACAGAAAAGAAAGATTTATGGAAGCGAGAGATGAATTGTTTTATGTCTATTTGTGATTATATTGTCGAAGTTATTCCAAGATCTCTTGGTACTAATGTTGAGGTAAGAAGTCAAATCAAATATACGATTTGAAGACTATCTTAATTTTGACACCCAATCTCATACACTGAAAACTCGTTTTTTTTGTTGTTGTTGTTTAAATTCTAGATAACAGAAACAAAGCTAAGATCTGATATTCTCATGAGTCTTCCCGCTTTAAGAAAACTCGATAACATGCTAATGGTACGTAAAAGACTTGAATTTGACAGATAGATAATCAAGATTCAAGATTCCAAACACGATTGGTTTGGCTTTTGTAGGAAATATTGGATAGTTTCACGGAGAACGAGTTCTGGTACGTTGAAAGAGGAAGCTCATCGATGAACTCGAGTGGTGGTGGTAGAGATTCAGGAACGTTTAGGAAAGTGGTGGTTCAACGGAAAGACGAGAAATGGTGGCTTCCGGTGCCATGTGTTCCTGCTGAAGGTTTATCGGAAGAAGAACGAAAGCATTTACGTCACAAACGCGATTGTGCCAGTCAAATACATAAAGCGGCATTGGCCATTAACGATTCCACTCTTAATGACATGGATATTCCTGATTCTTATCTCACCACTCTTCCGAAGGTATACACATATATGATTAGGGGAAATATAAAGTTAACTATTATTGCGACTTCCGTACGAGTTTTCTTTAAATGTTCAGAACTTGATGTAACGTGAAAGTGTTGAAATCAACTTGGTGTTGTTTGATTTTCTGGACAGAGTGGGAAAGCAAGTGTAGGAGACGTGATATACAAGCAACTATGCACGGCCGAGAAGTTTTATCCTGACCAGCTTCTCGACATCTTGAAGATCACATCGGAGCACGAGGCGCTTGAGTTAGCCGACAAAGTTGAGGCTTCACTAGTAACGTGGAGGCGTAAGACTGGAGGCTTGACTCACTCTAAGTCCTCATGGGACATGATGAAAGATATCGGTGGCGATGCAGATCGTGGCAATGACAAGAACCACATTCTCGCGGCTCGAGCCAGGAGCTTACTCTTCTGTCTGAAACAGAGATACCCTGAACTTTCTCAGACCTCACTTGACATCTGCAAGATTCAGTTTAACCGAGTGAGTATCCTGTATCCGGTCCCTATATATAGAACCTTTTGTTTACAATTTGTTTTCGGATCAATCGAACTGTTATATATGATGAACATTTTTGTTTTGGATAGGATGTGGGAAAGGCGGTATTGGAGAGCTATTCGCGGGTTTTAGAAGGTTTGGCATATAACGTTGTGTCGTGGATTGATGATGTTCTTTACGTCGACAGAACAGTGAGGAACAGAGAAGATTAGGGCTTCCATTTGAGCACCGACAAAAAGATATGTTTTCCTTTTGTTTTGGGATGTATGAGAAAGTGTTGTCTTTTTATATATACGCTATTTTGTTCTAAATTTCTGAACCACACAGGTGAGAGAAGAACATCTTTGTCCCTGTTTTTTCTAGATTCCAACTCTAAGTTTGGTCTTGGTTGGTGCTAAGTGTCGCCGTTAACAAAGCGTTACCTTTAAACAGCCCTATTGATCAGAAGTTACAAGCCTAGGTTAGTGAAGGAATAAGAAAACTTTCTAACTCTGTTAAAACCAGTAAAAGAACATTAGTGATGAGAGTGAAGATGATGATGATGATGATGAATCAGAAACCAAAAGCCAAACATTCGACAAGCAAAGAAGAAATTAAAATTAGCAGATGTTCTTTAGACAATTAGTGGCCTTAATCTGCCAAAGAGCAATCTTTGGATTATGTGTGCTATTTGATTGATTCTTGGCTGAAACATAATGAAGCAAGTTGGCTGAAACATATTCAAGCCTTGTTTTATTTGATCTCATATAACAAATTAACAACATGATACATCTAACATTCACAACATAACTCGAAACTCTACAGAAGCCAAATGGGAAAGAAAAACAGAATTACCGAAAGAGACAAAACAAAGTGTTTCTTTTGCAATCTTTGGGTATGAAAAAGCTGTGGTTGTGTGTATCTGCACAAGAAGGGAAACTATAGCTTGTACATGGAAGTGGAAGTGACACTGTACAGAGTAAACAAAGGGGCCTCTTGATGACCATTAGTGCATTCCTTGTAAGCACGAGTGTTGGTTGGAGCAGTCAAACTCAAGTAACCAGATTGTGTAGAGTGGTTTCGTTCATCGTTTCAGCTCGAATCAAGCTTATGCAGTTGGTGATTATCTCTTCTAATAGTTCATCAAGGATCATTTCACCTGATTCAGATCCTATGCAACCGATATCAAAGCGGAGGTCCATCCAGCATCCAGCCCTAGCCAGGTCTTTCTGCACTATCTGGTCTAGTGTGTGAGGGGAAGGCAACGGTAAGAGATGCCAGTAAACTTCTTCTTGTACAACTTCAACAGCATTTTCCATGTCTGGAAAAAACCGAACTGCAGGTTTGACGAATGAAACCCAAGGGCCATGTCCACAAAACTCCGTAAGAACTTCATTGATACAGTCAAAAAGGAGTTTCTTATCGCTGCAGAGATTTGTAGAACAGAAATCTATGTCATTCATTAAAGCCTGCTCAAGAAGCTGCTCCGAATAAAAAGATCTCGCCAAAAGCTCTTCCCAGTTCAACTCTGAGGATTTCACCACGGCTTGAATGTATGCTAGAGCCAATTCCTTGTCATTCATTCTAGTTTTGACATCATTTTCTTTGTTGGTTCTTGGAGAATCAGCTTCATCGAATCTTATGCACAGGGGTTGCATGCGCATTTCGACTAATTGAGTAGATGAGGAAGATTAGAATCAGAGCTCTGAACAAAAGTTTTACTAGAATACTAAATAGGTGTTGCAAATTCCTTTTAGGCATATACCTGAAGAGGACCTGGAGCTGTTTGGACTAGTGTCATCATCTGTAAAGAAAGGCTCAAGCACAGACACAGGACTTGACTTTCCCAGCACATCTGTGGTATTTTCTTGGCAATCAGACATTTTTCCTAAAGAGTTTGGTGGAGAACACGGTAATTTCCCCTCATCAAATACTTCCTAAAAACAGGATGAAGCAGTACATATGAGCCTTCCTTCAAGAAAATAACTATAACTGTATCATAGACTCAAGGATTCAAACCTTTTGTAAGGGTTGCTTTTGCTCATCCTCATCAATGTATGCATCTTGGTGGGTAATGGAAGCGTTAATTGCTTCAGACAATGAATCCAGAACAGTCTTCTCTTCCTCTTCCATCTTGGTGTCTGAAATGCCTGCTGATTACTCATCATAAGCAGTTAGTCTCATTTTGACATTTCAAAAACCCACCTAGGCTGAGAAAGAAACAGATCAAAAGAAAAGAAGAAAAATAATCACCTCTAGGAACTGGAAGATCACCGGTAGAGGCTGTTTCTTCATATGTCTTTGAATCAGATACTAGTAGCTGGGAGTATTGATCTGAACTGCACTGCTGAATCTTTGGTTTCTCGGTATTCTGATCAACAACAAACTCATGTGCCAAGGTCACTCTAGGACTGTTTTCTGGTGTGGAGAACTCAGGGAGAGCAAGAATCTTCCCAAGGATTCTTGGTACTTCTTTATCCGGTGAATCAGCATCTATATCTCCTTCTGCAAGCATTTCAGACAGGTGTTTCTTGGCGGCAATGTATATATCACACATACTCTTCTTTGAATCTTCTCTCCCATGGATGGTGTCACTTTTTGAAGCAATGTCAGGCAATATTTCTCCACCTAAAACATGCCTTCCGGAAGCAATATGCCTTCCAGAAGTAGTATCGGACTCTTCTCCCAAACAACCGTTCTGACTCATGTTAGACGACAATACATCTGAATCAGGATCAGAGTCATGTTGAACATTGCATGGATTCTTTCCAACAGCAAAATTTAGTTTTCTTCTGATTCTACTGAGAAATAAGCGAGAACCAAATCTCCCATATTTGGCCTTGTTGTCTGCAGAAGGTGTTCCAGGTGATGATCCAACATCCAAGCTATTTGGTTCAGGCTTCAGAATTACAATTGTTTGTGTGCATTGAGAAGTTCTGCTTTCATATGGAGAGCTTGTCTCTTTGACTCTCTGAGAATCCCCTGAAATTGGTGTACCAGTATTCAAGAATGATCCTGCTTTAGAATCCAAGACCTGATATGCATCCACCAGGTTGTCGCAATTCTCTACCTCGTTATCCTTCTGAGCTATCAACCGCTTTATCAACTCGCTGAACTTCTCTTCGGAATCATCATCGTTTACCAAATCCACTTCGTGCTGAGAACTTCTTGGACATTGATCATCATCTAATTTCTCTGCATGATCGTCATGACCAGCAATCAAAACATTGACATCCTCACTGATTTTGCTGCAGGGTCTACTTCTCCTCTTCCGGTTTCTGGCCTCACACTTTTGCTTAGTCTTCTCATCAATCTCCTCTTCAATGAGTTTCTTGACACTCTGCATCTCAGCTTCTTCACTCTCCTGAGACAAAAAAAAATAAACACATACAATTTTTAATTCCCTCAAAACAATTAATTTTGAACAACAAGAGCAGGTTTGATTCTATAAGCCAACAAGAACTTAACAAAGACCTCACAGTCACAGTCACAGGTAAGCTGCTTCTCCACTTTAGTCTCAAACATTCCGTTATTACCTGCAGCATTTGTTTCAATCAAACTAACAAAGTGAGAATCTTTCTACTATTTTGTTTTGTCTCAGAAACATACATTTTCTCAATTTCATGGCTATGACTCAAAAAGAGAGAAGAAGAAGAAGGACTAAAAAACCAATGATTCGTTTGCTTCCACGTTTCTTATCCATCAAAAGCTTCTGGTTAGATCCACCATGTCTGAAATCAAACATGCTCATAAACACCCACGCACATCCTATCCCTTCTCTTGAGAGATGTCTTCGACAAAGTTCTTTCTCCATTAAAATCCACAGTCCTCTTCTTCTTCTCTTCTCTCACTCTGTTGAGCAAAAAAAAAAAAAAAAAAGAGTAATTAGAAAAACAGATACCAAAACTGTGAATGCAATCAAAGAATATTATGTCTGAATAAAAACTAGTCTTTATATGATTCATGCATTCTTGATTGATCCTTACGAAAAAGAAAGAAAAGTCTTTTACCTTAAAAATCCGATCTTGCAAGAAACAGAACAATCTACTGAAAAGTGCAGAAGAGAAGAAGTAGTGATAATACTTTACTCACTCACTCACTCACTCACTCAACAACTCAAAGAGTTTGGTATTGTTATAAGAAACCAGCTGGAAGGATTATATTAAGTTCCAGATTTCGCATAAAATGCGGCTTTGTTTAGCTTTAGTATTTTCCTAAATATGATAATAGAAAAACTCACGAGAGGGTGACGACGAAGCTCGAAGCACGAGGGTAGATTGTTTTAGCAATGTGTGTCATTTAGTAGACCCACTTCTCTCACCAGAAATATACTCCAATTGTTTTTTTATTAAATAAAATACCCAGAGATATAATAAAAGAAAACAAAAAAAAAAACAGACTACTACTTGATTAAATAATTTGACATTTGGCATCAAATTACAAGAGTTTTACATTAGAAACGACAAAAACCCGACCAAGAGAAGAAAACAAAGAAAAACAAATAGTCAACAGCTTTTTCCTTCTTGTTCATTTCCTACATTAGAAAAAAAATTTAAAACAACTCCATTTTCTTAATCAAAACCTAATTGCAAATTTGTAAATATGACAGTATATATAGTATCTGGTAAAGTAATAACTTTGCCTAAAATGTGGATACACACATAAATTGTAGTTAGTACATAAACGTATGTGACGACTGTAAATACAAATATGAGTGGGAGAAAGAGAGAGAGTGATGAATGCAAGTAACTATGGAGGAGGATACGGTCAATCGGAGTCGGTTAGGTTAAAAAAAATGGTCCTCTGGAGCCAAGTTGTCCGAGTGAGAGAGAGTACCGTACGGCGACATGTGTGTCGGGAAAGGACAAACTCGTCCATTTCTTAACGTTCTCTCTTCTTTTTTTTTTTTTTTTTTTTTTTTATACTCTTATTTGTAGTAGTATTGTTTTGGGAGAGTCTGTCTGACTCACCGTTTATTTTATAAACAATGTCAGTGTCGTTGTTAAGTCCCAATAAAACTGTATAATAAATGCATGTCGAGAGCCACGACCGTGATTAAACGAAACAAGCTTGCGATCCAGAACTAGCTAATTAGTCACATACCTAAAAAAAAGAAGACATCATGTCATGTCATATGTGTATATTATATGTATGTATATTGAGTTAAAAGTTGTAGTTCATGTAATTTCTGTTAACCATTAAAACAAAAAATGCGAAGAATAGCGCAGTAAAAAAAAAAAAAAAAAAGTTTCTCACAGTTGGCAAACTCCATTTATGATTATTTGGACATTTGCTATACATATCAGTATATGTAGGATCAGCATATAATATACAACAACGAACGATGTTGATCTTATTTTGGACCACATCCTTCTGCGTAACTTTTTTGCGAATTTGGATACGTGTATCCATCCATGTACATAAAATGTTTCTCACATAATATATATATTAGAAATGGTTTTATATATTCGTCGTTAAGCATGCAGCATGCGCCAAATTTAGTATAGTTATGATGTCCATTTCCAATACTCCAGTATCTATCTTATTACACACAATTAAGTCCGACAAAAAAATAAAAGAATACTAAGCTCGTCACTCTAGAATGTTAAATCATTTTTTTTTTTTTTTTGATCCGTTCGATATTTTTATCACCATTTGATTCCTACTTATAACTGTAATTCTATTAATATTGATAAAAGTAGATTCGGTGTAAAGAGATTTAATACTCCCTTTCAGTAGCCGTAATTAAAGAAAACACTTAATTAGAAAGAAGCTAAATTGCTTTTAGTAGTGCCAAGGTAAAAGACAAAAGCAATTAATGATGGAAAAAAAGAAAAAAAGAAAGAAAGACAAAAAGCAATTAACAAATGTTCGCAATGAAGACCTTAAAAACAAAATTAAGAAACCGACAACGTTTCTTGTTTGTATTTTGCTCAGCATATAACAACAGACGAAACGACGACGGTGGGGAGTATACGAAGCATTTTGAAGATACGACGTTCTTAGGATTCTTCTCTTACGATTTCGTCTCTCTTGTCCTAATAAGCGCATGTGAAGATTTTATGGGTCTTTTGCGCATCGCTTTCTATCGGCATCCAATACAACCCGACTCGAAGGTTATGTGCATGCAAGCAATGTTTCGTTGTTCTTGTTCGTTCTTAGGTTCCATCGCCCATCTTAGTCTTGTAATTACTTAAACTGGAATTTAATAAAAGATTAGTTAGAAATTAAGTCAACAAAAGTATATATGGTAGCGTCATGTCTAATTAAATGCATGATTAGTTTTTGACTTTTTATATTCTATACTTTTGTTCTTATATGTTAATTATTATATAAGAATTTTTTCATTATGTTCTACCTAACATAAAAACTATAGTTTAGTGTAATCTTATAAAATAAGCAGGGTATGGTGTTGCCATATAAACAACTGCTCTATCTAGTCACCACAATCATCTTTAGTTGTCAAAGGTTTTGGTAACATGAATAAAGTAATCATAAAAAAAAAAAAAACGGGGATAACGTAAAAAATAATGAGCATATACATGCATGACTCGCTGTTAAAACTTAAACATCTTAAATGGAACGTAATATGATTGATCTGATATTGTAACGGATGGGAAATTATCAAAGTTTAAGTCATCATCTAGCTACTTATAACATCAACTTAATATGGTGATATGCACGAAACAACTAATCATTACAAACAATATATATTTTTCCAATAATATTTATCGTACGGATTTGATCTCGATCGGATGATGTGGGACTATGAGTGATTATGGCGAATATTTTGTGTGCTACCAAAATCTGCAATTTGAACATGTTGATTAGTTTGTCCAAAAAAAAAAAAAGAACATGTTGATACGTTTCAGGCTTTTGAAGCGAACCTTTGGATTCGGACTTTGGAAAGCAAAACTTTGGGTCTGGACGTAGATAATTCAAAAGAGGCTTATATGGATACATTAAGGCCCGTGCATTATATAATTATTTGCCCATTTCCATTTAATATATCAATTCGTTTGTCATTTTTCATTTGACTAAAGGGGCTAAACCGGAGTTCCATTTCCTCTATTTTCCGTGCTTTGTTAAAATTCTTGACTCATATCTAAATTGTTTTAAGTTTTAGCTGTAACCTAATTTTACAATTATATCACGTTTTATCTTAGAAGTTTTGTACTCATCATGCAAACTTTTTTTTTTCTTTCTTATGAATCAAAAATATGAATAGAAAGGCGATTCTTATCAAAGAGAGAGGAACTTTAAAATTATCAAATAGAGGAACCAAATATGGTTTGTTTAATAAGTATGTTTAATCCCGGTTATCGTGAAGACTAGTCATATATCCCAAATAACATTATTTTCCCGGCCCTAACGGAAACGTGCACGAACAAATTGTCAAATTCAAACCGCTGTTTACGAATGAATAAATAGATGCTACATTCCCAAATCGTATATCCTATGTTGAAATATTCCATGATCATAACGATAATTATTAATACTAGAACAATTCAATAAAAACTTGGTTAATTAGTTATACATTATTACTAAACTAGTGGAAATTGTGGATGTGCTTCGCCTGTCTTCATATCATGAGACAACCTTTTCTTTCATTTTTTTTAATTCACCTGTCAATTACACATTAACGTAATATTCAATAAGATATAAAATTCTATATCGACCCCCAGGGATATATATATATATATATATATATATACATTTTTATAATTAAAATGAAAATGACAAGGGAATAAGCATTTCGGGGAATATGCCTATTATTTTACATTATATAACATGGTACAACCACACACGCCACATTAACAATTCAACTAGTGTTGTTCTTGATTTTTTATTTGTTTATATGTTGTTCTTGATTTATTCGGGACAGAAAAAAACTTGGATAGTTGTTTTAGATGCTTTTCATCTATATTTTTTTATTTATCTATATGCTTTTCATCTATATTATTAGTTGTTTTAGATGATATTTTTCTCCTCTATATTTCTAAAAAGAAATGTACAAAATTATGAAGATAAAAAGAATATATCAACCAAGTAGCTAAACTAGTATTTAACGTATAATTGGAGTGGTATTTATTATTAGAAATTATTTTAATTTTTCGAATTCGGACACCCTAACATCCAAAACATACGATGGTAAAAGTTGTGTCGAGTTTTCAGAAAAACCACGTGTGATTTTTCTATATGTATCTGGTTTTGGTTTTAATGTTAAGATATATAGTGATGTTCTTATTATATTCACATCATCTATGCATGGTGCACTTGTCCCTCACACATTTGATTAGAATTTTAGATTCGTGATGCGTTAAATTTGAGAATGGTTTTCCAAAAACTTTAAGATGGTTACAATTTAAAGTCATCATCCTAACGGCTTTGGTATTTTATGTCTTGCAAAACTTTTGGAGTCTTGAATATCGGATTTTTTTGGTAATCAAATGAAAATCTTATTTTCGGCAAAAAAAAAAAAAGGAAAAAGACAGCGTGGATCTCGTCAGTCTACGAGTTGTTGTACCAATCACATCATATGTGACACGTGTCATAAATCGGTAAAGGTGGAGCATACAAATATATAAGTAGTAGCGCACAGCAGATAAATAAACCTCTTCTCTTCTTAAAACGCTCATGTTCTCGCTCTCCGGACCACGTCACAATTTAAGCATCAAAGAGCACACAAATCCCCAAGAAGCTTCGTTTTGGTAAAGCAAAATCGAATAATAGTTATACTTTCAGAGACGCTTTGTTCTCAATCTTTTTCTTCTTCCTCTCTTCTCCGTAAATTTCCCGAGAAAATCTCAGTTCTCTTGTCTTTTATGTGTGTGTGTGTTTTTTGGTTGTTCTGACCAAGAGTCGTTTTCCTGTATATTTTGGTCAATACCTTTCGAAATTGATATCATATCGAACTCTTTCTTCTTCGTCTTCCTTATCCGTAGACTTTAGGGTTTCACTACGATTCGAGTGTGTCTGTGTGCTTCGAAAATTTCAGACTGGTATGAACTTTTCCCTTTTGGATATCAAAACTTCTATCTTTACTCGATGCTTGTTGATTGGTGTTTCCGGAGTTGAGATTCTTAATATCGGTTTCGTTGTTGTGTGGAATTTAGGAGTCAAACGACCTGGTCTGTCAGATTTGGCATTGGAGAGAGGTTTTGCAATGGCTTTGGTGACTCCAATTCCAGCAATGGGTGAAAGAGCTGGATCCATGAGATTTCACGGAATCGGTAGCCCAGGATCAAGGTCCAGTAGGAGCGGGATTATGGACGAACCGGTTTCGCGGCTGATCGAGGAGAAAATCTTCGTTGCGGTGGATAAACACGTGGCCAAGAGCAAGTCTACACTCATTTGGGCTTTGCAAAACACTGGTGGGAAGAAGATTTGCCTTATTCATGTTCATCAGCCCTCCCAGATGATTCCAGTTAGTAAGTACCTTATACCTTGTTTGTGTCCGATAACTTAGAGCCTTATTTTTAAGTCTGGTTTTAGCTGAGTACATATGTGAAACGTTGTACACCTTTCTAGTTTCTGGTCGTTGATCTTCTTCTTATTGTTTTTTTCCCTCATTGATCCATCCCAGTGGGCGCAAAATTCCCAGTTGGCTCTGTGAAGGATGAAGAAGTCAGGGTTTTTAGAGAAAAGGAAAGGGAGAAAGTACATATGATTCTAGACGAGTACCTTCGTATATGCCAACAGAGAGGGGTATGCCTTTCATTTGTTGCTTTTTTCTTTTTCTTTTTTGGTTTTGATCTTGTTCTTTTACTTCATTGGCTAGCACTACGATTATGATTGTAGGTCAGGGCAGAAAAGATGTTTATTGAAATGGAATCTATCGAGAATGGAATTGTGCAACTGATCTCTGAGCTGGGAATCAGGAAGCTTGTCATGGGAGCTGCAGCAGATAGACACTATTCAAGGTATCCTCATAGGATTCTAAATGCGTGTTTTTTATTACTCTCTACTTATGCATATTGAATCAACTCTTGTATATCTGTCTGCTGTCTCTCTCTTAAATATCTTAAATTTCGGCCTGCTCTTTCATTTGACTTACAGGAGAATGACAGATCTTAAGTCCAGGAAAGCCATCTTCGTACGCCGAGAAGCACCTACTCTTTGTCAAATATGGTTTACTTGCAAAGGATACTTGATACATACAAGGTTTGGCCAATTCTTTTTCTCATATCCTTAGATTTCAAAATTACTTGTACGAGTCAGCAATGTATAGTTAGTACTGTAGTAGTCTTTAAGCTTATCAAGAGCTGCATTGGCATTGAACATGGCGCATCTGTGGCTGCTTATTAGTAATCTTTGTTGTGCTATCATTACAGGGAAGCTACTTTGGATGACTCTGAATCAGAATATGCATCTCCGCGTCCTTCCATAAGTGCAAGTGATCTACTACAAACTTTCTCTACACCAGAGTCTGAACATCAGCATATATCTCGAGTACAGAGCACCGATTCAGTTCGACAATTAGTAAGCAATGGAAGTTCAACTGAACACAGCGGGAGGGTGTCGAATGGGTCTTCAAATACTGATGATGAGGAGAGAGTCTCCGATGCCAGTGAAGTAACGGGAAGTGCAACAGTTATGAGTACAGTTGACGAGAATTCTGGCCATTCATCTCCCTCCAATTTTCCGGTATGCCATGTAGTCCCTAATGGAAAAAACAATGCATATTGATTTTGTATACCTTGCATTCTCAGCTGTCCAGGAATTTTTTCCATCATTGCAGGATGGGGTGGATGATTCATTTAACAATAAAATCCGAAAAGCTACGTCAGAGGCTCACAGTTCTAAACAAGAAGCTTTTGCAGAGACTCTTAGGCGTCAAAAAGCCGAAAAAAACGCACTTGATGCAATCAGAAGGGTGGGTTTCCTTGCAAAAATAACTTAGCAGGCACTGAACTTGTAAAAAATTGATTGCTAGATATTTAGCTGGAGATATATGTTAACTGGACCTTCATGTTTGCTACCGTATCACTTGAAGAGATTACCTAGGCTTAATGGTGGTGCTTTTAGTTACAGAAATAACAGCTACAATATAATAGTATTCTGATATTGTTGCTACTTACTATAGGCTAAACAATCAGAAAGTGCCTATTCTGAGGAGTTGAAGCGAAGGAAAGATACGGAGATAGCAGTAGCGAAAGAAAAAGAGAGATTTGTAACAATAAAAAAAGAGCAAGAGGTAATCATGGAAGAACTTCAAAGTGCAATGGATCAGAAAGCAATGCTTGAGAGCCAAATAGCAGAGTCTGATGGTACAATGGAAAAGCTACACCAGAAGCTTGATATAGCTGTGAAGTTATTGCAAAAGTTAAAGGATGAACGAGAGGAGTTGCAGACAGAACGTGATAGAGCACTCAGAGAAGCTGAGGAGTTAAGGAGTCGCGCAGAAACCTCAACTCTACAGTTACCTCAGTACTTCACGGATTTCTCATTTTCCGAGATTGAGGAAGCAACTAATCACTTTGATTCGACTCTGAAGATTGGGGAAGGTGGATATGGGAGCATCTACATTGGTATTCTGCGTCATACACAGGTGGCTATTAAAATGTTGAATCCTAACAGTTCGCAAGGCCCTGTAGAATATCAACAGGAGGTAATTTCTTGACAGATTATTAATGAAGCTAAGATTTGTTCAAATTAAATTGTTGTGCACAAACTGCTGCCTCTACTAAGAAGGGGACTTTGAAGCAGCCCTCTGAAGTTTTAAATTATATAGTATTTGCTGTGGAGGAGCTTTGACTTATTCTTGCTGCATTGCAGGTTGATGTGTTAAGTAAAATGAGGCATCCAAATATCATCACACTAATTGGAGCATGTCCAGAGGGGTGGAGTCTTGTCTATGAGTATCTTCCTGATGGAAGCCTTGAAGACAGGATAAATTGCAAAGACAACTCTCCACCCTTGTCGTGGCAAAATCGTGTACGCATTGCCACTGAGATATGTGCAGCACTTGTCTTTCTTCATTCCAATAAAGCGCATAGCTTAGTACATGGTGATTTGAAACCAGCAAATATCCTTCTCGATTCCAATCTCGTTAGCAAGTTAAGTGACTTTGGGACTTGCTCACTACTTCATCCTAATGGAAGCAAAAGCGTGAGAACTGATGTCACAGGCACAGTTGCTTATTTGGATCCAGAAGCTTCCAGTAGTGGAGAGCTAACTCCAAAGTCAGATGTTTACTCGTTTGGGATTATCTTACTGCGCTTGTTGACTGGGAGACCTGCCACACGGATATCAAACGAAGTGAAGTATGCCCTCGATAATGGAACATTGAACGACCTTTTGGACCCTTTAGCTGGTGACTGGCCTTTTGTTCAGGCGGAGCAGCTTGCTCGCTTGGCATTAAGATGTTGCGAGACTGTCAGCGAGAATCGTCCGGATCTTGGAACTGAAGTGTGGAGGGTACTTGAACCTATGAGGGCTTCTAGTGGAGGATCTTCATCTTTCCATCTCGGCCGTAATGAGCACCGCATAGCCCCTCCATACTTCATTTGCCCCATTTTCCAGGTAACCAATATGTATAGTCAAGTATTGATTTCCAATTTTATTATAAATTTCAGAAGACTTAGATCATAAAGGCATTGAAATTTGCTTGTTGGAGGTCTCAAACCATTGTGTTACTGTTTAATGGTATTAAACTCATTTGTGCTCTGGTTTTAAAAAAATTTCAGGAAGTCATGCAGGATCCACATGTGGCTGCAGATGGTTTCACATACGAAGCAGAGGCTATAAGAGCGTGGCTGGACAGTGAACATGATACTTCACCAATGACCAATGTAAAGCTTTCTCACACCAGCCTAATCGCTAACCATGCTCTTCGTTCTGCGATTCAGGAGTGGCTTCAACATCATTGGTGAAAATAAAATCGTTCAAACGCTCAACTCCTGTTCCCGCCGGTAGTAGTCTCTTATGAAAAAAAAAAGTTTTTGCCTTTTTCTGCGGGAGACAACAGAGAGTGAGTGAGTAAGATTAGTTTTTTTTTCTCCAGTCTTCCTTATACGTATACATAATACGATCTCTCCATATTTGTTTACTTTGTCAAGAATAGTGTAAGTCCTCCATATTTGTCATATATGAAAAAAGAAGAGGCTGGTGAGATTTGTATGTTTATATATATGTTCGGTATGAAAAAGGTTATATGTTTTTTTTTTTTTTGAATTTAATGTTAAAAAAAAGGTTATATGTTTATTCCTTTTGTGTGAGAAGAACTGCTTCAAAATGAGATGCCTTTACTTTGCTAGACATTTGATTGGGATGAGTCTTAAATTATTAAGTCAAGACTATCGTGTAAGACTTGTTTTCCTCCTAGAAGAAGTTACTTTTGATTGCCTAATATAATGAATATTATTACGTTAAATTCTTATGATTAATCTTACTTAATTAACAGTGATGTCAGGTTGTTTTGGCGGCTAGTGGCATAACTATAAAAAGGAAACTCAAGAGTTCTACTGAGGTAAGCAACCTAACGCAGCACTGAAAGACACCAATCTGGAAAGTGCTGAGACTATTCTTCAGGATTTTCTCAAAAGTCTTTGTGGAATTCGTGTATCTGCGTCAATATGTCGACATTCCTCTTCGTACATAGATATTGTCGTTGAAAGTTAAAAAGCCTTCGTTATTTTAATACATAATACAACTTCTGCGTTAAGGCTACGTTTCGTCATTGGTACCGTGGTTGACTTCGTATGCATGTTACAAGTGCATAAAATGTTCTTGTTTGTTGATTGCTTCCTCTGTCAGATCTATCGTCTCTTTTCTTGTATTGCGAAAATTCATGTTTGTTCTTGTTTGTTCTCTTGAGTGAATTAGAGGTATGTTTTGAGTGTCTTATATATATGGAGTGTCTTGGAAAAAGGAGTTTCGATCCAAGCAAAGGGGAAAAGTGCTGGCTTCATGAGGCTTCAATGCAGCGTTAATCGCTGAATCCGGACCAAGCAAGTGAGATAGATAGAGATGATGAGCAAACCAGTTTCGCAGCTGCTGCTAATGGATGAGAAGATATATGTTGCAGTGGGGAGGGACTTGGGGAACAAGTCCACTCTTGTTTGGGCGATACAGAACACTGGAGGTAAGGAGTTCTGTATCGTCCACGTTCACCAGCCGCTCTACAGACAAGACAAGGAAAAGACACAAAAGATCCTCGACAAGTACCTTCAATTATGCAGGCGACTGCATGTATGTTGTGGCTACTTCTATTGCTAATAATAATATTTTATTCATTTGTTTTGATGATACAAGAGATAAAGAGAGCCGATTTTGATATTGTAGGTCCGTGGAGAGAAGATACTCATTGAAAATGACTCGGTAGAAAAGGGGATCATCCAATTGATCTCAGAGCGCAATGTCAAGAAGCTTGTCATGGGAGCTGCATCAGACGGACACTATTCAATGTAAAAACACACTTACTAGTATTGGATTTTCATCTTCTCATGGATGGCTCTTATTATCTCACTTAAGGGTTCATCATTAATCTTAATTTGCAGGAGGATGGCGGATCTGTTGTCCATGAAAGCCATTTACATTCGTCAAGAAGCTCCTTCTACATGTTGTATATGGTTTACTTGCAAAGGATACCTGGTATATACGAGGTCTATCCCGATCCCCTGTAACCTTTGTACGACAAAAAATACTATTTCAGACGAATCCTTGGATGAATCTTTGTGTTTTGTCTGACTCTTGTGAGTTTTAACAGACAATGAGATTGTGAGAACAATCAGTTGTCACAAGACTAATATATCTTGTAATGGTATAATGCAGGGAAGCTATCACGGGTAATACCGCTCTAGAGTATGCATCTACAAGTTCCAATCAAGGTTCAGTCCATTCACGAGGATCTGTTAGACCTCCGGGCCAATTTACGATATCTAGAGGAAATGGAAATGTGTATCAGTTAGCTGTCTTTGAAGCTGAGAAATCGAACAAGGAAGCAAGCTTGGAGGCTTTGAAGCATCAGGAAGCTGAAAAAGAGAAAAATGAAGCAGTCAAAAGGGTAACATATTCTTGGGAATCTCAAACTAGCTACTACAAATACTATTGCCATTGGGAAGGTTAACTTTGCCTCTGATGATTACAAAGTATTCTGACCAAATACATTATATATAGGCTAAAGAATGGGAAAGTGCCTATCAAGAGGAGCTGAAACGTAGGAGAGAAGCAGAGATGGAGCTGAAGAAAGCGAGAGAAACACTCGGGAAGATGAGGTATGTATCTGAGAACCGGATAACCGAGTCCTATATGTTGGTACAAAAGCTGCAAGACAGGTATAACTTGGCAACGAAAGTGTTGAGAAAAGCCAAGGAAGAACGTGATGAATTGATAAAAGGACGTGACATAGCAATTATAGAAGCACAGGAGCTGAAGAGAATCCATGAGAAGGTCTCTCAATCTGATGAGCACCGTGAAGCTCCTCAGTACTTCATCTGTCCCATTTCACTGGTAAAACCAAAGTCAATCTAGAGAGGACCCGAAGATTGTATGAAATCAATTTATAAAAAATTGAAACCTTTGTTTTCCTTGTTTATAATATGTTGCAGGAAGTGATGGATGATCCACAACTGGCAGCAGATGGATTTACATATGAAGCAGAAGCCATAAGAACATGGCTTGAGAGTGGACATGAGACTTCACCAATGACGAACAAGAAGCTTCTGCATACAAACTTAGTTCCAAATCTTGCTCTTCGATCTGCTATCCAGGAATGGCTTCACGCATCATCCTCTTCCCGAAAGTGATTAAGAAAAAAAATTTTTATTCTTCAGTATTTGCTTCATTGAACTCGTCTACTTGTAATGTATATAAAACTCATGTAATTTGAAAGACCTTTTCTTTCTTCATTATTTGTTTTCTAAAGTAATACAATCTGACCATGTACTGTAAATATTACGTTGAAAACAGCTAATAAACTAAATAAAATATGAAAAGATACCATGTCGAATAACACCACTTCTATATTGCATTTTCTAACATTGTTTCTCATGATTTATTATGACTTTACTTTGTTTTTTCTCATAATCTTTTGGAAAACCAACACCATCGATCATGTCTTTTTCAATACATATATATATGTATAGATTGATGGAATATTCGAAGGAACAGAGATACCAGAATGCAGCCATTGGATGTCTTGTTGTTTTTAACAAAACAAGCAAATGCTTATACAAGAAACTTATCTCTTCCGAAATCTTGTCTCTCCATCTTCCCGAGAAAATTCGTTCTTCTCAGGATATGGAGGAAACAGTCAGTTCACGGATACTTGAAGAGAAAATCTATGTCGCAGTTGGGAGAAACGTATGGAAGAACACATCAAATCTCCTATGGGCTTTACAAAACTCCGAGGGAAACAAAATCTGCATCCTCCATATTCACCAGCCATCTCCAACTATTCCTGTCTGTAAGTGTTGTATATCCTCTTTTGGCTTTCTGAGAGTCTCTGGTTAGAAATGATCACGCAGGATCTATATAAGTACTGACTGCTTCTAACTTTTGATGCAAAGTGGGTACCAAATTCGAAGCTTCTACGGCAGATGAGGAGTTAGTGAGAGCATATAGAGGCAAAGAAACGCTGAAAACAGACAAGATTCTACAAGAGTACCTTAGTATTTGCCTGAAGAAAGGGGTAAGTATTGTGTATGTGGTCACAGATCACATTAATGTTTTCCTCATTTCTAAAGGAGGTTGGTTTCTGTAGGTACATGCAGAGAAACTGTGTTTTGAAATGGACTCAATCGAGAAAGGGATCTTGGAAATGATACACCAGCATAGGATCAGGAAGTTTGTTATGGGAGCAGCTGCAGATAAACACTATTCCATGTATCTCTCATTGGCTCACTGAGATTAGACATGACCATCTTTTGGATCTCCTGCTTGCTCGTTAATCCCGTCTAGTTAAATTTTTTGTTCAGGAAAATGGAAGATCTCAAGTCCAAGAAAGCAAACTTCGTCTGCCAACAAGCGCCTGCTACTTGTCAAATACAGTTCACTTGCAAAGGAAACCTTATCCATACAAGGTTTTGATCAAGAACATTTCCTCTTTCACAGAGAGATGCAGAATTTCTGGATGCTGATTTTCCCTGATCAATGTAGGGAAGCTAGAATGGATGAAGTTCGAGCTCTCTCGGCGCTCTTGTCTGAGTTTCAGCGGCTTGTTTTGCCACAAACAAGCACTGATCCACTTCAAGAGGTAGTAAGTTTGAATGGAGAAAACGAGAGGGGATCCTCCTTGGATACCAGCTCTTGTCAGTCTGCTAATACATTATCACAGCCTGGAACATCACTAAGCTTAGCTCAAGAGGAACAGAATGACTCATCTTCTCACGTTTTTCCGGTATGTGTTGTGATTTTGACTAGAAAATACAAAGGCCATGCAGACTCTATATTTGCATTTCATCTGGTTGATGGAGTTTTCCTATTGTGCTTGTTTCATCAGTGCAGTGGAATGATGAACCTCCTGATCAACTCCACCAAGCTATGGCAGAAGCTCCCAATCCAAAACAATGAACTGAAATAGTTGTGTCTATTAAAAAAATATGTAACAAAAAAACCATTTGCGTCTTTGTGTATTGTGTGATGCTAAAAACAAAGGAATTGATCCTGATCAAGGCGAGTGTTGTTATGTTTTTCTTTTATCCTCTTAGGTCTTATCACATAGTTTATGGAACTTAAAAACAATTTATTACACTCGCAACAAAAAAAGTAACGTACAACTAGATAGATTCTAACAACTAAAAAACATTTTAACTGTGGTTTTACAAAGAAAAAGACGGATCACTAGAAAGTTAAAACAATCAAAATCAAAACTGTTACACGATAACACGTATCAAACGCCGGTGGTGACTGGTGAACCCTTCTCTTTCTCTCTATTTGCTCACATACTTAACCAAAACTGTTCTATTTTCAACTTCAATTGTCTCACGGAGATGGACCTTCAATTTCAAACCATTATAACCCCATCAGTCATCTAGAGAATGTCTAAAAAATGTATAAGATGATGACACCAAATAGATACCATACCTGTACGCCGTCTTGTAGTCCCGTTGCCATTTATGGAGAAGTGTACAGGCCTTCTTTCTTGTCCTAGCGACCGAACCCAATTGGAGTTCAGTCTTTGAGCAAAATCTTCTACCTCTCTGTAGTAACATTAGTACACCACTCATGAGAACAAGTCTATTTCATTTCCCACATGCACGATTTTGAGGGAGCTACTCGTCATCTTTATTCATGACTTAGAGAACGATGTATAACATTCATTATACAAGAAATATCCTGGTTTTGATTTAACAAGGGTCTTACCTATCAAGCATTTCCCTCATGGCTGGATCGATTTCATCGTCTATATCTTCATCTTCAGACCCGGCCTTTGGCATAGAATTGTCATCTTCTGCACTTGGTAAGTTGGGTACGCTTGACCCGGTCTCTTCAACACATTGTTGTTTGGAATGAAGGTCATGTGATTCCTAAGCAAATGGAACACGTTCATTGACTTTGTAAATAAAAACCAACCAGAAAACAAACACAGAGAAATTAGTCTGAACCTTTTCATGAATGTCATTTGAAGAAACAATCTTCAGATCCTTCTTTTTCTTCTTCTTCTTTTTTCCCTTTGACATCTTTACTACTTTGGGATCTGTGAAACAGAATTTTCCTTACTTCCAATGAGGCCTTCAAAAGGAAGTAGAATAGAGAAAGTAGAAAACTAAGAGGCAAGACCAACATAAATTCACACACCAAATATCTCAATCAAAAATGGATCAGGATTTATTCATGAAAACAATATTTAAATGGCAGATATCTAGCCCAAACATACAACAGCTGCACTAGATAATGAGTATTTTATCTCAGGCATTGGGCAAGAGTAAAATATAGTCAATCACTAAAAATATACATCACTGAATCAACACAAAAAGATTCCAAAGATGAACACTATAATGTGGTGGTACAGTACTACAGTGTTAAATGGAGAAAAATCAGAGCAGCCAAAGAAGAAACAGAACAAATGAAAGGATATTGTGAATTTAGAAAACCAGAGTAAGGTCAAAGGAAAGTACCTCTGCCGTTAATAAATGATAACAGGTCATCCACAGAACGTTCGTCTACATGTTCTTCAACCTCAACATCCTACGACATGGAAAACCCCAACTTCATAAGCTCGTGAAACAGTTCTATCTATCAGACCGAATAAGCCTCAATTTTTATTCATAGAGCTACAAATTATAATATCTAAGCAAGTGAAACAGAAACTGCTAAATAGACCTTCAATCTCTCTCTCTCTTTCAGCTCCTTTCTTTTCTTAGCATATAATCTATTCAGTAGTCGAATCCGTGGATCATCCATTGTGTTCTTCAGAGGCTCTAATTTCTCCTCCTGGATAAATTATCAAAGAGCAGTCAAAAAACTAAGCAGATGGAGAAAACACATCTTACGAAGACATGAAATTGAACAGCACATACCTCGGTAAGGTCATCAGGCAAATGAAATATTTCTCTTATCTCCTCGGGGGTTTTTCCTTCAATGATTCGTGCAAGTGCGCGACTAGTAAGATCAACCAAAGGCTTCAGCTGCAAACTGTCCGCGGCTGAGGTCAACTCACAGAGCCTCTTTGTGTCCATTCGGATAAATCTTTCATCATATGTCTTCAGTTCCTAGAGAGGGGAAAATAAATGTATTGAAAAAAGACCAGATGGGGCTATGGACATAGAAATATTTATTCCAAAAGTTAAAGGTGTCATACAAACCTTATTTGAACGTCCAGGCAGTTGATGAAATCTGCAATAATCAAGAATCAAGCTGAACATAGCTGGGTTAACTCGCTGTGGAAGCGATATTGCATGATTCTTAGAAGATCCAACACCCTTCTGTATTACCTCTTGACATATCATGGGACAGAACATTGCAACCTCTTGTTCCACTTGCTGGATTGAACCATCAGCAGTTTGAAGCCATATGTAGGACTTCATCGTCTGAATCCATGACACCGCGAAAGAAACTTAGTCATTCATATAAAAATTCATACAACAATAGACAAATTACCAACTAGCTTATGTAAATACAGATAATGAGAATAAAGTTTATCATGAATCAAACACTAAACTATAAAAATCCATGTATCAAAAGGTGCCTTAGTGAATACAGAGAATGTCATGATATCTAATAACCTCTAATTCATACAACCTTAAGCAATGTCCATCAGAGGTGAAGTAGCAGACTAAGATAGTCTAGTAGAAGGGAAAGGAATGAAATTTTACCTCTGGTTTCATGACGGCCAAATCAAATTCTGACATTGATGATAGATCTGAAGGCCCAGTCTTCTGCTATAAATATTATTACACCTTCTGCTCCAATAAGTGAGTTACACCCTACTATACAAAGTTTCCGTTTTCCTTAAATCCTGAAGCTTTTCAGGGCCAAAAATGGCTTCTCAGATAAAGTAGAAAATTTTCCAGGTCTATAAGCATTGAGGTGAGATGGTGATCTTAAGAAAAATCCAGCAACTCCATGTACCAAACTAGCAAAAGAAGGGAAAGTAAATATAATGGAGATTAACCACTCCAACAAAAGATAATGAACCAATGAAATGGCTCATTCTTCACCAAAAAAAATCTAACTCACTCAGAAAGCCTACCCTCTGGCTCTGCTGAATCTTGTAACAAAGAAGCTGGTCCCCGAGAAACCAATAAGCTAAGCAATAAGCACACTCTCCATATCTCTTTTTGGCAACAAAAAAAACAATCTCTTTAACGGTATCTGACGAACAAACAAGACAAATTTGAACCTATGATATCCATTTCAATCTACAAAGTGAAAAATTAAGCACAAATAAGAAACGCAAATCAGGAAAAAACGAAACAAGAGGTATCTAAATTTGATCCAATGAAAGCAGCAAAAGCTAAAACAAAAACAGCCGCCGTATACGTTTTGGAGAGGAATATAGAAAATATTAGAATGATCCAATACACAAAATGAAACAAGTAAGCAAAGAAATATAGATACAAGCACGCAATGAATCACCAAGAAGCTCTTTAACCAATGGGAGTCAAATTTAAGCGCGTCGTACCTTCAAACAGAAATTGGGTAATGAAGGTCGACTTGCGGCGAAGGGATTTGAATCTGGCGGTGGAAAGCGACGGCGGACGGCGGCGGCCAAGCGATGTGGAGCGGATAAGAGAGAGAAAGCGGACTAAAATGTTCACATGAGAAGGAGGAGGAAAATAAGAAAATGAGAGGACTGATCAAGTCCAGGTGTCATAACCTTGTTGGCTTGTTCAAGTGGTAAAAAACAATACGGCAACGTTACGTAGAAAAGGAAACTAGGGTTGGTTAGACCATGATTAACGGTGGTAGCTTAGATGAATCTTAGGTATTATTAAGATAAAATTTAAATGATAAATCAAGTAATATGCTAAGGAACGTACCTTACTTAAGAGAAAAATTAAGCCTTAAGAGGCGCCACGTGTCAAGCTGTGACAGGTCGAAGAAGAAAAAAGAATGGGCAAAAAACACATCGATGGTTCACTCTTTTCTCGTCTATCTCTCTCTTTCACCCGATAGCTCTCTATGGTGATGAAGAAGATGAATAGAAAACATCCTCCGATCCACCTTTTTATCCGTTTTCCAGCCGACGAGCCCGACCAATCTCACCTCCGTCGACGCGGATGTCCACGGCGACGAGGAGGAGGTGAAATCGGCGATGAGGAGCGAAAAGGAAGCGATAACATCAACGGAAGGTCTCCGATTTTAGCTCAAATCGGAGTTAATCTTTCTCATATAGGTACATAACTGATTGAATCTCCTTCTGCTTGTTCGATTTTATGTTTTTTGATTGTAAGGAAATTAGGGTTCAATGAATTGGGAAATTAGGATTTTTTTGTTTGTGTAAAATTATGGTTAATGATTTTTTTCTCTGTAGATTTAGGCATGTATTTGATCCGATTTACTCATGCTGGGTCCATATTACTTCCTTCGTTTAGTAGTATTGTGATTAGTTTTGTGTTTCTATGTCCGTAGCTATGTCCATTGGTAAATGAGAAGAGCTTTGTCCTTGGTTATATTAAGAAGTCTATATCTGCTGACGATGATTAATGGCTGACTCAAATGGATTAAACTTTGGTGTTATTTTCTACAGATCATGATTCGTGCATGAGGAAATAGTTAAGCCAGATCATGGTTCTCCATGTATAGATAATAAAGATTGAAAGGCTGCTCTTGAGAAGGTAAAGATCTCTGGACGTTACAGGATACTTGTGCAGTTGAAGAAGAACTTCTTTTATGTCTCTGTTTTTATTATTATAGTATACACTTTAGAGATTAGGATTATCTTTGGGAGTAAAATGTTGTTATGTATTTATCCATCATCTACTGTTTCCTCATGTTTGTTTGTTTAGTAGTGATTATTAGCAAAAGAATGTAAGGTTTCTTTTGATCTGAAGATGTGCTCTTTTGTTCTTACAGTTTGAGTCATTGTTTGTCTGGTTGTCTCTTTGTCTTATAATTGTTTTTCAAAGTGCTAACACATGGTGTTCTGTTTGAATGCGAGGCACAAAATGGAGATACATCACAAATTGGAAACCTCTATATATGCAGAGGAGAAGCAACAATCCGGATCTGTGCTAATACATTGTGCTCTGTTTCATCTCTTTCCATCACAAATTAGTAGTATTGTTGTCTGATTACTACAGTTATGTGATTAGTATTGTTATGTGATTGGTATTGTTCTGTGCTTAGTTTAGTATCCACACTTGTTCCTTAAATGCATGTAGGTGGATAGTATCCACACTGTCTCTTCTTTAAGTGTTTTCTTTGTCCTTCAAATGCAAGTTGCAAGTCCTCTGTTTTTTGAGTGGATAGTAAATGATGATTAGATATTTCTTTTACTTAGCCGAAGTTTTCATTTGCTTCCATTTAATGCTAACTACACAACTAACACTTGACCTAACACAACTTTCAAATAATAAAACACAACCCTTCTTTAGCCGCTCCTTACTACACAAAACATAAACTAAACCTCTTTTATTCTCTAAGTAAAACACTCAGCAAATCTCTCTCTAGATGAATCCTTTTACTCCAACTGCTGGCTTCATGGACTTGTTAACAAGTCAGCAAGAAACTCCAATCCTCCATCCAACTGGCTTTGAGACAGATTCACCAACTGGTGAATCTGAAGTTCCTGTCTTCAGTACTGAAGCTCAAGACAGTCCTGCTACACCCATACCGAGAAAGAGGAACAAATGGACCTCTGCAGAAGATGTGGTACTCATCTCTGCTTGGTTAAACACAAGTAAAGATGCAGTGGTGGGTAATGAGCAAAGAGGAGAAGCTTTCTGGAAGCGCATAGCATCCTATTTTGCAGCTAGTCCCAATGTTTCTAACCTGAAACTAAGGCTGCCAAGTCATTTCAAACAGAGGTGGGCAAAGATTAACGAGATGGTATGCAAGTTTGTGGGATCCTTTGAAGCTGCAACAAGAAAAGCCACAAGTGGTCAGAATGATGATGATTTGTTGAAGCTAGCTCATCAGATTTATGAGTCTGATTACAAGAAGAAGTTCATGCTAGAGCATGCATGGAGAGAGTTAAGGCGTGACCAAAAGTGGTGTGCATTACAGGCTGATAAAGATTCTGGCAAGAGTAAAAGAAGAAAGCTTTCTTCTGGTTCTATACAATCTTCTGAACAGTCTGAAGCGTGTGAAGAGGCTGATTCATCTCAAGTCCGGCCAGTTGGTGTGAAGGCTGCCAAGGCTGCTGCCAAAGGCAAAGGGAAAATGGCTGCCAATGTTGTAGAAGAAGGTCAATCTCTGGGAAGGATCCACACTATTTGGGAGATAAAGCAAAATGATTTTACACTGAAGCAAGAAGAGCATGCAATGAAAGAGAAGCTAAGCAATAGGAAATTGCTGGATAGTCTTATATTAAAATCTACTCCTCTAACTGAAATAGAGGAAGAGCTAAAGATTAAGCTAATTAGAGAGTGTTTCCCTTGAATGTCTTGCTTGTATTATGTCTCTGTGTCTCTTTGGTATCTGCTTCCAGTAGTAAGTTTGTATTATGGGAATGTATCTCTTTGTCTTTCTTTTGTTGCATCTGCTTCCAGTAGTAAGTTTGTATTATGGGAATGTATCTCTTTGTCTTTCTTTTGTTGCATCTACTTCCTGAAGTTCAAGTTTGTGACACAAAAGATGCTACCGGATTCATGTGTGTCTTGTGTTTAGTTTCTCATGTCTTGAAGTCATGTGTGTGTTGTGTCCTGAAACTTTCTCATTCTCATTGTATATGCAATGTAGGTTCACGGATTCAGTTCTGTCTAAGTCATGTGTGTTGTCTGTTTGTGTTTGTTGTGTGTTACTTACTCTTTTCTGAAACTGCTGTAGGTTCACGGAATGGAAGATAAAGAAAACAAACATATTGAGACCACATGTTTGAAGACCACTTGTACAAGAAAACAAACATATTGAGACCACACATACACAGGGACATGCACAAAAGATTGAAGATTAAAGACCACATGTTGTTACAAACTTTCGTTTTCATTCATAATGTATTATTGTTGAATCGTCGTCTATAAATATAATCATGCTCTTTAGTTCATTTTTTTCATTCACTTTCTGTTTTGCATTTACAATTTATGTTTCAAATATATAAACAAAGGAGAGTTATTGTTCTTTCAACTTCATAACCAAGCCTTTCTTCTTTTATTGTTCTCAAATAAAATCCTCTTGTTCTCAAATCAAATCAAATCTCTTGTTTGGTTCTTGTTCTCTAATCATATCAAATCTCTTGTTTTGATTCTTGTTCTTCTTTTCTTGTTCTCTAATCAAATCAAATCTCTTGTTCTCGTTCTTTTTTTCAAGCTCTTCTTCTTTTCTTTTTACTTATCTTATCAAGTTCAAACTCTTGTTCTTTTTTTTTTACTTAAAAAATCAAAAAAATTTCTACTTAAAACCAAAATTCTAAAAGGAAAATGGCTTCATCTTCCAATGATAATCTCGATGAAGCACTGGACGAAGAATTTGATAATATTTTCCAGCAAGAAATGGATAATTATTTGTATTCATACGGTGATCGTCAAGAAGCCACAAAACCGAGGAAAAAAAGGGTATTTATTGAAAGACGTCGTGAACAAGGGCACATCCAGTTATGGGATGATTATTTCTCAGAAAATCCAACTTTCTCTCTTTATCAATTCCGACGCCGTTTTAGAATGAACAAGCCCTTATTCATGCGTATTGTTGATCGACTCTCCGGAGAAATTTCGTTCTTTCAACAAAGAAGAGATGCTACCGGAAGGAACGGGTTCTCTGCACTACAAAAGTGTACAGCAGCAATTCGTATGCTTGCATATGGTTGTGCGGCTGATGCGGTAGACGAATACCTCCGGATTGGTGCAACCACTTCGATGAAGTGCATGGAACATTTTGTTGACGGAATTATTTTTTGCTTTGGAGATGAGTACCTACGAAGACCCACCGCAGAAGATCTTCAACGGCTCCTCATTATTGGAGATATTCGAGGATTTCCCGGGATGATAGGAAGCATCGATTGTATGCATTGGGAGTGGAAGAATTGTCCCACCGCTTGGAAAGGACAATATACACGTGCCTCTGGAAAACCAACGATCGTTTTAGAGGCTGTAGCTTCCCAAGATCTTTGGATATGGCACGCGTTTTTTGGACCACCAGGTACTTTAAATGATATAAATATTCTTGATCGCTCTCCAGTTTTTGATGACATCTTAGAAGGACGAGCACCAGAAGTGAATTATATAGTGAACGGGAATGAGTATCATTTGGGTTACTATCTCACTGATGGCATTTATCCTAAATGGGCTACATTTATCCAGTCGATTAAACTTCCACAATCTCAGAAAGCATCTTTATTTGCAAACAAGCAAGAAGGTTGTCGTAAAGATGTAGAACGTGCTTTTGGAGTTTTACAAGCTCGATTTGCCATCATAAAAAATCCAGCTCTCACTTGGGATAAGGTAAAAATAGGAAATATTATGCGAGCATGTATAATACTTCACAATATGATAGTAGAAGATGAACGAGATGGGTATACTCAGTTTAATGTAACCGAATTCCAACAAGCGGAATCTGCTGGAAGTTCACGGGTGGATTACTCATATTCTACAGAAATGCCTTCAAATCTTGTCGATATGATGGCCACTAGAACTCGCCTTCGTGATCGAGCTATGCATCAACAATTGAAGAAAGATTTGGTCGAACATATATGGACAAAATTTTCAAGAAATCAGCACTAAAATTATTGTGCTTTATGTTATTTATGTTATATATTGTATCTTATGTATGTTTTAAAAAAATAATTTGCAATAATTATTATGTTATATAAAATAAAACATTTCCAATTATTTAAATTTAATAATTTTTCTTTTTAATATTTTTTCCCCTAAGAACCAAGTTAAGAGTCTACCAATATAGAGACAAAAAACTAAAAACCAAAAAACAATCACTTAACTCTTAACTTTAAAATTTTAATCCTAAAATATACCTAAGAACAAAAGCTAACAGCCTTCCATTAATCATGCTCTTAGTGGCTCGAGTCGGTGCTGTAGTAACGAGAGTGGTTTGAATCGTTGGAGATATTTTATTAGAGAATTTGTAAAAAGCCGGAGGCGCTAGTGGACTAAATTATAAGCCCAATAAGAAATATGGGCTTTTTTCAAACAGGCGATAGATGGACTAAGGCTCGAATCTTTTTTTCGATGAATACATTATATAATTCCAAGGAATTTAGTTTCCCGAAACTTCTGGTCGGTTTTATTGAATTTGAATTTAGACTGTAGGAACTCTCAGATCACATCAGCTCACACATCCTACGTGAAGGTGAATAGCTTTTTTTTTGTTGTTAACAATATATGTCTTGGGTATATCCAAAAAAATAAAACCGCTCAAATTTGATGTCACATACTCTTTATCCATGGTGTTAATTGCTAAAAATAAGACAAAATTTTGTAAGTAGTGATATGTACTACTAGTATTGTTTGATTGTGTTGTAAAAATGTTTGGGGTTTAGATTTGGTTTTTGTACTTGTGGTTGTGTTAAGAAGACTCTTTGTTGTCAGAAAAAGAAAAAAAGAAAAAGAGAAGAAGAGAATTTTTTAAAAAAAATAATAAATCCAAGAGAGGTGGAGGTGGGGACTATAAGCGCAACGGGAATATTGGGAGTGGGCATAACACAATTATTGCATCCGCAACAGAGAAAAAAAAAAAAAAAGGAAAATGATTTGGCTGAAGGTGACAAGTGTTTGGGTGGCTTGGTCGGTTTTTGTTTACGTAAGTTTGTGCCACGTGTTCTCTTATCCATGGATTGGACGGCTTTGGCATCATGGAATATTTTATTCTCCTATACCAAAAGTCCAAACAAATTAAGACCTTTTTTTCTTTGTAAAAAAGTCTAAAGCCATGGCTTTAAAACCAAATAAATTATAATCAAAGAATTTGCCAGAATAACAATCCTGATTTTGATTGGTACTAGTACTACAATGGAATACGTACCCATAACCCAATAGTTGAAATTAGATACACTCTGTAGGTTGAATGAGATTGGTAAGACGATTATATTTTTCTTCTTCTCAAAATGGTTACGTTTGTATATGTGTTATGTATGAATCTTTTGCAGAATTGTGTGATCCTCAAAAGATTTCGCAAAAGAATTCGACTCGACAGGTTTACTAATCAAAACTCATTCAAACACAAAATATATATTGTGCCGTTTTGCCTGGTGTATTTTCATCTACACATGGTTTAACTAATATTTCAAGTTTTTTTAAAAATTTATTTATTGTTTTGTTTATGTCATGGTATCTTTGCCAAGCATTTCGAGTTTAACGTCATTATTTATTTGAGGGTTCGGGATACCAAAAGAGGGGAAAGCAAAACTTTGCAATATGTGCACCGTTAAAATTACAGGGATTGGATATGGTACATGGTCATATAGTGAGTGTGTAAGTTTTGGAAGGTATTACGAAAAAAGGCAAGGAAGAGTAAATAACGAAACTCAAACTCAAAACTCTGGTTAATGGGACTAGAAGAAAACAGCACGTGGGTAGGACATAGTGTCACACCCAAAAAGACAACGAAGCAACCATAATTTGTGTTCGGTCCTTTTATTTCTTTTGGCTTAAACGTTGTCTTTCCTTTTTGTCAAATAGTGGATTGCAGCCGAATATTTCACTACCCAATCTTCTTCTTCTTTAATCTCCTCATTTAAATCCCACCATTCTCCATGTTTTTTTTTTTTTTACATATTCAATGTTGAAAAAACTGTTTCTTATATTTGCATGCATGAATATGATATGGTTTATAAAGTTTGATATTTTTTTCATATAAGCAATTATTATTGATCTATATACTATATACTTGGTGTAGTTGGTACAATAAAGTAAGCATTATAGACAAACAAAATTCGGATGTCATGATTGATTGATATGTAGATGATTAAGTTTTTTTCAATAAAACAATAGACTCATGGATAATGATGATAATAATAACAAAAAATAACATAACACATTTCTTTTTTTATTATTTATAAAAGGATATCAAGTCTAATGTTAATATATATGTTTCGTTTTACTGGTTATTATCACTCATTACTAAAATGGTTGGAGAATTAATGTAAGAAAAGGTTTATGCTATAAAGTACTCTAATTGTTGGAGAAATTAAAATAATCACTCAACTAAAATTAGTAATGTTATTAAAGTAAAGTAAGAAAATGTTAAAAGATTATTTGTTGAATGAGGTGTCCCTAACCCCTATTATGTCTTTCAGGTACGGGTGGTGAGTCCTTCCATGTGCTTATCCTGACAACGGTCCAAATAAACCGGCGGTTCATCTCGACCACATATATTTCAACTCCATTTTTAATATTAAGGCTTCGAATGGCGTAGCAGATTAAAAGCAGATGGTACGCATAACGGGTGAACTGCTTTTTTTACACCATTTACCACTATTTTATATTTAAACGAATATTTTTTAAAAATAAATAAAAATTAAATATGATCTGCCTGCATATCATAATTACAAAGGAAAAGTAATGATCTGCTAACACTTCATTTTTGATGCGTATCATGTCTGAACTGCCTTTTTATTTAATATTTTATTAAATAAATAATACTGTAATAATAAACACATAAATATATATATATTTAATATACCACTCTAAAAATTATTTGTTAAAAATTCAAATAAAACAACTTAAATTCATAAAATTAATATATACTGTTTAAATCACAAAGTTTTCATAATAAATAATTCAAAGTTTTCTTACAATTGTTAGTTTAACTATATTTTTTGCTCCACTATTCTAAGTTTTCTTATAAATATTTCTTTAAAGATTTTTTTATTTATTTATCATAGTTTACTAATTTAATGCATCACAAATATTGTACTTATTAATTTTATTTTCATGATTATTATACACCACGTGTGTTGTAACATAATGTTATTATATTATATGTTGTAAATATTAGTTTTAGTTTAACCCATCTCAAAAATTCTCTTAAATTAATAACATTAAATGTTTACAAAATTACAATATAAAATTCAAAATAAAGTAATTTCTCATCACTATTAAAAAATTCAATAAAATCAATATTTTTAATCTACACCTATTTTTCTATAGTTATTGTTGACAAAAAAAATCTACACCTATTTGATTGGTTTTCACCATTTAATTTATACTTTGTAGCGGTCAAACCACTTGATCTGCACTTGTACCGCCAAATCTGCTTGATCTGCTTTTGTTCTGCTTGATCTGCTTGAACCGCTTGATCTGCTTGAACCGTTTGATCTGCACTGTTTGATACGCTTTCTCCATTCGAAGCCTAAGGTTTTCAGTATTTTCTTTCCTGTCAAAATCTACATTATTTAAAAAGAACATTCATGAAACATACATGGATAAAAATTCCACATAGCATATAGTATTTCTTTTATTGGATTAGAATACGACAATTGATTAGAGTACATAAAAATAGCTGCAAAGCGGATTTTGAAACTCTGTCCACAAACTTTAATTATCATTAATCAAATAACAAGCATTATCAGTAGTAGGAGCAGCAGCAGCATTAGATGATAACGTTAATTATATATATACTAGTATCATGTAATGTAATTAAATTAGCTAATTAATCATCGTAGTGTTTTTTAATGTAATGTTATTTCCATTTGTTTGCATTATCTTCCAACATTGAGCTTTCGTTCGTCACTATAAAAAGCACCACTCTCTCAAAGCTTCTCTGCAACATAGTATAACCCACTCACAGAGAAACCCCAAAACCTAAAAAGGAAAAAAAAATAAGAAGAGAGAAGGTCAAGAGAGATGGAAGGTAAAGAAGAAGATGTTAGAGTCGGAGCTAACAAGTTCCCGGAGAGGCAACCGATCGGAACATCGGCTCAGAGTGACAAGGACTACAAGGAGCCACCACCTGCGCCGTTGTTCGAGCCAGGCGAGATAGCTTCGTGGTCCTTCTGGAGAGCTGGAATCGCTGAGTTTATCGCTACGTTTTTGTTCCTCTACATCACTGTCTTGACTGTTATGGGTGTCAAGAGGTCACCGAGCATGTGTGCTTCCGTCGGGATCCAGGGAATCGCTTGGGCTTTCGGTGGTATGATCTTCGCTCTCGTCTACTGCACCGCCGGTATCTCCGGTAAGTCTAACCACCTACTCGATCTATCGATTTCATTCCCCGATTTCTTCAGATCCTTCGTTATCTAGATAGATCCTGTTGGTTTAGGTTGCGAAATTCAAATTGTAAGTTGTCTGAATTCACTCATAGCAAGTTTAGGGAACATATAGAGTAGGTCTGATTTAAAAGAAGATTTGATGTTAGGTTCAGTTTTGAATCATTCGATTTGCAGATGTTCCAGTCTAATTTGTGGATGTTGTACACAAAATCTCAGGTGGACACATCAACCCAGCTGTTACCTTCGGTTTGTTCTTGGCCAGGAAGCTTTCGCTTACACGAGCTGTGTACTACATAGTGATGCAGTGCTTAGGAGCTATCTGTGGAGCTGGTGTGGTCAAGGGTTTCCAGCCAAAGCAATACCAGGCTTTGGGAGGTGGAGCCAACACCATAGCTCATGGCTACACCAAAGGAAGTGGTCTTGGTGCTGAAATTATCGGAACCTTTGTCCTTGTTTACACCGTCTTCTCTGCCACTGATGCCAAGAGAAACGCTCGTGACTCTCATGTTCCCGTAAGTGTTAAAACACACAATCAGGAAAAGGATGGATTTTGGTTTTGTAACATCGGATAACAACGCCTAACTGGTTTTGAAATTTTGACAGATTCTTGCGCCCCTCCCCATCGGATTCGCTGTGTTCTTGGTTCACTTGGCAACCATCCCCATCACTGGAACTGGAATCAACCCAGCAAGAAGTCTTGGAGCTGCAATCATCTTCAACAAGGACAACGCTTGGGACGACCATGTTAGTTTTTTTCACTTCTCACCAAATTTAGAATTTATAGTCAAGACCTCAATTATCGTTTACTGATCTATTTGTTATCTTCTTCTCTCAGTGGGTCTTTTGGGTTGGACCATTCATTGGTGCTGCACTCGCTGCTCTCTACCACGTTATAGTCATCAGAGCCATCCCATTCAAGTCCAGAAGCTAAGCTGATTGAGTTATTTTTATAAATCTGGCTTTTGATCTTAGTTTGCTTTCTTTTGTGAATCTGCAACTTGTGTGTAATGTGTGTATGTGTTTGTTCCTTTCTTTGCCTAATGGAGACTTTATGTAAAACAAAGAAAAGCCCCAGAAACATCTGTAAACTTTCTTTTCCACTTATCAAAGGATTTCTATAATTGGCACATTCTGGGCATTTGTCTGGCAGGCATATATTATCTTGAATCAAAAATGGACCAAACATATTTAATGCATTACGTTACAATCTTCTACAAAAAAGAAAAGTGCCATTACAAATGAATCATGCCAAATGATGTATCGACAAAATTAGCTCAACTTCAAGAATATGACTCCTATGAATAAAACCTTATTTCTAAAGTATTAAAATAAGATCTTATTAAATCAGATTGAGAGTTGCTTACAAAATAATGAAATCAAATGTTACTGTCTGAATTACGAAGGCAGACGGGAAAAAAAATAATAAAAAAAGGGAGTAAATAAACAAACAGAACAAACGCACTTTGCAAAATTACCTCTATTGAACAATGCACTTTGCCAATCAATCAACGACATTTGGCGGGGCGGGGTGTGTTGGCCAAATAACCGCGTATCTAACACGCGCCATAAAGCGAGTGCCACTTTCTCTCTGTTCATACAGTAAATGATAGATGCGATTGGTTCACCTACTCTACCTACCTTGAATCGCCGTTACCAACCCCGTCGTTAGCTGCCGTCTTCTCTCGTAGCTCCGCCGCGATCCCCGTTAAATCCCGTTCGTGGACGTTAACCAAAAGACCGTACTTCATGAAAAGAGTTAACGACATCTTCTGTTCCACCTTATGACCCGCTACCACCGTCAAACGGTGGCGGAGCAAAACCGCCGCCGCAATTGATTTCATTTGCAGATAAGCCAGATCCTTACCCAGACAGATCCTAGGGCCAGCATTGAACGCCACGAATTTAAACGGATCATGATTGATAAATCTCCCACCGTCCGATTGTGAGATCCATCTCTCCGGTTTGAATTCCAAACAATCTTCTCCCCAAGTCGATTTCATCCTCCCCGCCGAGTAAATCGAATACGTAACCGAAGATCCCGCCGGAACAAACGTCCCGTCCGGCAACACATCGTCCTTCACGGCGCGTTTTGAATCCTCCGGCACCGAAGGATAAAGCCTCAGTGTCTCCGATAACGCCGCTTTGAGATAAACCAAACGATCAAGCTCCTCACACGACAGCGGCTCGTCCGTCCATGATACCACATCATCTCCACGTGTCTCGATCAGAACGGTGCAGATCTCGCGGAGGATTTTATACTCAATGGTCGGGTGCTGCGTAATCAACCAGAAAAACCAGCTCAGCGCGACTGATGACGTGTCACGTCCAGCTAAGATGAAGTTGAGCGCCACGCGCTGGAGGATCTCGTCGGAGTAAGTTTCCTTCTTCTTGATGAACCGTGACAAGAGGTCGTCGTGTTGTTTCCCATCGCTGTGCTGACTCATCAAATCTTGCTTACGTGTCGTAATAATCTCAGACAAATAATTATCCACCTGGACCAAGCTTCGGGTCAAACTGACTTCTAACCCGAGGCGGAGCCATCTCTTAAACTTCCACAAAATCTCCGGCAGTATAAACCGTTGTAGGGAAGCCTCGGTGGCTCGATCGAAAGCCACGGCGAATGCGTTCACGGGAAGACCCGGTGCACAAGTCCGCGGGTCTTTCCCGAAAGTCAAGCCGCATATATTATCAAACGTAAGCCGAAGAAGCAAATCTTGAAGATCAATCGGCTCAGAGCCGAGTCGAGCCGTTTCGAGGATAGGTAAAAACCTAAGCTTGATCGCCCGGTTAACCCAACGAGCCATGGCTTGGCGGAGAGTCCTCGTGGTGAACTCCAAAGCGGCGGTCTTACGCTGAAAAAGCCACGTGTCGCCGTCGGAGTTAAAGATTCCTTGACCGAGAAGATCGTGGAAAACGGCTTGCCACGTAGGACCTTTAGGGTAATTATCAAAGCGATTCTTGAGAATATGCTCGAGGTTTCGTGGATCGCAAGTGACCGTCACGAGACCTTGTTTCTTAGCTAGAAACGGGATGGCGCAGATGCATGTCTGATACGTACCGGAGCAAGCACGGAGGTTGTCGGAGATCCAGTCGTGCATTCGCTCACAGTTCTCTATAAGACCAGGGAGACTACCCAATATAGGCCAAACACGTGGACCTTTAAGACAACGAGATATGAATGTGAGCCATAGGAGATACGCCGTGATGGCTGAAAGAATCATGAGAGCAGTGGATATATCCATGATTTTCCGGGAAAATGTCTTTTCCCTCAGAGAAACAACAAAACAAAATGTGACGTTATGGCACAAAAGTTGAGAAGTTGACGGAAATAGAGACGGCCCAGGTGGTGAAAATTATGAAAAAATGCCGTAAAGAGTGATGAAGTTTTTAAAGAGAGAAAGAGAATGGTTTAAGACGAGATGTAAAGAACACACAAGAGAGATAAGATTTATAGAAAGAGAGCAATTATGAAAGACAGACTGTGTTTTTATTTGTTTCCATACAATGGATTTGCTCATTAGATCTCTCTCTCATAAACTTGAGAGGGAGTGAAGAGCTTTAGGGTATGTGAAGCATGAGATGGTGTGCACTACCATTAATGTTCCTGCTCTAGGCTGGTAGCTAGGTGGTTGGAAGACTTTATATATTGATCTCTCAATATATAGAAGTCGAAGAAGGAAGATAAAAAATGTTTTGAAAAATCGGATGGTAAAATTTCAAGAAGAGAGAGATGATAGCATTAAAGACGTTTAGTTGAGGAGCCTAAAGGAGAGAAGAGGAAGACAGAGAGAGATCTATGACTAAATGACCCACAGTTTTTTCAATGTCCGAGCATGAACACTATTTATATACAATTTAATTCAAAACCCCCGAGAGAGAGAGAGAAATGTATTTTACTTTATTTATACTATACAGTATTAGAAAAAATCATGTAAAAGAAGTCACAAAGTAAGCATGGGATGTTGCCTCCTCATTCTATCTTATTCTCGTGGCTATTAATTGCATGTTTTGAATATCTTAATTAGGGTTTTGTTAATTTGTATTTCGGTGGTGTCGGTTCAAGGGAGATGATGATATATATGGCTGATAGACGATATGTATTACAAGTCATATATGGTCAGTGCAGAAGAAGACTGTATAACGGCAATATATATATATATATATATAGATATATTTCACAGAGTGATTTCGCCATTCTTGCGATTTTCTAGTCTTTATCATTTCTTTTTATTTACAAAGTTCATGTCATTCCATTTGTGACGTTTTAGTTAAACTACGTTCATTTAATTACCATATTTACTATATCACGTTATTTCGTTGGTTTTTATTTAAAGAATATTTTTATGATACGCTTTGACAAGTGTATGTCCGTGTCTATAATTATAAAAATCCTATTTATGTGGTATAGAGTGTGGGAATTGAGAGTAATTAGGGTTTTAGATTTGAGATTGTTAGGGTATGGGTGAACAAACTCACCAATGATAGTTTTGCTCAACTACACAACTTATGTAGGTTGCTTATGGGTCTGGTGACTTATTTTTGTCAATATTTATTTTAACATAGCCTACAAAGCATTTAAAAGGTCACAAATATATAGTATTGTGTCCCCTCCTTAATGCATGATCATGATAAAATTAATTATTAATTGTAAGAGCCAATACATAAATTATACACAGAACCCGTGCATGAAGTGTATGTACATGGGCTGCTATCAACAACACAATCCTAATTCTGCATTTTCACGTGTCGAGGTTTGAGAATTTTATGAACAAGTTTGAGATTCAAAACATCACTAAAATTTCAAGTGTTTAAATTATTTTTGTTACAGTTTAACTAATATTTGAAGGAGGGAAAATCAAAATATAAGTCGATATCACGTATACTGCATTCGAAAGTTCAAACTAATTAAACTACAAAAGAAAAAAACTAAAAATTAAAGAAACTATCAGAGATTAATTGATTTAGTCTAGATGCATGTAAACCCTATAGAGATAATTGTGAGGAATAATTCTTTTTAAATTTTCTAAAGTAGTGATATTGACTTTCTTATCATCGTATTAAGTTCAGCAATGACTCACAAAAGTCAACTTTTCCGAATTTTTTTTTACCAAGAATCGCAGAATATGGGGTTGGAACTTTAATACGTAAAAAGATATGTGTAGTCTTATTTTTCATTACAGCTGTATGAATTACAAGGTGAGTTTTTAATGAACTTGATTGACAGTTGGTTTGTTTGTTTGTAAGACTCATTTTGCAGGATATGAGTTTTGTTGAGGTTAGATATGCGATATTATTAGGTTTAAACTTAAGACAAAGAACTACAAAACGGACAGAGAATATAAGTGATCTACATAATTAGGTTACCTTCCCATCAACGGCAAAGAAACCATACTTTTCTAGGTCGCATATTTTTTGTTTACAATATTAATTTAATTTAACATTTGAGAATTGACAGTTACGTACTGGAAAGTTACATAAGTAATAAACAATAAAATAGTTAGATTAGGTATAATCCCATGCACTATTTTAAAAATAGTTAGATAGCTATAAAACTAATTTGGTTTGGAATAAATGCTAGTATGACTTTATCATGACCAAAGAAACTCTAAGTGCGACACATTAATGGTAATGTGTCTTACAAAACAAAACTTAACCTGATCACGTCAAGTGGGAGTAAAGTAAATAAACAAATCTCTAGATTTCGTGGGTTGTCCCACATGAAACTGGTCATTTAAGTGAAAAACCAAATTGGGTCACTTATTTACTTGTCTCAATTTTTTTGCATTTAATTCAATATTTAGATTTTTTTTTAAGAGAAAATAAAAGTTCATACAGTATTGAAAAGTAGCTAAGAAAAAATAATGAATGAATCATAATGATAGTTAGTTACCCCGTCACTCTATCCACATGGTAATTAATAGTGCACTAATAATCGAGACAACAATCAACCACTCTAGAGGCTTAATGTTCCCTAGACATCATCACATGCTTTGCCGAAGCCAATCCCCCGGCGCAACATTGGTTTTGCCTTCTTCTTTGGTAGCAGCCATAAACTGATTTTGCGATTTTCAGCATTTTTACCATTTTTGTGTAATGACAATTTATATTCTATACTAGAGTACTAGAACGTCGCTATTTTAATAACACACAAGTAAAAGAAAACATGTCTTCATGATCATTCCGTTTCAACCATATTTATTACTTTCGTACGATTTCGTCCTTTCTACTGCAAACCAGAACGTAATGTGTTAATCACATTATATCTGCCCTCTTATAGTAATTCATACAATGGATGTGAATAAAATGGACAATTACCAAAACAACAACCGAAAACATAAAAAGTGCATATGTATGTGTATATATTTTCACCTTCCCACACTATCACAAGCCCTAAAGTGAAAAAGCTTTGTAAGAAGAGGCAAATTCGATCTCCATTCTAATCATACAAGATAACGAGGCAACATAGGCTCTCACCAAGAAAGCAAAATGCTTTTCACAATCAGCAACACATATGGAGCTCAAGACCAAGTTTGTACTTTACCTATATGCTCTTGTGAGATTGTCCAAGCAACAATTGGTACATTGGCCTCTTTTTCTTTTTTTGTCTCTTTTGAGTTTATCATACTTCGTCTCTATATTTCACTGGAGGGGCCACTCCTTACGAGAGAAGCTTGTGGGTTACTTCTCACTATCACATCTTTCAAGCGAGAGAGAGGTTCGAGTAGTCTGCCCAGCTTCTGTGTGGGAACAAAACATTCAAGAGTCATCAATGAATGGTTTTAGTTGGTTACCCCATTTGTCAAACATAATGATTCTTGACAGAAGATTTCCGGTGATGTTTAAACATTATTACCTCACTACTGATGCTTGATTGCCACTTGAGTTGCAAAACCTGCCACCTCTCTTGTTGCCAGCGTTGACCAAGTACTACGAGTCCTGTGACCGCAGCGGCGAAGAATAAGGACCATATCGTATTTGCGTCTCTTGTGCGTGAATACATAGAAATAGCTCTCCTTCTCCACCAAGCTTCACAAGGAAGGTTGTTTGTTGATTTTTCGGCATCTTTATCGCCCTCGACATCAGAATGGGGATCAAAGTTTCCCTCTGCGTACTCATTTGGCTCAGCATCAAGTAACCCATGTTCGTACATGGCTGATTCACTTCCAACTGACTCCATGTGTCTAGACGAGCCAAGCACAGATTCACCATAGATACTCTGTTGGTTGTCTCCAGCTTCATAATGAAACTCTTCCTGACCTTGCAGCATCAAATCTTGGCCATCCTTTCCTTGTTCCGTCTCGAATAAATGTTCATCAATGGGTAAATCCTCATGCTCGCTAGGTGGGAATACAAAGTGTTCAGACATGTACAGGTCACGTGAGGTTTCTGCTCCATAGTAAGAATCATACTTCCGAACATCTCTTGATTCAACGTTATACGGACCAGGAGCAGCGGCGTAAGCTGATGAAGTAAGCGAAACGACTTCCCATTCATTCCCACGAGGAGGATGTTCCTCATGATCCTCTTTGTTAGCCATCCTCAACTGATGAATCCCCAATGACCCAATAAACTGAAAAAAAAAACCCTTTTTCGGTTAAACAAAACAGTGAATAGCTAACACCTTCAATTGCAAAATTACTCTAGTCTCAAAAACCAACAAAATGTAAAGAAACAACCAGTAATGCAAACAATTAAACCAAAAACAACAGTGATCAATACAGGAGCCATTCTGGTTTCCAAAGTATCATCATCATCATGGATTGGAATTTGGAATCAATCAATGTAAGAATTTATCAGAGCCAGACAAAATCGTTTCCTTTTCTTGTCTACTTCGTTCAATCAAACGGAAACAAGAGCAGAAGATGCAATCTAAAACACAAAATCATCTCTTTCCACAACTAGCTTTGTCAGAAGAGCTATTACAAAACCTATGTGGACAAAATCAATCTAGTGAAGAAACAACAATTGAGAAAGGATAAAAAGTTTTACATAATGAATAATCAGAGACGATACCTATGAAGAAGAGACGATACGAATTGGAAGGGGATCCGGAGATTGATGATGATGAGATTTCTCTACCTCCTCCAAGAGACTTGAAAATCTGGAATGACAAGGAGAAAAGATCAGCAATTATTTCATACCGGCGATACCGGTTCCTAGGTCGGCTGAATAGACGGTGCGACCGGCTGCAGTCGGTAATCGATTGGGTACGCCACCGATAATAACAGGTTTTACATATGTATGCGTGTGGATTGACGCAAACGCGGAGAAATATGCGATTTGTTTTCGAAACGTTATAAACACGTGTCTTGTTATTACTGGCTCTCTAGAGTGTGAGTAAAACAAACCTTCGTCTCTAACAAAATCTGTGGCAGCTGTTTGAAACTGGGGGAGAAGGAGAATGGGAGATCTCTATGCTTTGGACTTCGATGGAGTTCTCTGTGATAGTTGTGGTGAAAGCTCATTATCTGCTGTTAAGGTTAAATAATACAAATCTCTCGATACTCTTAGCTTTTGATTTCGCTTTTTAGAAACTACTGGATTTTGGAAACATCTGACTTTGAAAAATTGGAACTGTTGTTATTGCCCAGTTTTGTTTGAGCATCCCTTTCATTGTTTCGTGTTTATATAGGCTGCGAAAGTGAGATGGCCTGCTTTGTTCCAAGGAGTTGATTCCGCTTTAGAGGAATGGATCGTCGATCAGATGCATATCGTAATTTAGTTTCTCCCTTACGATTAATTTTCTAGCTCTGATTTTGAAAGAGCGTGATGATTCAAGAGTTGGTGTATGGTTTGTAGGTGAGACCTGTGGTGGAAACTGGCTATGAAAATCTTCTACTTGTGCGGCTGTTATTGGAGACGAAGATACCGTCTATTCGTGAATCTCCCGTGAGTGAATCACAACATTCTTCACTACACTTAGCAGCTTGAATTAAGAGATCTTTTACGTATTGTAGATGATGAACTGCACTTGTTTATTAAGGTTGCTGAGGGATTGACTGTTGATGGGATCTTGGAGACTTGGGCAAAGATTAAGCCGGTAATTATGGAAGCTTGGGATGAAGATAAAGATGCTTTGATCGATTTGTTTGGACAAGTTAGAGATGATTGGATTAACAAAGACTTGACTACTTGGATTGGTGCCAATAGGTATATCTACAACATCAAATCCTTCTAGACAACACCTGTTTGAGACCGATATTGTACAAACCAGAAAGTTCCAAATTTTCATTCCAGTTTACCCTTCATCATTGCTTTGATATATAGTCTACTATATATGCAGATTCTATCCAGGAGTTTCAGATGCGCTGAAATTTGCCAGCTCAAAGATTTACATTGTTACTACGAAACAGGTGCAGTAATGATTCCATTCCAATTCAGTCTGTCTTGTTTGTCGTTATCATGAGCTGAACTTTTTTAGTATGTATGGGAAAAATTGCAGGGCCGCTTTGCAGAAGCATTGCTGCGTGAAATAGCTGGTGTGATCATACCATCAGAAAGGATTTATGGTTTAGGTTCAGGGTCAGTATCATTATGAGGTCCACCAATGAACTCTGATCTTGTTTCTTATCCAGATTTTATTACTAATCTAGTTTTTTTCTATTTGAGATATCATCAGGCCAAAGGTGGAAGTGCTAAAGCTTCTTCAAAATAAACCAGAACATCAGGGCTTGACACTGCAGTAACTTCCATTACATATACCTATCACTAATTTTTCTCTCTACATGACTTCACAATGGTAACCCTTAGTTTACAATCCTATGGATTGGTTTCATTTGGCCAGTTTCGTGGAAGACAGACTTGCAACGCTAAAGAATGTCATCAAAGAGCCTGAATTAGACAAATGGAATTTATACCTAGGTGGACTCTTCCCTCTCCCATATAGTCTCTTCTGGTTCTCTTTACTGGTTATTCTGACAAAAAAACTTATCTCAAAACAGGAAACTGGGGTTACAACACCGAGAAAGAGAGAGCAGAAGCAGCAAGCACTCCCAGGATTCAGGTTATCGAGCTCTCCACATTTAGCAATAAGCTTAAATGAGTGCATACTCATCGGACAAAGAAAAAAAAAGCTTTCCTTTTTATTGTATTCTACATTTCTACGGCATTCAACGGAAATTTGGGAAACCAAACATGTCAAAGAAATTTTTAGTAAGATTCAGTAAAGGAGTTTAAATTTCGAGTACTAGCCAATATAAAAGCTATATGTGACCTATAATTCATCCTTGGTAAGATCATTCTTGTTACTTTCATCACCTTCTTCATCTTTCTTTTCATCAGCTTGAAGTTTGTCAACGACATCTTCAAGCGGAGGATCTCCAGGTCTTCGAAACTCTTGCTTCCCTATCTTGACCTCGTAAGCTTCTTCTTGGCTCAGCACGAATTCCCTTAGCTAATTGGGAATACAACAACAAAGAGATTGATTGTGATGTTAGTTAGATTTCGACTAATCCACTAAACAAAGTTTGTTTTTTTGGCATTGTGTGATTCTATGATGCTTTTACCTCAGTCACTAGCTGGCCATTTTGCATATTGAACATCACCGTGCTTCGATCTACAGCCATGAATCTGACTCCTATCCCTCCTGTTCTCAAAACTTTTGTCCATTTCATAGCAATTTCAATCACCATATCCTGATTGAATCATATAAAACAAATCACGATTCAATCCCAAATTAATTCAGAGAATTTTTGAACAGTACAGTATGATAGTATCTCGTCTGTGACTTTTTAACTTACCGGCCAAAATTCACGATTAAGTTTAGATATTTTGTTTACCTTGGTACGGGGGACGCCTAAGCGGAGCTTCACGAATCCGACGACCGCTCCAAAAGTCCGTTTAGCCATCTCTTCTTGGATCTGATCGAATCCCATATTGGTGAAGTCCGGAGGCGGATCAAACTCCGGCGGGGTTGCTTTCTTCCCCCACTCTTTCCATGATTCGTCTTCTTCATTGTCTTCAACGTCGTCTAGATCATCAGAGATCTCAATGCGTCGCTTTCCTGCTTCAGCGATCTGGACGAATCCGTAGAAATTCGAGATCAGAAGAAGGAGGAGGCAAAAAAGCAGAATCGGCGAAGAAGAAGGAACGATCTTCTCCATGGTTGAGAACAACTTTTACAAGATATTATTTTTGCAGGAATCAGATACAGACGAAGAGAGCCCGCATCGGCAACGGCATTTCTAAATCAGTGTGAGAGCTTCAGAGACTCACACAAGTTACAATAATGTGGAAATTTATTTAATGGTATTAACGACATAAACTGAACATGCTCGTTCAAAACTGTTTGCCGTTTATTACCTTATAAGAGAACTGCGTGCCAAAGTATAGACGTAGAGATGGCAAGCATAGCAAGGCCGAAAAATGAAAACGACACGTACTGCACGGTAGATAAAACAGAGTACTTGAATTGTGCATGTACACTTTGTCTCTGAAGACTAATCTACTAGGCAATGTAAATATAATTGACTGAAAACTGGAATGATTTTAAATGAAAAACACTGAATCGTTGATGATTTGCTCTTTTGTTAAAGCAATTTTTGAAATAGTTAATGAAGCAGAAAATTGCTTAATCAAGTGCTAAAATAAGACAAACTTTAGTCTAACTTTTGGATTTTTCAAATTTGTCATCTCACAACACAAATGGTAAGTCTTTTTGGAGAAAATGACACGTGTCGCGTAGTGATTAGTGGAGAGGAAGGGTACATGAATGTAATAAAAAAAAAGGTGAAAACCGAGGAGGAGGTTCATGGATGTGAAACGCACACCCTCTCGTGAAACGCATTTTCCGTGTTCCAACTGTATCGAGGGGGTGGGACCCATAATAATACTCTCTTAACCTTCCCCACACAAAAAAAAAAGGAAAAGGAAAAAAAAAGAAAAGGAAGTAACCAAAGCCAGCTAGGGTTTGACTGCGAGAAATTTCTGATCTGCGTGAATTTCTCGAGAGAGAGAGAGAGAGAGGAATCGATCATCGATTCCGTGGATTTCGTTTCCCTCCCTTTTATATTTCTTTTCGTATTTTTATTCACCTGAAAGGGATCTGAGTTTATACCGTTGCATCCCAACCCCCGCACCTTTCGTTTCAGATTTACCCCTAATTCGATGCAAATCTAGAGAAGAGAGAGAAAAAAAAGGTGTGTGCGCGCAACCACGACGACCCAGTGTCTCTCTCCGTGTGTGTGTGTGTGTGAGAAGTAAATTCGAACGTTGTTTTGCTATTTGAGGACGCCGGGGGCTTTGCTCTTCTTTCTTTCTTTTTTTTTTGGAGGGATTTATTGGGTAGGGTTTTTTGAACCCCTTTTGTCTTCTTCTTCTTCTTCTTCCTTCGTTGAATTGGGTTTCATTGTTTCCACTGTATTGACTGTTAGATTCATCCACGAATTGCATGCAATCTGGAGCCAGTGGCGGAGGTCCCCCTCGGAATCTGCCCATGGGTCCGGCTGGGCGGACTGCCTCCACCTCATCCGCTGCTTCTCCTTCTTCTTCATCTTCATCTGTGCAGCAACAGCAGCACCAACAACAACAGCAACAGCAGCAACAGCAACAGCAGCTGGCGTCTAGGCAGGTACAGGATTCTGCAACTTCTACTCGGTGTCTTTAGAAGGGATCATATGCTTCTTTTGCATTTCCCAGTGTTTGTCTGTTAAACTTGCGGTTACTCAATTTTAGTGGGGGTTTTACTATTTCTTAATTATGTGGAAAAGGAAAGTAACCAATTTCTTTTTATTCAAGCTCTGTTTGTATGTTCTGTAATGATAGCCTCTTTGGTTACATGTATGGTTGTTCATTTACACACGATAATTATTGCTCTGAAACCTGGAGTCTGATTCAGTTGATTGTTACTAATAATGATCGCGCTTCTAATTATGGCAGCAGCAGCAGCAGCTGAGAAACTCTGATGCAAATGAAAACATGTTTGCATATCATGCTGGTGGGGTTCAGGGAATGGTGGGAGGTGGCAACTTTGGTGCGTCTCCAGGCTCTATGCAAATGCCTCAGCAGTCTAGGAAATTCTTTGAGTCTTCTCAACAACAACCGGGTTCTTCCCAAGAGGGCCAGCAAACTTTTAATCCTATGCAGCAAGCCTATATTCAGTTTGCTATGGCTCAGCAACAAAAAGCACAGCACCAAGCTAGGATGGGAATGATGGGTTCATCCAGTTTGGGGGCAAAGGATCAAGATGCACGCATGGGGATGCTCAATATGCAAGACTTGAATCCCATGCAGGCATCTAGTCTGCCCCAGGCCTCATCCTCTAAGCCATCCAGCGATCAGTTTTCTCGCGGTGAAAGGCAGATGGAATCTGGTTCTCAGCAAAGGAACGAAACAAAATCTCATCCTCAGCAGCAGGTGGCTACCGGACAACTAACGCCTGGAAATATGATAAGGCCAATGCAGGCACCACCTCCTCAACAGGCTGTCAACAACATGGCAAACAACCAACTCGCATTTGCACAACAGTGGCAGGCGATGCAGGCATGGGCGCGTGAGCGTAATATCGATCTCTCACATCCTGCCAATGCCAACCAAATGGCACATATCCTTCAGGCAAGAATGGCTGCCCAGCAGAAAGCTAACGAAGGCAATGTGCCGTCACAGTCACCATCTATTCCAATCTCTAGCCAGCCAGCTTCATCTTCCGTTGTTCCTGGTGAAAGTTCACCGCGTACCAACTCTGCTAGTGATATCTCTGGGCAGTCAGGATCAGCAAAGGCCAGACATGCCATATCTAGTGGCTCATTTGCCTCGACTTCCAGTCCCAGAATGGTTAATCCTGCTATGAATCCCTTCTCTGGCCAAGGGAGAGATAATCCAATGTATCCTCGACATTTAGTTCAGCCTACAAATGGGATGCCCTCAGGAAATTCCCTGCAGGCGTCTGCGTCTGAGACTCCTGTTTTGGATCAGAATGCGCCTACAAAAAAAAGTTTAGGTCCTGCTGAACATTCACAAATGCAGCAGCCTAGGCAACTGCATGCACCGACTCCTAATTTAGCAGCTCTGTCTGATACTGGTCCACTCGGTAACTCTTCCCTTCCGACTGGACAGGGGACCCAACAAGCACAGCAGCGATCAGGATTTACCAAACAACAACTCCATGTTCTCAAAGCCCAGATACTGGCATTTAGACGTTTAAAGGTTTTCAGCTCTGTCTTTTTCCTTATTTCTTTTTTTTAACCTATGTTTCGCTGGCAATGCATCACTGTGCCTGCATATAACGTTTCTGCAAGTCAGGTTGATTGTTTTTTTCTTTTTCTTTGCCTTTTACTAACAGAAAGGGGAAGGTTCTTTGCCTCCTGAGCTTCTTCGAGCTATTGCTCCACCACCGCTTGAACTGCAGATGCAGAGGCAAATGTCTCCTGTGAGAGGACAAGTTCAGGAAAGATCTTCAGACAACCAAGCAAGGTCGCTAGAGTGTGGAAAAGAGTCTCAGGCTGCTGCTTCTTCAAATGGACCGGTTTTTTCTAAAGAGGAAGATAATGTTGGAGATACAGAAGTAGCTTTGACGACAGGCCACAACCAATTATTTCAAAACCTGGGAAAAGAACCTACGTCTTCTGATGCGGCGACAAAAGAGGAGCAACAAACTGATGTATTCCCTGTTAAGTCAGACCAAGGAGCAGATACTAGTAATCCAAAGAATCCTAGAAGTGATTCTACAGCTGATAAAGGAAAGGCTGTTGCATGTGATGGAAGCCAATCTAAGATTCCTGCACAAGAAAACTCTCCTCAGCCGCCTAAGGATGCAGCCGCTGCCAGGAAATATCATGGACCATTGTTTGATTTTCCCTTTTTCACTCGAAAACATGACACTTATGGGTCTGCAACAGCTAATGCCAATAACAATCTCACATTAGCATATGATATTAAAGATCTGATTTGCGAAGAAGGTGCAGAGTTCTTTAATAAGAAAAGAACAGACTGTTTGAAGAAGATAAATGGTCTACTAGCAAAAAATTTAGAAAGGAAAAGGATTAGGCCTGATCTTGTTTTACGGCTCCAAATTGAAGAGAAAAAGCTTAGGCTATCGGATCTCCAGTCTCGTGTTAGAGATGAAGTGGATCGACAACAACAGGAGATAATGTCCATGCCGGATAGGCCATACCGCAAATTTGTGAGGTTGTGCGAACGGCAACGCCTTGAAATGAATAGACAAGTACTGGCCAACCAGAAAGCTGTTAGAGAGAAGCAGCTGAAAACCATTTTTCAGTGGCGCAAGAAACTCCTTGAAACTCACTGGGCTATACGTGATGCACGCACTGCTCGCAACAGGGGAGTGGCCAAATACCATGAAAAAATGTTGCGAGAGTTTTCAAAGAAAAAAGATGATGGGCGGAACAAAAGAATGGAAGCCTTGAAGAATAATGATGTAGAAAGGTACAGGGAGATGTTACTGGAACAACAAACAAATATACCTGGTGATGCTGCTGAAAGATATGCTGTTCTCTCTTCATTCTTGACCCAAACCGAAGATTATCTTCATAAACTTGGAGGTAAGATTACTGCCACAAAGAATCAACAGGAAGTGGAGGAGGCAGCAAATGCTGCAGCAATAGCAGCGAGATTGCAGGTTAACATTTTTATCTCTACTCCACAGCAAATTAATTGCTCTTTGTACTCAAAGTTTTATTTGCTAGTAGCTAACCTGTTTCTGTTTTTTATGCAGGGCTTGTCGGAAGAAGAGGTCAGGGCAGCAGCTGCTTGTGCTCGAGAAGAAGTTGTGATCAGAAATAGATTTACGGAAATGAATGCACCAAAAGAAAATTCATCTGTCAACAAGTAAGTCATTAGTCTCACAAAAAGTGATTAAAGCGAGGAAGTGGCAAAGTACTAGTTGTTGCTCATAAATTATAAGCCAATGCAGCTGACTGCTTAAAAATTATGTGTTTATCTGTAGACTGCTGATATCTTGCATTTCCTGTGCTAGGGCATTGTACATACCATAAAAACTAGGAATAGGCTCCTTGGATATTGTCTTTAGTGCTTTCTTTACCTATTTGCTTATGCTAAACTCTAGGTATTATACGCTGGCTCATGCTGTGAATGAAGTGGTTGTGAGACAACCTTCAATGCTTCAAGCTGGAACTTTGCGTGATTACCAGCTGGTACCTCCTCCATCCAGCCTTGATGTCGTTGCATTGTGAATATGTTCACTGTCATGCCACATTTTGATGGTTTCTAAGGTTTTCTGCTCTGTTGCCATTCAGGTTGGCCTACAATGGATGCTATCGTTGTATAATAACAAATTAAATGGGATCTTGGCTGATGAGATGGGTCTTGGAAAAACTGTGCAGGTTCAAATCTGTTCTCAATTTGCAGAGATTCTTGGATTCACTGTACTTTCGCCTTTGGCGAGCAAGAAATTATTATATTGTGCCAGCATAATATGCTAATTGTTCCTGTCTTCCTGTGCAGGTAATGGCACTGATTGCTTACCTAATGGAGTTTAAGGGGAATTATGGACCACATCTCATCATTGTTCCCAATGCTGTACTGGTGAATTGGAAGGTATGTGCTTCTGATAGACTCTCCTAGATTTTCCACAGAATCAATGATTATTGAAGACCCCAAGTCTGCCAATCCATAATTATCCAACTCAGTTCCTCAATAACCTACAAGCCTCTTTTATACATGATCTAAGCTTAACTTTGACTCTTGCTAATTAGCTGTTACTTGCACTGACATGGCCATCTCCAGTTGATGATCTTTTCTGTGCTCCTTAGGATACATATCAGTTTTTTTATAGCTTTTCTTGACTTCTATCTGGTACCTAGTTTAAGTGTTAACGATTTTTTCTTCTGCAGAGTGAACTCCATACTTGGCTGCCATCTGTTTCATGCATTTATTATGTTGGTACAAAGGATCAACGTTCAAAATTATTCTCTCAGGTAATATTTTGAAAAAGTGCTGTAGATATTGTTTTGAAATAGTAGACTGATACATCCCCTGTTCTCGTTAATAGGAGGTTTGCGCCATGAAGTTCAATGTCCTTGTTACGACTTATGAGTTCATTATGTATGATCGAGCAAAACTCTCAAAAGTTGACTGGAAATATATTATAATTGATGAAGCACAACGGATGAAGGACAGGGAATCTGTTCTGGCTCGAGATCTTGACCGGTATCGTTGCCAGAGGAGATTACTTCTCACTGGAACACCTTTACAGGTTGGTAACAGTATAGCTACTTAAGCAAAAATCAGGGACACCTAACAATTGGAAACCGAGATTTTATAAGCTGTTCATATTATGTGACAATTCTTATTCTACTTTTATCAAATCTTGTAGAACGATCTAAAAGAGCTTTGGTCGCTATTGAACCTTCTCCTTCCTGATGTCTTTGACAATCGAAAAGCATTTCATGATTGGTTTGCACAACCTTTTCAAAGAGAAGGACCTGCACATAATATAGAAGATGACTGGCTAGAGACTGAAAAAAAAGTCATAGTCATTCACAGACTTCATCAAATATTAGAGCCATTCATGCTCAGACGCCGTGTTGAGGATGTGGAAGGTTCACTTCCTGCTAAGGTAGGATTTATCTTATATCTCTGCCTTTATTTTGTGTCTAGATGATTCTTCTGATTATGATCTTGGGTTGCAGGTTTCTGTAGTTTTGAGATGTAGAATGTCTGCTATTCAGAGTGCCGTTTATGATTGGATTAAAGCGACTGGAACTCTTAGAGTTGATCCAGACGATGAGAAACTTAGGGCTCAGAAGAACCCAATATACCAAGCCAAGATATATAGAACCTTAAATAATAGGTGCATGGAGTTGAGGAAAGCCTGCAATCATCCTTTGCTCAATTATCCATATTTCAACGACTTGTCCAAAGATTTTCTTGTACGGTCATGTGGAAAATTGTGGATTCTGGATAGAATCCTTATAAAGCTACAGAGGACAGGCCATCGTGTATTGCTCTTCAGTACAATGACTAAACTCCTTGATATCTTGGAAGAGTATTTGCAATGGAGAAGGCTTGTATACAGAAGAATAGATGGGACGACCAGCCTAGAAGATCGAGAATCAGCTATTGTGGACTTCAATGATCCTGATACGGATTGCTTTATCTTCTTGCTTAGTATACGTGCAGCTGGACGGGGTCTCAACCTTCAAACTGCTGACACAGTTGTGATATATGATCCGGATCCCAATCCCAAAAATGAGGAACAAGCAGTTGCCAGAGCGCATCGTATAGGGCAGACAAGGGAAGTAAAAGTTATTTATATGGAGGCAGTTGTTGAAAAAATTTCCAGCCATCAAAAGGAGGACGAGCTTAGAAGTGGTGGTTCAGTTGACCTAGAGGATGACATGGCTGGGAAGGACCGATATATAGGATCTATAGAGGGTCTGATAAGGAATAATATTCAACAGTATAAGATTGACATGGCTGATGAGGTCATTAATGCTGGGCGTTTTGACCAAAGGACGACTCATGAAGAGCGACGAATGACATTAGAGACTTTGTTGCATGATGAAGAGAGATACCAAGAAACTGTCCATGATGTGCCTTCTCTGCATGAGGTGAACAGGATGATTGCCAGAAGCGAGGAGGAAGTCGAGTTATTTGATCAGATGGATGAAGAATTTGACTGGACGGAGGAGATGACTAATCATGAGCAGGTGCCTAAATGGCTTCGAGCTAGTACAAAAGAGATGAATGCTGCTGTTGCTGATTTGTCTAAGAAACCGTCAAAGAACATGTTGTCGAGTAGTAATCTGATTGTGCAACCCAATGGACCAGGAGGTGAGAGAAAAAGGGGGCGGCCCAAGAGCAAAAAGATTAACTACAAGGAAATTGAAGATGACATTGCTGGTTACTCTGAGGAAAGCTCTGAAGAAAGGAACATTGATTCTGGGAATGAAGAAGAGGGAGACATTCAACAATTTGATGATGATGAACTTATTGGCGCTCTTGGTGATCACCAAACCAACAAGGGAGAATCTGATGGAGAGAACCCCGCCTGTGGTTATGATTATCCTCCGGGCTCTGGTAGTTATAAGAAAAATCCCCCACGTGATGATGCCGGTTCTTCAGGATCTTCTCCAGAGAGCCATAGATCAAAAGAGATGGCATCTCCTGTTTCTTCACAAAAGTTTGGTTCTTTGTCTGCGTTGGACACTAGGCCAGGTTCCGTCTCAAAAAGACTGGTAGGTACCTGATCTATCTTGCAGGTCTCTTTTCGTCTTTGTTGTTTGTGTAATGTTTGCTTTTGTCATTAATTTGATAGCTGGATGACCTAGAAGAAGGGGAAATAGCAGCATCAGGGGATTCTCACATAGATCTCCAACGATCAGGAAGTTGGGCCCATGACCGGGATGAAGGGGATGAAGAACAGGTTTTGCAACCTACGATAAAACGGAAACGAAGTATTCGTCTAAGACCCCGTCAAGCGGCAGAAAGAGTAGATGGTAGTGAGATGCCTGTAGCTCAGTCATTGCAAGTCGATCGTAGCTATCGATCAAAGTTGAGGACAGTTGTTGACTCGCATGGTTCAAGACAAGATCAGAGTGATTCATCCTCAAGGCTTAGGAGTTTACCTGCAAAGAAGGTAGCTAATACATCCAAGCTGCATGTATCATCGCCAAAAGCTGGTAGATTGAATCCTACACAGCATTCCGTGGAAGATAATGTTGAAGCTTCCAGAGAAACATGGGATGGAACTAGTCCTATTGGCTCTTCAAATACTGGTGCGAGAATGTCCCACATCATACAGAAACGGGTATGTTCTGTCAAATGGAATATACTGCATTGCAGAATTCTCTTATATGGTTGATATTTTGGTGCATCCATTTTGTTTCTTTGGTCTGAACTTATTTTGTCCTGGACTTTACAGTGCAAAAACGTGATTAGCAAGCTCCAAAGGAGAATCGACAAAGAAGGTCAGCAGATTGTACCTATGCTGACAAATTTGTGGAAGAGAATTCAGAATGGTTATGCAGCTGGAGGTGTGAATAACCTTTTGGAACTACGAGAGATAGATCACCGGGTCGAAAGGCTAGAGTACGCAGGAGTTATGGAACTTGCATCTGACGTTCAGTTGATGCTAAGGGGAGCAATGCAATTCTATGGATTTTCACACGAGGTTTGATTTTTGCATTGCAAATAAAAGTGAATTCCTTCAATTCTGTGGTTTGATGTGCAAGCCAAATGGGTTTAAAGGTGATAATCAAAATTTTCTGCAGGTGAGATCTGAGGCAAGGAAGGTTCACAATCTGTTCTTTGATTTATTGAAGATGTCTTTCCCAGACACAGATTTCCGGGAAGCAAGGAATGCTCTTTCCTTCTCTGGCCCAACCCCAAATTTGGTGTCTACAGCATCCCCTAGAGGAGTAGGCATTAGCCAAGGCAAGAGGCAAAAGTTGGTAAACGAGGGGGAACCCGAGCCAAGCTCTCCGCAGAGACCTCAACAACGTGAGAACTCAAGGATCAGAGTACAAATACCGCAGAAAGAAACAAAGCTTGGGGGGACAACAAGCCACACTGATGAATCCCCAGTTTTAGCTCATCCAGGGGAATTAGTAATCTGCAAAAAGAAGAGGAAAGACCGTGAGAAGTCTGCGCCGAAAACCCGAACTGCTGGCTCCAGCAGCCCGGTTTCACCACCTCCAGCTATGATTGGTCGCGGTCTAAGAAGTCCTGTATCTGGTGCGGTTCCAAGGGAAACAAGGCTAGCACAACAGCAGCGGTGGCCAAACCAACCCACTCATCCAAACAACAGTGGTGCAGCTGGTGATTCAGTGGGATGGGCTAATCCGGTGAAGAGGTTAAGGACAGATTCTGGTAAAAGACGGCCTAGCCATTTATAGACGGACGCTTCTTGGTTCCTGAGAGGATTAAGCCTTTGTTGCCGATATTCATTGTTATTGCAATCTGGCATTGAAAGCAATTTAGCAGTGAATCTTTTGACCTTAGTAATCAAATAATTCTGTAGGTCTATGGTTCCTTTCTTGTTATGTTGCTCTTTAGATCGTAATACCGAAAGTTTATATAGTACATTTAGAGGGATGGTCCTTTCGTCTGCAATGTTCATCGTGTATAAAAAAGCTTGGAGGATATAACAAACAAAATGGAGATATGGATGAATGGTTTATTGATGTGAGATTGCAAATTGTTACATTTTTATGTACTGTCTGAAAAAATGAAATTTCAATATTCCTAGAGAACAATACAAGTCTTTACAAATTTACAGAGGAAAGTTTCCCTCTTAGCAAATGAGAGAATTACTGGTTTTAAATTTGAAGATGGACTAATTGAGAAAAGTGCAGAGAAAGATTGAATTGCAACAGTCATGGATCGGCTTTTCCAACAATCTCGTTGGCATCATCATCAGAATCCGAACAATCTTCGCTCATGCTATCATCATCATCATCATCATCATCGTCATCGCTTGAATTCTCCTTCTCTGCTTTTGCATACTTCTCACAATATTCTTCAAAGGTGATATAAGATTGTTATGCGTGAATTAATGAGAGGTTTGAATATAGAGCAGCCAAAATATGGGAAGAAGAGTGAGTTTTACCTTTAACTTTAAGCTCATAGGCAGGGCGGTCTCGCATCAACAGGGAAGCAGCTTCTCCATTAAAAGGATCCGATGGGTTTGGATATAGAAGCAATTGCGGAAGGAAGGAGTCGAAAACATTTATGAGATCTGCCAAAGAAGCAGAGCTTTATTAATGGACACAAACAAGAATGATACACTCTAAAGGCATCCAAGTGAATGAAAGAAAACACAGAGAAAATAATTACCAAACATTGGGCTCCATGTCTGGTTTATTACATCTAAGCAAACAGCCCCCGAACTGCCACAAATGCACACAAAACAGAGTTTTAAGACAAGGCATGAACACAAGAACAAACTCGAGAGATATCAAAATGGGGTTCCTTAGTTCTCTCTCACTTACGATTCATCGACATTAGGGTGATAAATCTTGTTAACAAATCCAACAGAAGGGGATTTGTAAGGGTAAGCTTCAGGGAGTTCGACTTTGATCTTCCATACACCTCCCTCATAAAGACCTTGAGTGAAGGAAATGTGAAAAATCAAAACTTTATTATCTTCTATGAAAGATTTCATCCATGATGGGAAAAACATAAATCCAAAATTCAAGTATGGCCATCATGTAATCCCAATTAACACTTGACATCATACAGAGAAAAAAGAGAGTTGTAGAGTGAGAGTTTGAAGAAACAAATTAAAATAGTGATTTCAACAAGTAGCTTATAAGCAACCAACACAAAAATGAGAGAGGGAGAAGAGTTAATGGAGAAATTACTGTCAGTAGGTCCATGGAATGTGACATAGAACATTTGCAAATCGTCGTTGACTGTATCCACCTTGTAATCACTCATCATCCTATTTGTATCCAACAATTTCACAGACCACCAACATATTATGAATATGAAGTTTCATCAACAGATTTCAGAAAAACAACAAACAAAAAAAAAAAACCCAGAAAAACATATAAAAAATCGAGAAATAATTCAATAAACTGGAAAAAATTAACCCACAATTTCATCATATCCATCTCTCGGCGTTTGCTCGGTGAAGCCATGGCTGATTCTCCTTTCTTCTTCTTCTTCTTCTTCCTTCCTTCTATCAAGAATCTGGTTTTTTTAGAGAGAGAAAAAGATTCGAAAACGAAGAAAAAATTAAAAAAAAAACTGATAAAAGAGAGTATATAAAGAAAGAGAAATGATCTATGAAATGGACATTAGCCTTATTCTCCAATTCCATTTTTACCCTTTTCATATACTATAGTCTACCATTTTTTTAATTAAATTTTCCATAATACTGTACACCAAGTATAATCTAATGTTTTTTTTTCCTAAGAGAATTTAGTTAGCTAATTAATTCTCTTGATTTTAAATTGATAACATCTAGTTCCCATAATATTTGATAACTCCTAAATAGTTCCCATAATATTTTGGTAACATATATTACATAGTTGTTGTATATAACCATGTTTTTAAATCATTATAATATCTAGTATTAAATACATTCTTTTTACGTGTTATGGGAACAACTTAAAAAATATATATTAAATAATTAAAGATGATAATGTAAGAAAGTACTACTCCATCCGTTCTTAAATGATAATTTTTCTAGGGGAAAAATATTGTTTCAAAAGATAAATTTTAAAGTTATCAATGTCTTATTAATTAGAATTTATAAATTTCAAAGTAAATAATTAAATAAGATAGGTTTAGAGTTCTAAAAAAATCGTAAATCACAAAAATGATATAATTATCATCAATTTTCAGTTTTTTTTTAATATATGTAAAAAAATTAGAAAAATTATCTTTCAAAAACGGAAGAAGTACAAAATTATCTATAATTGAAACAACCTCTAGTCTTATTCACTCTTGTCCTAACAAATTAGTAATAATCACTAATTTAATGATTCACTATTAAGATATATATAGTCTCTTTTGTTGTGAAGATGTCCTCATACATCTAAAATTTTGTAGATTTAAATGTTGTAAACACGAATATATTAAAGTTTTATTAATAGTTATCATAATGGCATGATACATTTTGATAGCTTATCTATACATATCTTAAATTCTTAACATATCTTCTCTTATAAAGAAGAAAATGAATCTTTGAACGATCAATTATTAGAAATAAAACGAATAAGAAAATTGATGGTGTTAGCTAATTTATGACATTATAAGAAGAGAAATTATCTTTAAAAACAAAAGATGAGCCATAAATAAACTACCTATGTGAGTATGTGGATTGGCAACTATAACAGACGTGAGGACAACAAATTACATTTTTTTTTTGTTTTTCTAAACAGAAGAAAAATGAATAACGTGTCCACATGCATTAACCTTATCATCATTCTAGTTTCTTAACTTGTACACTAAGTATATATACAATAACATTACTAAAATGTTTTCAGTAGATTAAATTTTGGGCATTAATGAATGATAACTTTTTTTTTGGACGTCGATTAATAATAAGTTAGGGAGAGAATATGAGATATATTTAAATTACTAGTAATTAGTAATCACAAATGCGAAACCACCAAAACAAAACCAAAAATGAGATGCTGACAAAAAAAAGAGGAAAACAAGCTCACGCGCCTGAGAGACAAATTTTGGGAATCAGTGGTACTTTCGACCATTTTCGTAGGGGTTACGACAACGTGATTTAGATGCGCGTGGCCTAACTATAATGATATTAATATTTTTATTTGGGTCTTTTATGGGCCGCTACATTAACAATTGGCCCAATTTATGACAACATTTTAGCCCATTAAAAAAATATCTTACCCAATAACATTAACCATCGGTTCTTTTATCATAATTTTGTGGGTTTTTTTTGGGTCAAAAAGAATTTTGTGGGTTTAAGATACAATGATTTTCTTTAAATTAGTAAACCAACTGGTTATTATCTCTAAATTAATTTTGTTAACTGACTTAGAAAAATATTACATTATTGAAAATATCATTTAATTGATAATCAAATAAGCTTCTTTGTAAACATTGCAGTTCTAAAGGTCGAAATTGTTCAAGTGATGAGCTGTGATATTCAAAAGTCAAAACCATGAACTGTGATATTTTCGCTTCTCTTTCTTTTTTCCCCCAATGGAAACAAACAAAAAATCCATATAGCAATTACATTTTTGCATCTTTTGAAAACTAAACTAATCCAAATATCTCTTACTGTACTTATAGAAATCTTCTCTTCTGCGATTCACAGTTTTCGCAAAGCCCATTCCTTTTCAGCAATGCCAACAACAAAAAAGAATACTACTGTAGAATCATCAAGGAAGAGGTGCAAGTATTTACCTCAAAACCTAAACCAGAATATTTGCTGAGAGGATGCGAGGATGAAGACCAAAAAACGAGATGGAAAGAAAACAAGAAAATAGCTGCACCAAATTGAATCTCAACAAGGGTGATTTATAGAGGCTCTACGCTATCAACATCTTTTTTTCTTAGGCGAAAGCAGGGGGGGTTTCTGGGATGCGTTTTCTTCGGCATCTGTTGCACCCATGAAGAATTGATCAGTATCACTGTCTATATCATGAGGAGTAATTCTACTCTGGTTTGCCCTATACTGTAAAAGGGACACATTGTAGAAGTAGCTCACAATTTTTCCCCTGCTCTTTGACGGAAGGATAGCCTTGGCCTGATCGAAGAAAGCTCGGCTAAGTGAAGGTGGAACACTCATCAAAGACTTTATCTTCTTCAGTTCTATGTCTGTCCAATACTGAAGAGTACCTTCACCCATGACATCAAAACACCACATGTAGAAAGCTTGACCAAGTTCAAGTTTCAGTCTATCCTGTTTTGCAGTGATATGAAACTTGACACACTCAATAGATCCTGGATTATGGCAGCCACAAGAATCCTGTCTTCCCTTTCCAATACGATCTCTTTCGATAAGAAGATTCTTGTTGATTTGTTCTCTGGTCAGTGGCCAGATCCGAGTGCCTAACCACTTTGAATCACTTTCAGGGGTTATCTCAGTCCACTCTGGTACTTCAGCTTGAAACTCTGACCCAACTAGAGTACGTGGTCTATCCTCCTCATCTGAACTATCTGAATCAGAGCCAATCCCAGAAGATTTCTTGTCATTAAACTGACCATCGTAACTCGTTCTCTCTCTTAGATTGTAACTAGGTCCAGCACTATTATCATACAGGGATGGGTGCATCTTCTGAAGTTTCTGAAACATATGAGCAAATTATCAAGACTTGAATGGAATAAACATGGAGAATGAAACAACAGTGGTGAAATCAGAGAGCACAGGCAAACAATCACAATTTCAATCACATGATTCACAGCCTCTCTGCAGGGAGACAGCATAGAGAATGTTCTCTAGAAGTAATACATCACTAAAGCTAAAGCATTCTCATCGTGGGATATAGGAAAGTAGACATAATCAAGCACCAAATTTCATATGATAAAAGCAAGAGCAGCATTTCCTAAGTTGCTACTAGAGACTCCTTAAAATATTTTAATTCATAATTCTACAGGCAAAAATCACATCTGCATAGTTAAAATCAATAATAGAACCTAAATAACTATAGGTTCATCTCAAAAAAGTATAACTAAATACCCACCTGCCAAATCTTTTCACAACCTGAATCATTGCATGTTCTTGAGGCCCTAAACAGAAGAAGTTGTTTCCATGGTTCTTCACTTCCATAAGCTTCCCACTTTGATCTGTCTGGCATACGACCGGTAGATGGGTCAAATGGATCCTTAGCAACCTTGCTTAACCATTTCAACGTCTCTAAAGGACATTCTCGTTTTCTCTTCCCGGGGGAAGAGTATTCCTGATTACCCGATTCAAGGATCCTTATCTTCTCCAGTCTCTTTTCTGTCAGCGTAGAACCCTGAATCTCTTTCACAGCATCATTCGAACCAGGCTTTTTGCCAATATGGTACTTATCATATCTTCTCTTTGTTTTTGATATAAACCATTTAAGCTCTGCTCCCAACTCCTTTGCAGTTTTACCTTTCCTCAGCTCATATTTCCTTTTCACTTCAGATAAAAAAGATTCAAGTCTAGCCAACAAATCATCCGAGATTCCAGACAACTCCAGGCTACTAGCATCAGTATCTCCGGCAATAACTCTGTTCAACCATCGAGCAAGTGCATCAAGGTACTTAACATAGATCAGTTTAGCAGATGCAGAGTTATACGACCCTAATCCAGAGTCTTGAGCAACTTCATCCCATGATTCATTTTCAGAAACTGCATCAAATCCGCCTTTGTGACTCACGTTGAGAAAAAGATTGAACAAATCAACGACTCTCCCGTCGCCAGTCATCGGAGGAAGAGGTCGGAAGCTATCGGACGCACAGAACTCGCAAAGGAAAGATTCAAGTAAAGGTCGGAACAAGGAGATGAGATCCTTAATCTTCTTTTCAAACCCTGAACCTGTAGGTTCTGGGTTAACACTTTCAGGAGACCTATTGGCGTCGAGAGTCTTCGGAGTTTTGCTACGATCGACGGCATCCTCGCCTGCTACCATCGACCAACCCGCCATTAACAACGAACAACGAACCCTACAACCATTAATGATAGATCCCATTTATCTCTGAAACAAAAGCCCAAAACAGGAAAAAAACAATAATCCAACGAGAAACGAAAAACCCAGGAATCTTCGACGACGAGTAAGAGAAACAACAAGATCCAGGGACTGAAGAAGCATCAACTTACGATTAAGACATCTGAGATTTCATGGCGGAATTAGGGTTTTTTTAAGCGGGAAACACAACAAAAAAGAAATCGAAAATTTAGGGAAATTTTATTCCCTTTGGCAAAACCCTGTACTGGCTTCCTACTTCCCCTTGGCCCGCCATTTCTTTTTTCTTTCGAGGTTTGTGTTTCGATGGATGGTGACCGAAGAAGAAGTTTTGGGTCAAAAATCGAATTTTCTCTATCTACAGACCCTTATTCCCAATAAAATCGAACTCTTTTCTTTCTCTCAAAATTAGGGTTACTAAATTGTTAAAAAAGAAACAATGTGAGAAATACGAAATTTGCAAGCAACAAAATTATCGAACTAAAGAAATCAGATTATGATAATGCGAAATCACTAACCTTGTCTCTCTCTCTATTATATTTTTCTATAAAAAAAAAATGGTATCTTCTTTCTGTAATTTGTTGGCTGTTATTAAGAAAATGTAGAAAATTGGGTTTTATTGAATGAAGGCACTACGGGTTTTATATATGAACGACGCTTTGGAAACGAGAGAGAGAGAGAGAGAGAGACCAATCCCATACCATCATCAAAAATTTTGTATTAGCTGTCATATGACGTTTTAACTCTGGTTAATTCTTTAACCCACTGGTTGAGTTACAAATTTGCAACACATACTACAACTACTAACCAAAAAGCTACTGAGAGGTTTGCACATTTTGTGGTTTCGTTACTCCTTTTTTTTTTGGGCCTTGTAACATGTTTGTGGTAGCCATTATTATGGTCACAAACTAGTCTTATTTTCTTTTTAATCAAATAAGTAATAACTATACACATTTAATATTCACTATGAATATAATGTGAAGTCAAATTTTTAATCATTAGTATAAAAATGGAATAGACATTTAAGATTGTTTTTAGAAAAGTAATACTAGAATACTCAGGTTTCTTCTTATTTTACATAAAATTATGTTTTAAGAGGTTTTTTCTTAAGTTGATAAAATAAAGAGAAAATTGTGGGGAATGCCACGAACAGTACCAAATCTTCTTTAAAATGGCATTTTTCATAACTCCTTTCAAAATATGCCATAGATCCAATGTAAAAAAACCATGTTACCCTTCTCATTTTCTTTTTCTTCTTCCAACAACAAATAGTTCTAATAGAACAGATTCGATGGACGATCTCCGGCGGACAAATCCGGCAGACAAATCCAGTGGACAAACTCCAGCGAGGCATAGCCACTTCCGGTGATAAAACAAGTGATGCGTTTATGGTGGACAAGATTCATTTCTCTATAGATGGACAACATTCGACGAACCAATTTTGGTGGACTAGACTCGAAATAGTTATGTCGGATCAGATCTAGTGAACCAGATCTTGTGGACAAGATCTAGTGGACCAGATCTCGTGGACAAAATTTCTTTTTTATTTTGATTTGTTTTTTCCAAAACATTTGCATGAGGGCAAAATCGTCCATACTAAATTCTTTGTGGCAGGATTTGAAATGAGCTTTCAAAAATGGCAATTAGAGAAGATTGAGTTTCAAAACTGGCATAGATGACAAAATTCCCTAAAATAAAACTATATCAAAAATTTTAAATAATACTCCCTCCGTTTTTTATTAATTGTTGTTTAAGGTTTTTCACATAGATTAAAAAAAATATTAAAATTTTATATTTCATCCCTTTTTTATGTTTTCTAATTATTTTATTGATTAATGTATTAATTAGCCATTAATTATGTTATTTACTGTAAGTCTGTAATAATAAATACGTCTTGAGAAACGACTCGGCTCGGCTCGGCTCGTCTCGTCACGAGAGTAAAAAGAAACTCGAATGAAGTCGGACGTTTTCCCGCCAGGCCGTCTTTTTTTTTTGTTTTCATATCCGGTAGAGATGCGTTTAACGTTCCGATCAACCTCGATCATGACTGTCCAGTTCATAAATCATTTATCTTCCTTGCGAGCCATCAGAACCCTTCCTTCTTCTTCACCTGTAGCTATATCCTCTGTATCGAAGTTATCTGCTAGCTTTGACCTGAAACAGCATCATGGGGTCATGGTAAAAGAAGGAACTTACAACTCTCTGTTCCTTCAAAACAAGCTCTTGCAAGCTTACACCAAAAGCAGAGGCTTCGAGGATGCAGATAAGCTCTTCGACGAAATGCCTGTGCGAAATATTGTTACTTGGAACATACTGATTCACGGGGTCCTACACCGAGACGGTGACACCAACCACAGAGCTCATCTAGGTTTTTGTTACTTGAGCCGGATTCTTCTTAGTGAGGTGATTTTGGATCATGTGTCATTTATCGGGCTGATCCGGTTGTGTACTGATTCTAACGATGTGGGAGCTGGTATCCAATTACACTGTCTTATAGTGAAACAAGGTCTCGAATCAAGTTGCTTTCTGAGTACTACTCTCGTTGATTTCTACGGGAAATTCGGTCACATTGTTGAATCCAGACGAGTTTTTGAGGCGGTTTTGTGTAGAGATTTGGTGCTATGGAACGCTTTAGTTTCTTCCTATGTTCTGAACGGTATGATTGATGAAGCTTTTGGTTTACTCAAGCTGATGGGTTCTGACAAAAACGGATTCACAGGTGACGATTTCACTCTCTCAAGTCTTCTCAGTGCGTGCGGGATCCGACAGGGGAAGCAGATTCATGCCACTGTCTTCAAACTGTCATTTCAATTTGACATTCCAGTGGCGACTGCATTGGTCAATATGTATGCTAAGGGTAACCATATGAGTGATGCTCGCAGTTGTTTTGAATCAATGGTTGTGAGAAATGTAGTGTCTTGGAACGCGATGATCGTGGGTTTTGGAAAAAATGGAAACGGAAGAGAAGTTATGAGACTTTTTGGTCAAATGCTCCAAGAGAATCTTCAACCAGATGAGCTTACCTTTGCAAGTGTTTTAAGTTCCTGCACAAAATTCTCTGCAATTCAGGAGATTAAGCAAGTGCAAGCCATTGTTACTAAACAGGGCTCTGCAGATTTCTTGTCGGTGGCTAATTCTCTGATAAGTTCTTACTCCAAGACGGGAAATTTATCTGAAGCACTTCTATGTTTTCATTCGATCCGAGAACCTGATCTTGTTTCATGGACTTCAGTGATCGGAGCTTTGGCTTCTCATGGACTCGCAGAAGAAAGCTTGCGAATGTTTGAAAGTATGCTGCAGAAACTTCAACCAGACAAGATCACTTTTTTAGAGGTCCTGTCTGCGTGTAGCCATGGAGGATTAGTTCAAGAAGGGCTTCATTGGTTTAAACAAATGACTAAAGTTTACAAGCTAGAACCAGAGGCAGAACACTTCACTTGTCTGATCGATCTTCTTGGTCGAGCTGGTTTCATCGACGAGGCATTTGATGTTTTAAAGTCAATGCCCATAGAACCAAGCACTGATTCTTTGGCAGCTTTCACAGGAGCATGTAACATCCATGAGAAAAGAAAATCCATGAAATGGGGTGCGAAGAAGCTTCTTGAGATTGAACCGAGAAAACCTGTTAACTACTCCATCCTGTCAAATGCCTATGTCTCCGAAGGCCATTGGAATGAAGCGGCTCTACTGCGTAAAACAGAGAGGAGAAACTGCAACAATCCCAAAAATCCAGGTTGCAGCTGGCTAGGGGACAACTTAGTCTAGCAATTATAACCATAAACACAGCTACATTCAATTAGCCTAAAAAGCCATGGAAGTCAAGATTGCTCAAGAATGCCAAAGCCTCTCATTGTACCAAAACATTACATCGTCTAGGCCTAAGATAAATGATGCAACTGGACAACTCCAGTGATCTTTTCCTGTCACTATGTGTGTATAAACATACAAGATTACAGACACGTTACAGACACAAGTTGGTAGTGAAGTTCAGATGCCACACCGAAAGAATCTAGTAAGGGAGACAAAAAACCCATATATTTACCCATTACCATGTATGTGTTCTGTTCTTAAACTTCTTTGGTTGGTATATAGGACAAGATACAGAAAGAATCCAGTAAAAGCCTCTATCTTTATACTTTTCCTAGTTTCTTGGTACCGAGTCCTGCCTTGTTAACTCGTAGTTGTCTGCTCCGTTGTGGGCTTGGTTCTCGTTATTTACAATTGCAATCTTCGAACAGAGGAAGAAGAAGGAAGATGTGTAGATTGTGAAATGCCAAATACTGCACATAATTTTTATAAGTCAACCTTCCGGGAAGTGATACAATGATATTATTCATATTTAATAAACTTAACATCACACACCTGTGCCAAATCCAGTAACTCGAGCTGGTTTCTACTTTGAAACTTATGGCTGCCATCGTGAAGGCTACAAGACCAGCCGCGACAAAGTCCCAGCGAAACCGCTTATTGAGCGTCTTGATCAAATTACTAAACCATTCTTTGACTGCCCGTGGCCTACAACAAGAATATGACAGAACTCAAATAAATAATGATTTCATCACTTTGTGGTGAATTTATGTTCAAGAAAGGAAATAGAATGGCTTCGTTATTTGACCTGTCGAGCATGTTCAATGAAAATCCAGCCGACCCGCAATATGATCGATACTTGGTCACAAACTCTACCAAAAACCCGATGAGGAGTCCAAGTGAACCAATTGCTAACACAATGATAATATTCGACGCCCTGCAAATAGATAGCAAGCCGATGTAACAGTTTCAAAATAGTATCAAGGTGCTATTTATCATAACCATTCACAGTCAAACATCTCAGATACCTTGTTGCCTTGGTCAAGGCCAATAAAGCTGTGAGAATGGCAACAACTGTGTGTATTGTCCTCTTAACTGCTTCATCAGCCGTGGATAAGTACACAAAGGTACCAATCACCGCCATGAAAGAGAGCCAGAAATCCATGAACTGAAGCAAAAACAATACTATCTCGTAAGTCGTAACCAAGTATAATTTTAAACAAAAGATGATAATGATGCAGCTATCAACTACCCGTACCTGTAAAACATTGTAACTTAACACACACCAGGTGCCTACATCACATGCATGATACAGAGCGCTCGAGATTCCGCTGGATGTGAACAGAACCCACTCTGGATACTCCTGTTTAGCACATGAATAAGCAGCTTTTAGATGGAGAAAAAGGAACAACCCAGGATTTCGAAATATAAGTGTAAACCAAGAAAATTACTCGCTGCCGAAGAGCCCAATAAGCTGGCAAAAGAGCCGCTGCATTTGATGCAATGAGAGCAATAGACTGGACAATATGTTCTGCATCAGGTTTTTAAGCACATGAGTACAGAAAAATTAATTAAAGTTTCAAATAATGATAGATTAAGATACCTTGGTCCGACACAATCTCAATGCTGCAGTCAAAGCCTCCGTGGGTTCTGTCACAAGAACAAAAGCTGAAACACAAGTACACAACACAAGAATTTAACTCTCAAAATAATTTACTCTCCATATGTTTACAAATTCAATTAGTTCGAGATTATAAGAAAACCTGTAAGATGTCAATCCACTAGCGTCAAAAGCATATCGGCATTGCCCATAAGATGAACACCTTCTCGGACATCTTTCAAGAGAAAGAGAGACCAGAGTAGGTGGACCTCTGGAAGCAGCAGGAGCCGTGGAATTATTGAGTTGCCTTAACCCAAGTGACCATGTTCCTTCCCGAGCATATAAAATGTAGAAATCAATCTTTTCTTGACTAGAATTATACAATGAGAAGAACATTGAGCGGCTGGCACTTGTTCGATTCACATAATAATAATCCCGATCCTCAAGAGTGGGTAATCCACCAAATCTCAGATAAACTTCATACTGTATCGTGTAATCTGATGTTAATCTGAAGTGTATATGTCCACCAGCACCTCCTTGAGGGATGTTCATGAGAAAATAAGTCCATGTGCTTGTGTCTAATTCTGGAATAGAGGAAAAGTTGCTGATAATGGGTTCGAGGGGGAAAGCTGTGCTTGAGCCTGAAGGTGAAGCGTCATTGACCGGCAAATAATATGATTCAAAAGGTGTCAACGACCCTCTCCTCATAACTGCCTGCATAAAATGTGTCGTGTTCAAGAATTCCAATAAGTATAGAGCCCAATCTGACAAATTAAGAAGATTTTCGAGCAACTTACCTGAAGCATGTAGATTTGCTGCCCACAATTCGGTCCTGCTTTTCCCACGGGACACCCAAGCACTTTAACATTGACTGAAAAGCAGACCTTAGAGTTAGAATGTGTGCCCTGTACAAGCCGATTCTCCCGTCCAGATAAACTAACAAAAATGTACCACCGACCAGCTTTCGGTTTCTTAATAACTAAGGGAACTTTGTGTATATCAGCAGCGTAATCATGTAGAGTCTCTGAAGCCATGGCTCCAAAACGGGCATAACACATGAGGTAACTTTCATTGGAATCTACTTTCACATTGGATGCCATAATCACTAATTGTTCAGCTATTCCATCTACATCTAAAGCATATGTCTTTGTTTCAGCACCGTTCAAACAAGAAGAAGGGAAAGAATCAGAGCAAGAAATAACACTTCCTGTCTGGTTATCGAACCGAGAACATGAAAGCGGATAAATGGTCTGGTTGCAGAAAGGTCCCCACATTGTAGCGGCTTTACAACCTTCAACACTAATGTTGGCACTAAATGAAAAAGCCGAGGAGCGAACAATCTGTGCAAGTATCCAAGTATAAGAAATCTAATGCAGAACAAACAAACAATAAAAGCTGAGGTTATATAAAAGAATGTGACATAGAACCATACCATTTTCCCTTGAGTCCTAGTAGCCCCAATTCCGTTAAAAAGACCAACATACCAAGCTCCCGGTGATATCTAGAAACAAAAACGTTGATAAAAGAAACTCATCATCTCGAAAAGTAGTAACATACAAGGTTTAGAGTAATGTGAAAACCTGTTCATTGGTCAATCTCAGAGATATGTTCTTCTGCATAGGGTAACACTGTTCTGCAATCTCGATATCTTCAGCTCCTTCAAATGATCCATTGAAGAACCTTCCTAGCTCTACAAAACATGGAGGAATATTTTAAAAAAAAAACACATTCTCAATTCCCTAAAAATAGTAAGGTAGTGTGATCTCTTTGACCAGAGAAAGGAGCAAACTATACGATTCCTTATTTACCTAAATCGTACCTAAACCTTTCTGAGCGTTGGTTGAGGCATCGGGGAGAGGAGGACTACCATCTCTGAAGCAAATTACAGGAAGAAGACTTCTCGAAATCTTGGGAATGCTCTCTGCAGTCTACCAAAATCAAATCCAAAAAAAAAAAAAAAGGAATCAATAAATAGCACTTTTTTTTAATAAATAGCACTTTGAATACCAAAACTACAATCAAATCGAATGATAATGATTTGGAGATAAATTTTGGTAATACTTACGATGCCTACATCAGATTCGATGACTACATTCAACGATGAGAACCATGGAGGCAAATCAACTGTTACGGAATCAAATAGTGAATCAGAGAGCATGAAACTGGGAAGATCATACGAAACGTATATAATATATATACAGTAGTCCAAAATAAGATCCTGCTTATTGAAACGATCAGACTAAACAGACCCTGAATTTGATCTCATGTGATAAATCAAAATCCATCCACTGAATTTGAACTGATCATCATCACCTTTTTAAAATAATTAAAAGCAGCTGAAAAAAGCTTGAATGAATCTCAAATTGACGCCATGTAAAAAGAGAGTAAAAGGAGCAATAGATCAGATATAACAAACCTCTGATGTAACGTGTATCATAGGGCCTGACTTCGGATTTAGGGTACCTGAAGCTCGAGACCGTGAAGAAGCTTCCATTACTACTGTCTGACCCAGAATCTTGAAGACAACTACAGATTGAAACAGCCCATGAAAAGAATACGAGAGTTCTTAGACACAGAGTCGAAATCTCTGCCATTGTGGAATATTTCTGAGAATTTAAGGGTTTTAGACTATTATTAGTGTGACTAAGAAGAAGAAGAGCTTCATCATCACTCGAGAGAATTTTCCTCGTCTTAGATTTTTCAATACGGACTTTTATTTTATTAATTACTAAAAAGAAAAAAATACTGGCTTTACGTTTCTTTACTTTTATCAGTTTTAGACCACGCGCCACGGGAGTGTAATGTTACTCACGCGTGAATCGAACGGTTGCTAAATTATTGCGATTCTGATCATGAAGAATCTTGGCGCGTGACTTTTACACGGTGTTATCGCCGAGATATGAGGGATCTTGGTATTTTGGTTTTAAGATGTATTTGGTTTATACTTTTATAGTATGAAATAGTTTATTACGTGTTGGTCAGAGACAAGAGTCATCTCAATCAGACAATCACCACCAGATGAACTTATTTAAACATATACATAGACCAAAATCTTGTGTTTTAATATTTACTTAGTTTTGATCAGTCCTTAATCTTATAATTATGAAAATTATAACGTTTTGTACACGTCAAATGTTTCAGAGTTTGTGAAAGTTACCAACTAATATAAAGTAGATTAACAGGAAGTAGATATCAATAGTATAAACTAATCCCGATAGATGGAAACCTTGCGCAGGTGCAAAAGCGCCAATTTTATCGAGAGTTTGAGGGCATCATCGACTCGTCCAGCACGAACGTATCCATTGATTATTGACCTGAATGTGGGCACATCACATCAGGGGACCGTGTTACTGTAGAGTGTAGCACCTTGCCATTCAGACAAGAACTCAGGAGACGATGTTAGGGACGATGTTAGACTCGTTGAAGACGTAATGGAACAGAGTTACAGAGAGATGCCGTCAAAGTAACGTTGTTTCTGTTTGTTTTGGTTAACAAACAGAAAAATTCTTACACAAGACTCTAGTCCCCGTGTAATTTGGTAATTGCTATAATATATGATCCATAGTTGGAAAAAAAATTTGATTTAAAGAAAGGTATGTAAGCTCTGCAGTAGCTTAAGATATAGAATACATATGTGTTTTTCATCATAGCAATTATTTTATTCAATCAAAGATAAAATGAGTTTAGATTTAATATAAAGGAATCTGAGATCAAACAGAGCAGACTTTAAAAGAACTCAAATCATAAAAACATGTTTCTCTCTCAGTGGTCAGGATTGAATTTGACAGACTCCTTGTAGATAAGCTCTTTTATGTGTTCTTCTGTGCAAGAAGGATGCTCGAAATCAAAGCTGAAAGGAGTCGGACACACTGGTTCTTTAGCCACATCATGGTGCGGTGATAGGTAAGCATGGCCAAGGGCTTCATCGACTACAATCACAACACAAGCAGATATAAACAAATTGATAACCAAAATCCAACTGCAACAAAAACCACATGATTCTCTTTAAGGAACTTCGTGTTGTTTGTTACCTGAGATACGCCGGTTAGGATCAAATACGAGCATTCTCTCCAGCAAATCAATAGCGGTAGAGGGCACCTTCGGGAATCTAGCAGCAAACTGCTGTTTCGGGTATCGCGGAAGTTGTCTGACGTATCTTCTTGCGTTGTCACTGCGAAGGAACCCGAGACTGGAATTGTCTGGAGAGCCTACAAGCTAATTTCAAGAAATGGTTTAAGTGAAACCAAAAGGGCATTGCAGTTTCAGACAAGTGGAAAACTAATGCTTTTTACTTTACTATCTTACCTCTGTTATAAGCCTAAGCTGATGAACATAATCTTTTCCCGGAAACAAAGGTTGTCCCGTCATGATTTCGCCGAGTATGCAACCAACAGACCAAATATCAATAGCTGCGGTGTACTCTGAGCAGTTAAGAAGCAACTCAGGAGCTCTGTACCAACGGGTAACTACATATTCAGTCATGAAGTCTGTGTCTGAAGTTGTTCTAGCAAGCCCAAAATCACCAATCTTTAGCTCGTTTTTCGAGTTAAGTAGCACGTTGCTTGGCCTTAGATCACGATGTAGTATGTTGGCGGAGTGCACGTATTTGAGTCCTCGTAACAGCTGGTACACAAAGAACTGTAACAGGAAGACAAGTACATAGAACAAAGATCATATCAGAGAGTACCATGACTTTACTATTGACTACAACAACACAAAAAGACTTACGCGGCATTGATCATTGGTCAGTGCTTGATTAGAGCGAAGGATTCGCTGAAGATCAGTGTCCATTAACTCATAGACAATGTAGACATCGTTGAAGATATCTCGTTGAGGAGGTCTTACAATATCTTTGATGGTTATGACCTAAAGAACAAATCCAAAGCTTGAAAATTAGATAAATATCAATTAAAGAAGAAAAAAAGAGGAGTCCTCTGTTTGTCTCGACCCTGAAGATCAGGAACACTTGATAGATCTAGCAAATTTAAGAAACTTAAAAGATGTTTTTAAATGTGAAAAATGATGCTTAAGGCTTACGTTCTCATGATCCATATGCCTGAGAAGTTTAATTTCACGTAGAGTTCTCTTTGCATCGATAATGTTATCGAAAGCATTACCGATCTTCTTAATCGCCACTTTCTCTCCAGTGACCGAGTTCACCGCAGCACTGAAATTCAAGAACCAAGAGCCTATGAAAATACAGAAGAAGGAAGGCTTTGATAACTGATCAGAAGAAAGTATCAAAAGAACTTACCAGACAATACCACAAGCGCCTCTACCAATGGGACGAATAGGAGGGACATACTTTCTGGAAACTTCAAAGAGCTGTCCATAAACGTTGTACTGAACATAGCGCCCACCGTGTGTCGGTACAACTTTGATGCAATGATCGGTAAAACCAGAGCTCGATTCTCCAGACATGATGCAATGATCAGACCGAGAACAAGAGAGACCAAGAAGAAGGCTTTTGTTGAAGTTGAAGGATCTCTCTAAAGTTTCTCTTGAAGACACTAAATCCATGTGAAGAGAGATGCCTTTTTCAACTGTAAAAGATCTCTCAAGTGACCCGTGAATGTAAAGAGTATGAAAGATTACATACGTGTATGGTCACAAGAAGCAGAGTTACTCGTTAGCTCAATATTGCATTTTTCATTTGTTACTACTAATTGCACTTATCTATAAATCAAAGCCTATATATCCTTTCTGATCTGATAAGTTCCTTTGTTTTTTAAATTGGATTAAAAAGATGGGATCATTACAAAGAAAGAAGTGATTTTTTCCCAAGCCAAACAGATGTATTATATATTTATATTATATCGCAAGATGATTTCAATACAGTCATACAGACACGACCAACACATAAACCTAAGAGACAAGCTCAACATAAGGACTAACAAACAAATAGAGAAAACACTTTTCATTGACCTAAACTGCCTTGGGTTAAACTTGTTCGTCTACGTCTTCTCCAACTGTATTGCCAGAGATTGAGTCACTTGACCTAAGATTACAGAGCAACACATCACGCCCGCTCAAAGTCAGTTTAAAGAAACTATCAACTTCCTCCAGTAACTGATCCAACCCTTGAGATAAATACTCAGCTTGTGTCCCCAATTCCATAACATGATCTTTGAAGCAATCAACTTTGACAGGATCAACGCCATCTTGGATCATCGGGTATAACTTCTCGACACTAGCATCAACGCTCTCCAGTTCTTTGAGAATCGTGGTTCTACCAGAAGATAACATGTCTCTGATCTCAGCATTCACAACACTCTGCATTTCAGTAAAGACCTTTGCCCACGATGGTTTTTCAGAGACAGGTAAATCGAAAAGATCCTTGGTGGAATCAGACCAGGCTGCGGTAAATACACTGCAGATATAAACCGTTTGAACCTTTACACCATAAAAAGCTCGCATAAGAACTTTTCCTTTAGGCGAGTTCTTGACTTTAGGCAGACTCAGAGATTTAACAAGACTGTCAAGAACTGCACGGCAGTTTTCAATTCTAGGGTTGTTTGCATTAACATGTTGCCTCCAACTATCAAGCGAAGATCGAGCCTGAAGATATTTCTCTCCGGAATCCGATTGTAAATTGTGCAGAACACACTTGAGGAAGAGATCTCCCTGGTTGAGACGTGTGAGCTCTGAGCTAAAGGCATTGCAGAGATCCAGTAGCTTAACACTGATGTTGAGGTAAACATCAACCCATTTCTCTTCCCAATCAGAGACAGGTAACTGGAGTTCAGTGATGAGAGTGTTTATGTTATTATGAGTCTCGCAGAGAGACTCCATAGCTAGCTTCATCCAGGATAAAGTGAGGATATCTTCTTTATTCTTAGGCATAAGTTTCTTTAGTCCCTCTTCCAAAAGTAGCTCAAATCTGCTCAATAGAGAAAGTAGCCATGGCGATAAATCTGATCCCTTTGGTGATAACATCCGAAAGGGATTTCCAAATGGGAAGAAACCTCGGTGTGGATCTTGTGGTCGGCTCATTTTTGGTAGACACTGAAACAATGAAAGAGCAAAATTATCAGAATCATGTCTGGTGACAAAATTATACAAACCGATTTGATGTCAACTTAAGGTATCTAATGGGTTGAAAGGAAAAAAGGGTAAAAAAAAAACAGGTCCCAAGCTTAAGAGTCTCAAAGCTGAAAACTTTGAGATCTTGAATTAACAAATGCAACTTCTTGAATTAACAAAACCAAGTTGCATCCTTTATTGAAATTATGCAACAACAAAAGACGCTCAATTGTTCTGGAATCCTTAATCTACATACATATGACGATGGCCGGAAGCAAAGTATGTATTAGAAAAAAGTATCAATTTTTCAAATTTTGAAGACCCTAGAAGCTAATGATCCAGACGAAAGTCTTTAAAAACACAAGATCGGCACAAACTCTTCATCGAACAACAGTAAACTCTAACCCTAACATCTATCTAAAACTAAAGACGCAGACTTGTCGATTGATAGGTATGACAAAACTCAAAAATTCGACGAAACTTACCGTTTCAAGTTGCCGGAAATCACAGGGAAAGTCTTATCTTCTAATAATGCTTCACTGAATTTTTCTGAGTCGGTCGGCTGAGAAATTCTTATGGCGGAGGTCCGACTTTAGTTTATAATTTTGATAACGTTACGGCCCGTCACACAGGAAAAGCTATGAAAAAATGACAAGTGTATGATTGTGAATGGCTGTTACGTCTAAAGTGCTCACAGCGCTGTGTATATTAATTAATTTAATCTTATTGCGGAAAGTGGACGGCTTATCTTATATAAAGTCTTTCTTTATCGCAAGGCCAAAACGAGACGATTTCGTGGTATTATAAAATACTAGATATGGACCGTGCGTTGCACGGGTTTTATTTGTTTTCTAATTAGTATATTACATTTATTTGGAGAATATAAATAAATGTATGTATGTTTATTAGATATAGTTCATTCTTTATTTTTATTTTTTTTGCTTTGTTCATGGTTTTTGATTGTATACATAGATTATTAGTTAATTTCTAATGTAATTATTGAATAATATTGTATTCAATAATTACTAACCAAACAATATGAAATCCAAATGATGGTAGGACAAAATTTATGTCATCGGTATATTAAATGAAAACTTATTTTAAAATATGACTTAAATGGAAATTTAACTAAAATATTAAACTCAATTTCTTAAATAGACTTTAAAATAAAAGTAAAAATTTCACTTCTTAGTTCTTGGTTTCTTCCTTTGATCATCGATTGGTTCTTGACCTTCGTCACGTTCTTCGCGTTTTGTTCCATAATTTTCATTGTCGGGACTTGCCTAAACACATAAAGACAAACCATTAATATTTTTCATTGGTATAATATATTCTAGCTCATAAACAAATATATACATATATATATATATATATATATATATATATATAAATTTATTATATTTACCTTTTCTTCGTCAAAAATATTCGAAACTGTGAAAGTTTGATATGATGCATCAAAATCGTATTCCTTAACTTGAATCTCGAATAAAAAAGTATTCCCAACAACTGTATGCAAACTTGTTGGAAAGCCTTCTAACTCTTCTTCGGCTAAAGTACTTTTGATCTGTATCAATAGTAGAATAAAAATGAATTATATTTTAGATGTTAGTATATTATTCCGTACTGTATAATTATTATTATATTAAAATTTATAGCTCATACGATTTCTGCAGTTGTTCCAGTGATTTTTTCTGCTTCCTTATCAAATATAACCAAAGTTGCTGAAGCATCTCCATCATCCACTATAACTTCAAGTCTAAAACTGAAATAGAATATTATTTTTTTGATTAATATTTTAAAATAACAGAAATTAGAGTAAATTTAATAATTATATACCTTAGCACTCCAACGGCTGGTGATTTACCACACTTTTTGTTTGTGCATATAAGCGAGGTAGCTGATTTTGACAATTTTTTAGTGCAACTCGAACATGCTATGTAATTCCAACTTTTTTGTAACATTTCAGTAATAGTAGCTTTGCAAACGAATTTCCTTTCCTGCAATTAAAATATTATTTCAAATATATATTAAGAAAAGAGTTAGTTTCCATAGTTTAATAACATGTGTTCAGTTTTAAGTAAATGAAAATAATAATTTTACCTTTCGTTCATCAGATGAGACATATTCCCAAATATCATTAATTGATTGTTGATTTTCTGGGCATATATTTTGGTTAGTTACGCCACCAAAATTAACCAAACATACTTCAAACTATTAAAGTTACATGAAAAAGTTAGTTGAGAATATGAATTAAATATTTTAATAAATAGTTAAATCTGATATTTTAGAGAATACCTTTTCGGAATGCATTGACCGAATCAAAATCATGATTCAAATAAAATTTGGTGCCTGAGGATGCTGACAAATAAATTGAACCTTGATATATCTTGACCAAGACACTTGTCATGATGAGTACAATATTATTATTTTTCACTCCACGATATTTGTCTTCCAAGATTTCTGCTTGTTCTGCCCATAATGTTATCGGTATTTCACTTCCACTATATGATATAATGAAAAAAATATTAATAATGCACTTAATTAAACTTTATAATATATAGTCACATAAAATAATCTTAATAATTGCATCTAACTTACCCTTCTAATAATAAAGTCATCGTGACTTTTCTTAAGGTAGGCGTAGCTGTACCATGAACATCTGCTTTGTCTATATGTTTAATATATCCGATTGCATCTGTAGTAAAACTATGTTAAACATACTCATACGACACATATAATTTATATTAAAAAAAATATGAAAGTACCATATAAATCAACTGTTTGTTCTTTCAGTTCAACGAATTCCTCGTAATTTCGGAACCGGAATTGTTCTTTAGGTATTTGACATCTTTCTTGTTCCACACTGCTAACTGTTGTCCTCTCCGTCAATCTTATCTGAAATTTGTGGTCAGAAACTTTGTAGTTCTTATTGCAATCTTGGACATTGAAATCATAAATTTCAATAATACTTCCTTCACACAACCGATTTCCAAACTTTTGAAGAAGAGAATGATGCACTGTTGCTTGAATAGTTTTTTTTCCTGTGTGTTATAAAATTATAATAAGAGTAAGAACTAATTGGAATACAATATCTAATATAACCATGCTCTAAAAGTACGTATCTACTAACCTCTTCATCAAGAAATAATAAATTCATTCCCAGGAGTTCATTATCTTTTTTGAAATTTTTGAATTCCCACTTTCGAAGAAGACGAACTCTTAAAGACTGACGATAAAAACGTTTTCGGTCCAATTGATCAAGTTTTAAGTAGATTTTATCATTAGCCATGATGAAGGAACTGGATTTTTAGAAGCTTAGAAAACTTTGGGAAGAAAACAATTGATGCTCCAGATTGAAGTATAACAGTTTAAGAAATGGTAATTTGTTTTCAGTCTTCTTTTTCTTTTCAATAAAATAGTCATTTCTTTGTCTTTTTTTTGGTGTTTTATCCATCCCGAATTTTATGTAGAGATACGAACTCGAATGAATTGTAAGTATCTTTCACCTTTTCTGTATTATATGGTTGGGTTTGTGTTTTGATTTGGTCAGATTAGATTGTCTCAATTGTAATTCAATTGGTTCTTTTTTTGGTTGATTATGGAATTGGACATAAGCAAATTTCATTACGTATATTTCTGGCTGGAGTATTTTAAGGATGAAAAATGACTTCTTTTCTTATGTATTCTATATATGTTTAGGTGGTACACATCTCCTTTTGCGTTTTCCTAATGCTGGTGCAAATTGCATATGAATCAACATGAATAGCATTTTTTTCTTGAAGTAGACTTTAAAATGTCAAGTAAAGTGAAACAGAAGGCTGAGGACGTTAGTTTTTTGTGTTTGTGTTTGTACTTTGATGTTGGTTCATTTATATCTATATATATAGAGATGAGAACTATCTACTTCTCCAGTTTTCATTCATAATATTAAACTTGCTGCTATGTTTTCAAGTGATTTCTCAATGGACTACATATATGAGAAGAGATGTTAAGATTAAACGCAATGACGTTATTTTGATTTTCACACACCTTAGGTAAGCAATGGAACACATTCTTTCATTAGCCTTATATATATCTGAAATGGTATTAGCTTATTTACCCTTAAGTCTGAGTCGTTTGATATTTTGCAGGAAACATTATATTCTTTTGATTTGGATCCATCCCAAATTTTATGTGGAGCTACGAACTCTCGAATTAATTGTAAGTTTCTTTCTCCTTTTACGTATTCAGTTAGATACCAAAGTATATTTGAAGGTCTATATTTAATTATTGTATGTGTATAAAGTGAATTTTTTCCTTCTGGTTGATCAGAGAATGACTTCAATGTTGGTTTTCTTATGTAAAATAAGAGATAAAATTAAGATCCAAAGAAACCATGTTACGCTATTAAAAAAAATAATGAACAATAGTATAATGAGAACTATAAATCTGGAAACTAAAATCATCATTACAATTTAAGTTAAACTCTGGTATTCATCTCTCTCTCGAAATCATATGTTGTTGAAAACTTCTTGATAAACAATATTGTGAAGAACATTATTGTCGTAGTATTTTGTGTCTCCTTTAAGAATTTTGAGTCCTGCCGTTGTTGTTACTCTTGATAGTGCAACGTATAATTGTCCGTGAGAGAAGACTGGACTTGGTAAATATAAACCAACATTGTTTAAACTCTGACCTTGGCTCTTATTGATAGTCATTGCATAGCAAACTCTTACTGGAAATTGTCGTCTTTTTAGTTTAAAAGGCCATTTTGCATCTGTTGGTGTGAGACTTATTCTAGGAATAAGAACCCGTTTACCCACATGTGTTCCGGTGAGTATTTCTGCTTCAATAATCCTCTTGCCTAGGCGAGTTATTATTAATCTTGTACCATTGCAAAGTCCTTCGCGTTGATTAATGTTCCGTAGTAGCATGATTGGTGCATCTATCTTGAGGTCTAGCTTATGATTGGGGATACCTGAAAATTTCAACGTATTTAAAAAATCTGTGGGGTAAAGAATATGTTGATTTGCCACTTCTTCTTTGTCGTCTCCAATTGTATCGGAGCTCAAATACTCTTTTTGCTCTCCTTTTAAGCATGATAACATGTAGTTGTTCACTTCATCCACCGTCTCATTTCTTGGAGTAAGAATTGCTCTTTCAATCAAATAACCCTTATTTTTGAAATTAGCATCGAAATCGTGGTATATAGACGTTGCAATGCAACTAACCGAATCTCCATTGTTTGGCAAGAGTAGATTATTTTCTATTTCCACGATACCTATTTCATCACTTAAAGTTCTATATTTTTCTGGTTTAGGTATTGTGCCATCACCGATACCTATTAGCCAATTTGCAAATTCTTTCTCAGCCTGGTGTAACCTCATATTTTTCTCAAGGGTAAATATAGAGATATAGTTCCATAAATATGAACGGGTTATTGTTGCCATAACAGTTTCTTGTCTGGTGCCTTGTGGTATAACCGGCAGAATTTGTCTAAAATCACTACCAAGGAGCACTGTTTTTCCGCCAAAGGGTTTGCTTGCTGCATTTGGATCTGCTACAGAGAGTAAATCTCGCAAACTCTTGTCGAGAGCTTCAAATGCAAAACGATGGCACATAGGTGCTTCATCCCAAATGATGAGATCTGTTTTTTCCAATAACTCTGCAAGCATGGAACCACGACTGATGTTACAAATACTGTCTTGATGAAGATCTATCGGAATTTTGAAACGTGAATGTGCTGTTCTACCGTTGGGTAAAAGTGTAGCTGCAATTCCGGATGAAGCTACTGGTAGTACAATTTTTCTCTGCGATCTTAGTCTTGATATGATAGTCTTATACACATATGTTTTCCCTGTTCCTCCTGGTCCATTCAGGAAAAACAATTTCCCTTTTTGATGCTCAATTGAGTCTATCACAGCATCATACACTTTCTTCTGATCATCATTTAATGTTTGTATTAACCTGCGGTAGTCTTTTTCTTCTTTAAGAATATTGTAACTCGTTTCATCTTGAAGCATTGAGTTTTTGATTTTCTTCAACAACTCTTTATCTGGTTTCGGCATATCTTCGAAATCTGTCAAAGATCTATCATTCTGTGCTAGTATTTTTTCGATTTCTATAAGTGTATAACTCTGTAGCTCTTCAGTAGTGAACTTTTGATCACCAAAGTTAAATATCTTTCTTTGATTATTAGGTATGTCTTCAGCGAGGTGTCGCCAACAATGTTCCCAGAGAGTAAGAGGACTACTCAATTCGCAGTAAATTAACAATGTCACAAAGAGATGGCGAAGCTGAAAAGGATATGCATATTCTGCTGCTTCGTCCATAGCTTCCTTCCATTCAGAATCACCATTCAACATCCCTCTTGCATAACATGCCGCCTTGAATGTCTTGTGTTTAACATTCTCAACAGTTAGTAAATCATCAAAGCTAGTAGGCCCTTTTTCGGTATTCAGCAACATTCTCAAGTAGTATAAGTCTCCAGCTGTTGGATGAATGTTTACTATTCTTCCTATGCTAAATCCTTGCTTCCTTTCTGACCACATTTTTCCATCTGAATCCCACACATAATAGGTAGGGAACTGAATATATGTAAGTTTCCTTGCTTCAGGACATCTTTTATTCATCTCGAACCATTCGGTAAGCATTGTTTTATCGATTCCTTCTTTTGATAAAATGTATTCAAGTCTGGCCCCTTCAGGGTAAGTGATTCTTTGTTGGTTTGGTAGATGTAATGATAGTCTTGTTACCGCAGGTTTACGTTCATGTATATCGAATGCAAAAATTCGCCAAGTAGCTTCACATGCAGAGAGGTAACGACATTCCAAATAATTTTTTATTTCATTGATCTCTTCTTGTGATTCACTCTCTTCTTTATTCCGATCCACTGCTTGTTTTCTCTTGATTTTCATTGTAGCCATGTCTACTCCTTTAGTGATATATTTGAATAGATACTTAATGGTTGTTGATCTATTGCACCATTCAACATTAATGTGAGCTTTATATTTTTTCAGGAGGTCGAGATTATGAGGCACAACGTAGTGGTTATCAAGCCTTGTGTTGCCTTTCATGACAAATTTTGTTTCGTCATATCTTCTACGATAAGTAATGTAGCCCGCCTCACTAATATTGGTTGTATCATTGTACGGTCTTGGAAACTTTTTGGTGCATTTGTTATCATCCATACACTTTGGGCCGCAGGGTCCATGCATCATAAGTTGTTCAACTAATAAAAAACCTTCTGGATCAGTCTCTTTATCCGGTAACTCGGCGCTAATGAAACTATCAATATCTTCTGGATTTGGATTTTGTATGGACTCTTGAAGCCATAAAAGTATGTGTGCATGAGGAAGGCCACGTTTTTGAAATTCTATTGTGTAAACGACTGTTCATATAAAAAATCACTTGTTAGTTTTTTTATTTGCTGTAAAAAAAAAATTAAATGATATTTATAAATAGATTATATAAGTACCTGCTGTAATAGGGCCGAAAAAGACACCATCTTGTAGATCCTTAAGAAGTTCTTCCAATTTCATTTTAAATACACGACATTCAATATCAGGTCTGTCATTTGCATTCTGATTTCCTGCCTTTTTTATATGTTCGGTCACTTCTTCCCATTTTGGATTTGCTGTTATAGTAATGAAAAGATCTGGATTTCCATATCGTCTGCATATTGCCATTGCGTCTCGATAATTCTCTACCATGTATCGAGGTCCCCCTGTGAACGAAGATGGCAAAATTATTTTTTGGCCTAGTACTCTCGAATCTGCATCCCCTTGTTCAATTGCATCACATATGTTATTGTACAGATCCGCTCGCAGTTTTTTTTGGTTATACAAATAGAAATTCATACGTTCTTGTTCGATAGCAGTATATGCATCAACCACGTATTGATGGAAAAGACGGCCTGAACGTACTATTGTTCCTGGAGATGTCAATCTAGTATGAATTTGGTATGCATAATACTCTCGCATTGTAACATATTGCCTTTTCGTAGTATTTCCTTCTGAACTATACGGAATGGTTTTCTCGATATAACCTTGTTCACCATATGGAAACAACAAAGGATATTGTAGTGACATGTATGATGGATGTAAAAAACTGATGTATTGTGGTTTATCCATTCTAGGATACACAATTATATCTCTATCACAATTTGGGATTGACATGTCACCCACAATAAGACCAGCAATCTCGTTTCCTTCTGGAAGGTCAAATTGTCTGCCACGTTCTTTATTTTTGATTAATCTAATTGAGTATTCTTCCTTTGCCCCTGACTCGTATCTATCTATAGCCATTCTGAAAACTTTAGCTAAGTCATTATATTGATCAAGCATTGCAATCAACCCGCTCAGAATATCTTCATCTAAGTCACTATTATTTCCTTTGGCAAATGCGTTGAGTCGGTTTTGAACTTCATGTGCGGTATCATATACGTATAGCTGCGCAAAACGTGGTACATCTCCTTCGACCGGTAGTAAAGATCCAATTTTGTGGTAATTTTGACCATGCATACGAAACGTGAAAGGACCATTTCCTGAATTAATATCATAATCAATTTTCCCACCCATTGAAGTAAAAGCAAGCATTGAATTATATGCTCGTATATTATTCCGAAACGATGTCGACTGTGATAGTAAGTCATCTAAATAACTTGGAGTTTGTCGAGATTGTTGAAGGACAACTCGTCCTTGTTGACAGCAAATCGAAAATTTCAGCTCTTTTCCACTATGTTTAAGACTTTCAGATTTCCACACCAAAGCTTCGCAATAATTACATGTCATCAAGTCATTGTCTTCTCCTGAAATTAAAAATAGACATTTATAGAATAAGATTTTGTAAATATTTATGTAATATATTTTAACTATAATAAGTTTTTGTATTGTAACGATCGAGAGTATGTGAGTTACTAAAGAATCTGGCAATGCGCTGATTCTGTCAAGCTCCATGATCCTATATCAAACTTGAATCCTGGGCGATAAGTTTGTCTATTTTTTATCCTAAAATTATAATTTTAATAATATTTTTTTGTATTGTAATTTGTAAAAAAATTTTGTAGTTAACGTATAACTATTTCTTTGTATTTTTGTACACCTAATATTACTTGACATATTTATTTGTAATTTTATTTAAATAAATAACTAATATTGTTTAAATTGATTTGATAATAGGATTATTCCAAGGTAAAAGATTGGTAAAGTATTAAATAACTAACGATAGAATTATACCACGATTGTTTGCCGTTTTTGTTTTTAGAGATCTTCTTTTTTGGTGTATAAGATGATTATCTTCGTTCTTATCAATATTTAAATTTGATGGTGTTGACTGCTTGCTAGTTCGAGCTACCTTTGATCTTGACCTTCTATTGTAAATCCTGCAATTTATTTTCTTAATTAGTTGATATTGTCATATAATTTTTGATATAATATAATAAAAATTGAGATTGAAATACTCAATATAATATAATAAAAGTACTCACCAATTTCTAAGCTGCGTAGTTGTAATTTCAGGACCCTATATTTTGTAAAACTATGTTAGACAATAAAAATTTAAAAATAATTACGACGTCTACGTACTACTCATAGATGTGAATGTAGTTGGAGACATGGAATTAAGCGGAGTTATATGTAAAGCATAATATGAGTATTTTACTTACACATTGTTTTAGTTTGTCTATCCATGTATGAAGCGTAGTTAGATCCAACCGTTTATGAGGTTGATCTATAAGTATCTTCTCCATCATAGCAATTTGCTCATCATTCATAATACTTTGTTTTCGTTTGCTAGGAAGGTTGTCATGCTTTTCAGAGATTAGATTTGTTGCTTCGGTGTTCATGTTTAAAGACGTAAATTTAGTTGTGTTTTTTATTCTGAATACCTCTTGTAATATAAAAATATATAGTACTCAAGTTTGAGTTTTCCTTACGACGCTAGGATAAGATTCCTTTTAGTTTTGGGAATAGAATTTTTGTCAATTTACACCAAAACATTATTTTAACGTATACAAACTGAACCCATATCTTATTATACAAAAACGTATAAACGTATAAGACACCATAATATTTTTCAATGTAATACAAACTAACCCGTAGGTGTAAGACATGAAAGTACATCTTAATACATACACCATCTTCTCGTTAAACCATATGTTATATAATAAGATTTTTCTGGTTTTTTTTTTTAAATAACAACTTTGGGATATCACGTATATTGACCTTATTTTTTAATATATAATCATTAGGAGATTACATGCAATCAAAGTTTAAGCTTTTTTGAAAAATATTTGTTAAATATATTTTTTAAAACATTAACTTGACACATGTCAAAATCTCATATCCATAATTAGACACGTGTCGTAATCTTGTTGATGACTAACTTTCAAAACCCAAGTTTATATAATAAGATTAGTGGTTGTTGACATTTGGACATGGTTTTGTCCTTTTTTTTTGTTACTAATAAAACCAAATCTAACGGCTATGCGCCTATACATTATACAATACCATTACCACGTCCGACAGGCTCCTCCTGTTAATTTATTTTTGATCAACTATTACAAGGTTGCTTTTTAAAACATTTGAGCAACTACTATATATTTATAAAAAGTTTAATAAATAATCAAGTCACTAAAATTTGATGAAGTAACGTAATTCATTAGATTATTGTATAAATGGGCCGTAAAGCCCATATAACAGCTGTGATGTAGCTGTATCTCGTTTTCTTGTTTCTCTTCTCTTCACTAGTAGCTTAACATCTGAATTATACTCAAACTATGGCCCATAAGAGATATAAAAATGTTATTATGGGCCATACGGTCCAAGCCCAATGTAGACTTAAAGGACGGGAAATCGGCCCGTATACGATAGGAAAAGCCTCTAGCTAAGACAGAAGGTCTCTGAATCGTTCGATGAACTTGATAACGGCGATGATTTCTCCCGGAGCCGAGTTGCGGCCATACAATGCTACGATCCACTTGCTGCGTTTCAGTTTCCCCTTTCACGGCCAAACAACCTTCGTTCATTAGGACACAACAACGTATTACCTCCGATCTCTCCTCTGGTCGTAACCCCCTCCGCGGTGGTGGTGCCGCCGCCGTGTCCTCCTCCAGCCTCCGTGATCTCGTTTTTGTTGTAAACCCTCAAGGTGCGTTTCTCCTTTTACTCACTGGACGAAGGAATGACTTAGCTTTGGAATAAATTAGATTTTTTTAATAAAAAAAACGAGAATTAGTCTCGAGGTAGAACTGATGTTTATGGTTATGAGATCGTCTAGTGATTCTATTTTAATGTCTTCCATATGAAATTAGGTGCTAATGGTAGAACAGCTAAAGAATGGAAGAAGTTGCTTCCTTACCTACGATCTCGTCTTGGTAAAGACTGTAATGTGAGTTCTCGATTCACTTGCCTTTTTGTGTGCCCTGTGTTACTAATTCCATCTCCATTTGCCCTCTTCAGTTTCTTATTGTGTATCATGAAAATGAATTTGCTCGCAGATATGCGAGTCATTAACATCGGGTCCTTCTCATGCCATTGACATTACAAGAGAGGTAAAGGAGCAGTCAGCACAGCAGTGAACTAAAAGTACTTTGGTGGGTACAGTATTCTCTGTCTTGTCAATTTTGTTCTAAGCTGATCGTTTGTACCTACCAATTATACTCTCAGGCTATTAGGGATGGGGCAGACGCTGTAATTGCGGTTGGAGGTGATGGAACACTGCATGAGGTAGGAATTGAATATCTTTGGTTGCTAAAACTCAGCTCTGAAGAGTCTCAGCTCCACTCATTTTATCTTTTTTGTTTACAGGTTGTTAATGGTTTCTTTTGGGAGGGAAAACCTGTCAGTAATCTCAACAGTGAAGCTAGTCATTCCACTGCACTTGGTGTGAGTAGCTTGAATTGACCTTTTTTACTTGTTTTTGTGTATATCTCTTGCGCAACGACTTACGATCTCAGTCCATCCCTTTTTTTGCCAGCTGATTCCCTTAGGTACTGGCTCAGATTTTGCTAGAACATTTGGATGGTTAGTTTTTGCATCTTGTGCTCGATGTGATTTGTTTTCAAAACTTGTATTCTGCAAATCTTAAGTCTGCCCTGCATTTGTTAGGAGTAACGATCCTTGTGAAGCGGTGGAGCGCATTGCTAAAGGTATGTCACTGAATCCATTTGAGGAGTTAGTGACTTATCGACGTCTTTGTAAATATGTCTCATATATAACAATCACATAACTTGAATATTCTCAGGAATGCGATCACAGGTTGATGTTGGTGTTATCGACAAGGAAGGAAGAGATTTGCATTACTTCATAAACGTTGCTGATGTTCATTTGTAAGTGTATCATGGAAATATCCTGTGTGATTGATCCTTAATTTGGTGGTTGTAAATCTCTCCTTTTGTTGCTCTTCACTTGCAGGAGTGCAAAGGCAGGTTTTTATGCTTCAAAGTACAAGAAATTTGGAAAATTGTGCTACGTAATCGGTGCCCTACAAGCTTTTATGGGGCATCATAACAGAGATTTGAGAATCAGGGTAAGCAATTATTTCCGCAAAATCCCTTCTTCACCATAGCAGCTGTAACCTCAAAGCATTGTGTTATATTCTCAGGTCAATGGAGGGGAATGGGAATTATATCCTCAAGTCACTGCTCTCTGCGTTGGAAACGCTAAATACTTTGGTGGTGGGATGAAAATCACGCCCAATGCCGTCCCTGGAAGTGGAAATCTTGAGGTGCAACAATTCGTTTCTTCAATCTCAAATCCTATTTTGTGAATATGATAACCGTTCTTGACCATCATACACGTCTCTACAGGTTGTGGTTCTGCAAGACTTCAAATGGTATGATTTCGTACTTAAACTCCATAAGCTATACAACGGGACGCATCTCTCAGTTAACAATGTGACCTCAAGAAGGTAAGATATTTCTTCTTACTTCACATTTTGTACTTTAAATGAACTTAACACTTGGAAAGGTCACCATTGTAACCGTTGTTTCCTGTAGTGTACAAAGTATCGAAGTTGAAGAGATTTCAGGCAGCGGAAGTATCTATGTTCAGTCAGATGGAGAACATCTTGGATTTCTACCTGGAAAGTTTTGGGTTCTACCCGGTGCCATCGACATGATTAGCTGATCAATTCCGCAGAGTTCTTGGGATAGAAAGCTACCAAGAAAGTGTAGAATACGTCAACTAAATTTTGTTTTTGTCTATAGAGTGATACTTCTTCTGAGATACCATTAATTTGATTCAGTGTTTGGCGAATCAGATTTATGATCGTGTTATATGATTCACTATCATTGTGTGGTCTCTGTTATCCACAAAATAGATACTTTAGAAAAGATTTTTTTAAGTTAAAGTCGCCTTCCCTTAACCAATAACCCAATTGAATCCAAAAATGGTAGCTTCTCTTTCCTTTCATTCCATCGCCACCGTCAATAATATCTACTCCGGCGGTGCTGGCCGTTCAATCTCCCGGCGTAGCTGCCAATTCAGAGCAACTGGAGTGAGTTGCAGGGGACAGAATCCTACTAACGAGCCACAGACAAGTAAAGAACCCGAGCCGGACAATGTTCTACTCAAAATTGCTTGGTATGGATCTGAGCTACTAGGAATCGCTGCTTCCGTATTCCGATCTCCGGAGACTTCTCCGACTGTGACAGGCTTTGAGGTTCCGGTTGATTGTTCGGGAAGAGCCGTTCGTGTAGCTGTCGTGGATTCGATTAAACAAGACTTCAAACGATCGTATTTTGTTACAGGTCAGTGAACAAAAAGATCCAAAACAAAATCTGAGTTTTGTTTCTTTCGTCCTAAATAGGAATTTGACTTTTCAGGGAATTTGACGCCGGAGGTTTATGAGGAGAAGTGCGAATTCGCCGATCCGGCTGGTTCCTTCAAGGGTCTTGCTCGTTTCAAAAGGAATTGCACTAACTTCGGAAGCCTAATCGAGAAATCGAAGATGAAGCTCATGAAATGGGAGAATTTCGAGGTACCGTCAACTAATAAAGGATGCAACTTTTTCTTTCCAATGTCGGAGAAAACTACTGTTTTTTTTTTTTTTTTATCGCCGGAGCTACGTCATGAGTTTTGCAGGATAAAGGAGTTGGACATTGGAAGTTTAGCTGTGTCATGTCATTTCCATGGAAACCCATTCTTTCAGGTTTTCTTATCCAAACCATAAAAGCTTCAGATTTTTTGTAGCCTTTTTAGGATAAAGTTTGCAACTTTTAGCTTCAATGATTAGTTTTAGTTGTCGGCAAAAATAAAAAGATTAGTTTTAGTAATGAAGACAAAAATAGGACAAAACTTTTTATGTCTTTTTATGGAATTCATTGGGAGTCAAAATCTGTTTTTACAGCAACTGGTTACACGGAGTATTATTTCGACGCAGAATCCGGAAAAATTTGCAGGTAAAGATTTGCGTCTCATAAACATAGGAGACATTAATCTCTTTCAACTTTGCAATCTCTTGTCAAGAAGAAGAATGATTGCAGCTATTGTTTCACATACTTGTATGAATGCTTGCAGGCACGTGGAGCATTGGAATGTCCCTAAGATTGCTCTGTTCAAGCAACTTCTGAGACCCAGCCGTGGATTAATGGGGACACAAAACTAGCGGATGAAGTATGATGTCAATTTCAAATTAGATTTCTAAACAGTAAATATATTAAACTTCCTTCTCAAACTAATATGTATTAGAGATCTGTATTGAATATTAAACTTCCTTCTCAAACTAATATGGGGATACTCTACTATTAGAGATCTGTATTGAATCTACTGGAAAGTTATGCGTTAGCTTAAAAATGGGATCACAAAGTTATGAATTTGCATTTGACAAAGTAAAGATGACAACACATAAAACACACTATCACTGTATCATTAATTCGTTACCTTGACTTAAAATAAAGGTACATCCTTCTCGGTCAGAGAAGTGACAGAGTAACCCTGCATGAACTTTTTTTAGTTTCTTTAACTCACCAACTTCTGGGAACAGATTGAGAAGCGGCGGAGAAACAATGAACGGTCCAGCAAATTAAAGAATTTCCGGCGCAGGTAATAGGAGGAAAGCACAATTTTCATCGTCGTGGTCGAGGCAGAAGATGAAGAACACTTCCCTAGTAAGTAGTAACCAAACTTATTATTATGGGCTTTAAAATAGTTTATTAACATAATGTGCCTTTAGAAGTAAAAGGCCCAATCACATTTGAAGAAAGATCTTTTTTTTTTTTGTATTCTACTACTACTACAATATAGGTTCGTTGTTACTTTGAAGGCTCCATGTTCTCAGCGGCTGAAGCTGCTGCAGAAGCAGCCTTGTCAAAGCCAAGTTTCTGCAACTCGGTTAAGAACCCATCGAGCTCGCTTGTTGTGATCTTGTAAGGACTGTGAGAAGGACCTGGAAACACTTTTTTAGAGACTTCTTCTTTGTATTCCATTAAGGCTTTGTTAATCACTTCTCCTACTTTAGCATACTGCTTGCAAAACTTTGGAGTAACCTGTGAAATTCAAGCGCATGAAACCAGAAAAACGTTGAAAACTAATGAACCAACAATAGAATGCATTTCGAAAACGATGATGAAGCTTAAATGGGCCAGCATTTGACCTTAGCATGATGTGGATGCTGCATCATGCCAAGAAGATCATGGTAGACTAACACCTGCGTTCTCAAGAAAAGAAAAAAACTAACGGACATAAGAATTACAAGTTTGCAACTTTGCCACACACAAAATCGAGAATTGAAAAGAGAAGGAACTTTTCAAACAAAACCTGTCCACTGCAGAAAGGTCCAGCCCCAATACCAATGGTTGGTATCTTGAGGGCAGAGGTTGCAGCAGCAGCCACTGGAGGTGGAACACATTCCAAAACAACCGAAAAACATCCAGCTTCTTGTAAAGCCATGGCAGTCTCAACAACCTTAACAGCACTAGCTATGTTTTTGCCTTGTGGTCTGAAACCACCAAGAACGCTGATAGCTTGAGGAGTTAGACCCACATGACCCATAACCGCAATTCCTGCTTCAACTATGGCTCTTGCAGCAGTGATCCTAGAAGGAGATCCTCCTTCGAGCTTAATGGCATCCATTCCTCCTTCCTTTAAAACGCTAACTGCAGTATCAACCGCCTGGTGCCACATTTAAACCCAGCCATGATTTCTTAAGTATCAAATTCAAGAGTGTACAACCCAAAATTAAGGAACCAAGCTTTGATTACAAAGGCAATGAGACAAAATGTATCAGTTGAGACATTTCTAAAAAGAATCGAGTTGCCTAAACAGTTTATCAGCAAATGAACTGAAAACATTGCAACTCCCACAGATTGTTGTGATTATTTGAGGTCTGAGAGGGCAAAAATATTGATCTTTTAAATTCTTAAACAAGCACAAAGCATATAAAACATGGATTATCAACAAGTATGGTTACTCGTAATTACAGAAGACGAAAAGATCCAGTTTTGACGATTTACCTGACTAGCGCTTGACTCGTAGGTACCAAATGGCAAGTCACCAACAAGAAGAGGCCGCTTAGCGCCACGAGCAACGGCACGACAATGGACAAGCATCTCGTCTAAGGAGATAGGGAGTGTTGTGTCGTGACCGTGAACAACCATAGACGCCGAGTCACCGACAAGACAAACATCGATGCCAGCTGAGTCTAAATGAACGGCGGATGGGTAATCGTAGGCGGTTACGACGGTGATCGGCTCTCCTTTCCGGTGTTTTTGTCTGAGATGCGTTAGTGTCACTCTTTGGTTTGGGTTCTGCGGCTTTGGTCCTCCGTAGACGGTGTCTACCGGTAGGTTACTCATGAAACGGACGGAGATGGCTTTGGAGAAGCGAGAGCAATTCCTAGCGAGTGAGGAAGCCATTGTCGTTACTTATGTCGATTAATTAACACTCTCTGTGAGTGTGAGTGTGACTGTGTCTATGTGTTTACAAGAACAAGGAATTTCTGGAATTAACCTTAACTTTTAGAAAAGATTCAATTTCTGGAAAACCCATAAAAGTGATTAGATTCTGACTGACGATTATCGATACAAGAACACATCACGCACATCAATCCAGAACTTATAGTTATATATATTTATTTCTGACTAAGTTAACATTATCCGTCGTAGTCTAGCTGGTTAGGATACTCGGCTCTCACCCGAGAGACCCGGGTTCGAGTCCCGGCGACGGAGACTTTTTTCCTATTTTACTTTAGTAAACCGGTAGTTCAGGGTACTTTGGTAGAACCAAGATTGTCTCCAACAAAATCCGTCGTAGTCTAGCTGGTTAGGATACTCGGCTCTCACCCGAGAGACCCGGGTTCGAATCCCGGCGACGGAGATTTTTGTTTTCCTATTATCTTTTATTCACACATGTGTGCGATGACGTGAAGAATTTTATATTTTTTTGTTGTTGATCTGAACTCTGAAGTAGTTGAATGTAGTCTTCTCGACATTCTATATATATATTTCTTGAATACAAATGACGGGAAGAACCATAATTTCTAATACACAAACTTTGACAAAGGAATCACAATTTGTTGATTCAATCACATATATCCTCTTCGTGATATCAGTCATACGAGTATGAAAAATCAGCGATTTGCTTTCCGCACAAAGAGTAATTACTCTTATTTTTATTTAAATACTTGATGATGGTTATCGATGGAGAAAGCATGGTCATAAATCCGTAAAGAACAGCTTGTATCCTAGGCAAATTTTCCAAAACAGTTGATGTGGGTGGTATCGCTTTGTGTGTTGTGTATCCTGATTGTGTGTGTTTTTTCTCACTTAAAAGATTCACACGAAATCGGAATTTAAAAGCGAGAAAAATCAAAAGGAGCTAATATAGATGCACACAACATATGTGTAACGTGAAGAAGCAAGTTCAGAGACTGTCCAAGGAGACGAGCATCGTGGAGACAACTTATGCAAAGGAATCCATAACCATCCTTGTGAGGAGCTCATGCAAACCCGAACTCCTATATTCTTCATCAAATGTAGTTCCTCTCTAAGTTCACCTAATTTTTACATTTTTATGTGCCTATACAATTATAATAATTCGTATAACGGAGCAAATTCAAAGCCTGTCATTATCAATCAGTATGCTTGTAATTTCGATACCGTTTTATTTATTATATCATTTTTTTTTGTTAAATAACCAAGAAATATACACATTGCAATCAGAAAACGAACTCGGAACAACACATCATTTTAGAGCAAAATCGTCTGGGTAAACCGGATTTGATTTCGCATGAATCAATTACATGAACACTGTCGATGAAGACATGAACTGCTTCGAAGTTGTAATCAGGTATCCTCCATAGCACAATACATATATACCAACCACCTCCAATATTTCGCATAACACATGTTTTATCAGGAAAATTAAGTTTTGATTAATTATAAAATATAGTATCTCATATTTCCATTTCTCTTAGGATTATCGACCCAAAAAAAAAAAAAAGGTAAATGTAAGATATTTCGTTCTTATCTTTAATAGATTTAAATTATTATCATTAAATTTTCATAGATTTTAAATGATAAAATTTACTTTTTAATACCTTTTAGATTATGGAAATATTAGATTTTCTCTTTTATTAAAATTTATATGAAGAAGAAAAAAACAAACTAGGCATAATATTTTATTTTATTTTTTAATAGCAAAAAAAATAATTAGTACTTTAGTACTTAGTAGTAGTATATTTTTCGGACAAGCAAAGCAGTAAGGAACGCACGTTATGACCATCATGCTCCAAAATCGGATCTTCCCTTAGAATATGCATTATGGACCGCTTGTATTTCATTCCTTTTTCTATGACTTTTTTAAAAAAGAAAAATAAAGGAAGAATAATTACAACAACTAAAGAAAAATAAAGATAAAAATGTCACACTCCGGAAATTAAGGTATTACTCATCCTTAAAAGAGGAAACAAATATATATATAACCGACAGGGCCACAGACAAATATAAGAAAGATAGATAGAGAGAGATCTGATCACCATTTCGAAAGTACGATTTGACGACGAAAAACAAAAAAAAAAAACAAGAAGAAGAAAAATGGCAACAGCGGATGAGAAGGTGGTGGAAGAAAAGGCGTCGATGATATCAAGCTTGTTAGATAAAGCGAAAGGTTTCTTTGCGGAGAAGCTGGCCAATATTCCGACGCCGGAAGCCACCGTGGACGACGTCGATTTCAAAGGCGTGACACGTGAAGGAGTTGATTATCACGCCAAGGTCTCCGTCAAGAATCCTTACTCTCAATCCATCCCTATTTGTCAGATCTCTTACATCCTCAAGAGTGCCACCAGGTCAGCTTCTCCTTCTCTCTCTTTTGCTTTTGTAATTCTGTACCGTCTGATCTACGTTATCCTTTGATCCGACGAATGAAATTGAGTTTATTCACGTGTGGCGTATATAACATATCCGGATTGTAACACTTGTTGTTACATAGATCATATTGATATTTTAATCCGTATCCCTGGATCTAGCCAGTTTTAATTTGTGTCACATATTTTTAAATAAATATATTTATGGTGTACTTTTCTTTAGGTTAGGTGTATCCGATCTATCTATAAACTATAGTTTTGTTATGCAATATAGATATCCGATCTAATGCTTGATTATCACTAATTGATAAAAGTAAAGTCTCATCACCGAAATGGCTGGCTAAAATCTGTTTCTTTCACAAGTTGTATACGTTATTGCATATATTCAACTACCATTTTTATTGTCCGATCCATGTGCATTGATGATATCTAGTAAATACACATGTATACTATAAGATAAACGAAGCGTCATGTTTTGTATTTTGAGGATTTTAGCTTAGATAACAATATCATAGTATACAGCCATGCATTGTTGTGTATGTTCACCATATGCATGCTGACTAATAATGTTTGTGGTTGCTTAGGACGATCGCGTCGGGCACAATTCCGGACCCGGGTTCGTTGGTTGGGAGTGGCACGACGGTTCTGGACGTACCAGTTAAGGTGGCTTATAGCATAGCGGTTAGTCTGATGAAGGACATGTGTACGGACTGGGACATCGATTATCAACTCGACATTGGACTAACCTTCGACATCCCTGTCGTTGGTGACATCACCATCCCAGTCTCTACTCAGGGTGAGATTAAGCTCCCCTCCCTTCGCGACTTCTTTTAATTCAACTATATATAGTTTTGCGTCTTAATTATCATATCATTTTCAATAAAAGCACCATCGGTGATCATAGACGATCGGAGTTTATAATTCTGGAATCTTTTTTCTTTTGACTTTGTTACTGGAATATTAAGGATTTTTATTGGTTTATGTGCTTTTCGTGGTGTGATCGATTTATATAACTTTCATGATGCTCTCCTAGGAAAATATGTGTAACTTTTAGTCCTACCAATAATTTAAAGTTTTAAACATTCGACCAAAAATGATTTCAGTTATCACATTTTTAAGAGAACCCGAGTACCATTTTTTTTAAAAACAACGAAAGGATTGTAGGTAGTTAAGAGAACAAATAGGCAAGGGGACCATGTATGAAGCTAGGTTGTCTCCAGCTAACCAAAAAATAAAAAAAATTAGTTAGCAAATTGCATCTTAATTCTCCAAAATACCCAAACAAAACAACGCCTTTAGTATTAAAAACCAGATTATCTGTCTTTTATTCTTTCAAATTATTGAATAAGTAACCAAGCTGTTCATATAATCGTGAGAGACCAACAAAAACTAAACCATCATCCTCAAGCACAAAGTTGTATGCATTCACATTTCACACCCAAATATAAAATGCACATATTCTTGATGAAAATTAACCACATTTGAGGTAGTTTAACTTTGAATTATTATTTTATTATTTTTTTACAACACGAACTATATATTAGAGCATGATTATCAATGACCTCTTAACAAAATCTTAAGTTAAGAAAAGTTAAGAAAAGTTAATAAATGTATCTTATCTAAGAGATATTTACTCACTTTTCTTAGTTTTTTTTCACTTTTCTTAACTTTTCTTACATTAAGATTTGTGTAAAAGACTCTTGATAATCATGGTCTTATCTAGACTCTTTATCTTTTCTAGAAAGAATCGTCGGACGTTGACGAAAAAGTCAAACCCGTGTAACTTAGCATTACGGGCTGGTTGAATTCTCATTGGCGCCATCGGCATCCCCACCGATACGTAGCTTCTACTTTTTTTCCACGAGGTCATGGCCGTTATATTAAAAATTTTAAATCAAACCTAATTTTAATATCATTCCCATTTTTCCCGTAATAATTGACCCCAAAATTTTGTTAGTGGTTAGGACAATTACATTATTTTACTTTTTGTTCGTTTTCTCTAAAGCACATGAAACACAGGCTTGTAGAATATAAAATTCAACAGTATTCTCCGTCGCTAAGTTTGGTTTATATAAATCTCATAAACCATGACTAATTAGTATATCACTAAAAAAAAAAAAAAGGACAATCATGAACGATTTAGAACATGTTCGACCGCTAGCTCCGGCGACCATTCTCCCGGTGAGCGACGAATCCGCCTCCAACATTAGAAATAATCTCCGTCGCAGAAAGCGGATGAATTGCTTAATCTGCGCCACTGTAACATCTCTACTTCTAATCACGGTCGTGTTGACTTTAGTTTTCACGGTGTTCAGAGTCAAAGACCCGACCATCAAAATGAACGGCGTAATGGTCAACGGCCTAGATTCAGTCATGGGGACTGATCAGGCCCAACTCTTGGGAACAAACATCTCGATGATCGTTGACGTGTCTGTCAAGAATCCAAATACGGCGTCGTTTAAGTACTCCAACACCACGACGAATATATATTACAAAGGAACGGTGGTGGGTGAAGCTCACGGGCTACCTGGGAAGGCGAGACCGCATCGGACTTCGAGGATGAACTTGACGGTTGATATAATGATTGATCGGATATTAGCGGATCCGGGTTTGGGTCGAGAAGTAAGTAGGTCGGGTCTTCTGAACGTGTCGAGTTATACCAAGGTTGGTGGTAAGGTGACGATGATGGGGATCGTGAAGAAGCACGTAACGGTTAAGATGAACTGCACGATGGCTGTGAACATCACCAGCCAGGCCATTCAAGATGTCGATTGCAAGAATAAAATCGGTCTTTGAGGTATACGTACGTTAGGATCGATTTTCAGTTTTTTTTTTTTATTGGTTTATTTTTGTTTTTCAACCGTACAAGAGCGGATGCTTCCATGACAGATCACTATTTACATGTTCTATTCGTTTTACATAAATATTTTTTGTTTTGAAAATTCTGGTCATTTGATTATCGCACAATGATAGATGTATATGTTTTTATATATTTTTCTTGTATTTCTTGAATTTTTTTTTGTCGGTACATTTACTGAATTTTGAATGGAGTAAACATAGCGCTTTCGTTAACATATCAAACTTATGTAAATGTTCAAAGAATTGACCGACGACTAATCATTTAGCGTATTAATTTATTAGCTATTTCATACTAAACTGACTCGTTCTACATTATTAGTTAGTCCACTAATAGTCGAATTAAAAGTAAATCATAGCAAATCATGTGAATCTGTCTTTTAAACGATTTCACACGTACTACTATTTTGCTAGTTTAACCATATTTCAATGTCTGTTCGTCGTGGTTAGTTACATCATGCTCAATCTCATTGATCGTTCGTTTGCGAATGGACCATTAGCAGTTTTTCGAACCGGGTGTCTATTGTCTAATTAGTACGAACCCCAAGAGCCAACGAGAGCGTTTAGTGAATTGCATTGAGAAGAAGCCTTGGAATCACACAAATCGATCCAAAAATCAACAAAACAAGACAAACGAAATGAGTATAAAATAGTCTTTTCTAATAGGACCCCATAAAATTCGAAATTGACAAAAATATTTGTTAAACGGTCAATGTTTACAAGGCTCGAACACATTATCAAATAAAATAAAATAAAAAATACAACTGAAAGTAAAAAAAAAAAAAGAAACATATAAATATTCCTTTGGGTTGGGCCACTTAATTAATAAAACCTAACTTATTTAATAAATGCAAATTTCAGTTTCCAAACAAATATTAAATGCATCAGCTGCAATTTCCACCCACCTCTCTTCACTTCTTCTAAACTAAAATTAATTAAAATACAGATTTTCAAAAAAAATAAAAAAATCTATTATCAGTCTCCTTCTCTCTCTCACACACACACACATGGACCCAGTCTTCTTCTTCTTTACCATCAAATGTCAACAGCCGCCTCCTCCTCCTCCGTCTTCCTAAACCACCCTCCTTTCCCACCGTCTCCACCACACGGCTCCAACCACTCTTACCTCACAACTCTAGGCTTTGGCTACTCCATAGCCATAGCTCTCGGTTTCCTCGTCCTTCTCTCAACCGTTCTTTTATCCTCGTATATCTGTTGCCGCGACTCTCGCCGCCGTACAACCGCCGTGGAATCTACAGGAGACCGTGGCGGAAGTGTAATCCTCCCCCGCATAATATTTGTCGCTGAAGAAGACAATGATCTCGAAGCAGGTGACGTCGTCGTGGGGCTCGATCAAGCCGTCATCAACTCTTACCCTAAGTTCCACTTTTCCAAGGAATCATCCGCCGCGTCCTTAGATGGGTTCGGCAGCGGAGGAGATACGACGTGTTCGATCTGTTTGTGTGAGTATAAAGAAGCGGAGATGCTGAGGATGATGCCTGAGTGTAAACACTACTTCCATTTGTGTTGTCTTGATGCGTGGCTTAAACTCAACGGATCTTGTCCTGTTTGTCGTAACTCTCCGCTTCCGACCCCGACGTCTACACCTCTCTCGACACCTTTGTCGGAAGTTGTGCCGCTCTCGCAGTACGCCGCCGACCGGAGGAGAGCAAGGAGATGATATTTATTAATTATTATTTTACATTGATCCATTCGCCTAATTAGGGTATTATTTTTGCTCCGTTTCATTACAACTTTACTGATTTGTAATTATAAAAAAAATCCGTCAAAAGTGGGGTTTGGCATTAATATCATCGAAATGAAATCCAATTTGAATTATTTGCTTGCCTCATTAAAAATTTATCCTTTTCTATTAACGTTTTTGAACGTCCTTTTTTTCCTTATGACCATGAGCGGTTGAAAATAAGATACGCGGTCGTGTTTCGTAACATAAATAAAAGGGTTTGAGTTTGAACTTTGAACTACAAAGTTTACTTACTTTTTGGTTTTTCTTTGGTCAAGGATTGGAAACTAACTTTTAGTTAAATACTAGTAGTATTTTAGATTTGTTGAATGTCGGAAATAGATGTTTCTAAAGTTGGGAACAAAACATAGTTTATTTTCTTTTATCCCAGGTACATCAGTTGATGAAGAAGTTACATCGTAAACTCGTAGGTCCAAGTGTTGGTCGAGTTAAACTGTGGTCTATGACAATTTTTCTTTATGATTTTAATAAGATGAAATTTCCTAAACGAATAATTTGCTTGCATACACACTTTTATAGATTCATCACATTTGTGATTTTTATTTTTGAAGCAAACCGATCGAAAACATGCCTACATGGCCTTCGTTGATAGTCGAGAACGTTTTTTTTGTTTGTTTTTTCTCCCTTGTAAAGCGCACCTTAATGATAATTCATATGAGAAGGTTGGATAGTGTGAACATATGTTATTTATATAGTTGTTGAAAATTTGGTATGTATGTCATAATGAAATGTGAATGTGTTATTTGACTTAGACTTGTCCACGAATTCGTTTTTTCATTCCCCCTGCACAATCATGCGGTGATAGCTGTTACTTGTTAGAGCTTAGTGGTAATGTCTTTGTAATCAAGTAATTAATTTCGCTCTGATTTCAATTTATTCTCTTTCTAACTGCTCAGTGCTCATCTAGGGAATGTTATATAAAATTTATATTAACAAAATCTTTATTTTATAGACTCTCAACATTACAAGTCATTGGGACAATACTTTCTAATGAATTTTCTTAAACATTCGACCTAGACCCAAAGCCGCTTACTGAAAGAGAGAGTTACGTCGTGGGACTTTTAAAGATTTTGATTAAATGCTTCGTCATAAAGAGGATTAAGTTTAAGCCGTCGATTTCGCGATACGATATAAAACACGTGTCGTAAATCCACCCGTTGCTTAATAAAGCAAAGGTATGACCAGCGTTTCCTTCCTTTTGGTTGTTTGCCTACACGTTTCGAGGCTCTGCTTCTCCGTCAATTAACGTCCGTTTTCTTCCTTTTTTTTAATAGACGGGTTAAAGATAAAGATACTAACGCCGTTGACGACGGTATTTCAAAATAATTAAACTACGAACCGCATCACACGTTCGGGTATCGAACCTCAGGCTCGTAGTTATAAAGACTCTTGTAAAACCTATAATTTTGCTTGTTTCCTCCTTCTCCTTCACACGTTTGGATATTTTATTGTTGTTGAGAGTTTCTTCTGAGAAGTTGAATTTTGGGAATTCAATTTGAAAAATCAATGGCGGAAGAAATTGAGAAATCTGTGCCGGCGGAGGAGTCTCTGATGGAGAAGATCGCTGAGAAGATTCACCATCACGATTCGTCGTCATCATCTGAATCCGAATACGAGAAACCGGATTCGCCTTCGGCTGTCAAGGCTAAGATCTATCGTATGTTTGGCAGAGAGAAGCCTGTTCACAAGGTTCTCGGTGGTGGAAAGCGTAAGGGTTTTATCTATTAGTATATATTCTTCTTCTTCTTTAGCATATTTTCTTCGTTTTGATTGATTTTTTATTTTTCTCTTCTCATGCGTTGATGCTTGATCTGCAATGCCATGGTTTAATTACTCGTATAAGGATCGGTTGTATGATAGTTTATTTGTCATTTTAAGATTTGTTCACCGACTGATTTGGGCATCCAAATTTAAGACTTTGACTTTGTTATGAAACCAATATATTGGCTTTAATTATGTTTTTGACTTGTGAGGATTTCTAATCTATGTTTGTATGCTTCTCTCGTGTCGTTGGCCTTATCTATCTTTTCTCAATTGACTCTTTCCAGCTGCCGATGTGTTCTTGTGGAGGGATAAAAAACTATCAGCTGCTGTTCTTGGTGTTGCTACTGTTATTTGGGTTTTGTTCGAGCTGGTTGAGTATCATTTGTTGAGTCTGTTGTGCCACATTTCCATACTCGCTCTTGGAGGCCTCTTTTTATGGTCCAATGCTCACACATTTATCAACAAGTATGGCTCAGACCCTTGATCATGTTAAGGCCTCAATGTGTGTTGTTTATATATCTTATTTCAATTGTCTTTTTCATCTTTGCAGGACTTCACCTCAAATTCCAGAAATCCATGTTCCCGAGGAGGCTTTCCTTGTCATCGCTTCTTCTCTCAGAAACGAACTAAACCAAGCTTTTGTTATCCTACGAAGCATTGCTTTAGGAAGGGACCTGAAAAAATTCCTGATGGTATGCTCAATCTTTGCTTCTGAAATTTACACTTCAATTTAACAGTTTAGAACTTGGGTTAGTCGTATGGGTAATTAATCAGTTTTATTCCTAGTTTCCAACCCTCATCTGTTGAACCTTGTTTATTCACTGAGTAAACAGTACATAGTTTTTCATGCAACAATGTTTGAGACAGTATATGAAATTTTCTGTTTGGATCTCGTGTGTCAACATGATGCTTGCCGTAGCCTATAAGATCCTGCAAGTTGTTCCTGAATCTGATGACGTTATTTGTTATGTCAGGTTGTTGTTGGTCTATGGATCATCTCAGTGGTGGGCAACTGGTGCAATTTCTTGACCTTGGTGTACATCTGCTTCGTGATATTGCACACAGTGCCAATGCTGTACGAGAAACACGAAGACAAGGTTGATCCATTGGCAGAGAAAGCAATGAAGGAGTTGCAGAAACAATATGTGGTGTTTGATGAGAAGGTTCTTTCTAAGATTCCCGTTGCTTCTCTCAAGGCAAAGGCAAAGTTGGGTTAAAAATATATACGTCTATGGTTTTTTCTGGTTTAAGTTTTTGACCATGTGAAATTGTTGGTAACTTGCAGAGTTTTGCCGCTAATGGCCCAAATGTCGTTTTATGATTTTATCACATTTTGACTACAGTTGTTTTTTCCCCCTTCCAAATACTATCTCTTTTTCCGGCTATTTACAAAGAATTCCTGAGTTCATGAAACGTAGAACATGGTTTGTTTTGGAGAAGCCCAGATAAAAATAAAAGTACTTTTACTATTTCAAACAGTTTTAGAATTTTTTATAAGTTTTTCCAAACAAATGATATAGAAAAAGAATTAATGGAATATAGGTGTGAGAGGGAGATAATTACAACACAATAAGCAAGACACACGGATTCCTACAAAAACGTGTATAAGAGTAT